AGTCAAAGGAGTCGGTATAACAAGGTCTACAGTCATTCCGCCGTCGGAGCCATCCAATATTGCATGGAGCTATCAAGGCAGGCGTGCGGCCGGCTGGCAACATTTGGGAGAGTCTTATCTGCTGGTTCTTTTCAGTAAACCATCTAGATTGATTGTTGTTGCAACTTTGATTGAGTGCAGAATAGTTGATACTATAGTTATGGAACTGAAGTAGGTAGTCATCAGTGCATGTAGACCTGATTGGTCACATGGACAATGCAGAGTTAATGACTCGCATCTGAATGATTATTTTGAAGATAGTGGTCCTATTTTCTATTTCTAACATTTACTGAAAAGAAAACGTTCGCACAAGTACGACAACTTGTGCATGCGTCAGTGCAAGAACGATATCTTGCACATGAAGTAGTGACCGCCATCACTGCTTCCTCCAAGCATTGTTTCGATGTCAGGGGGTTATCTTCAGTTCTTTGAAGGAGATTGTATTTTCTATTGCCGAAAGTATTGAACAAAGGCTCACTCTGAAGGTTAAAAATCAAGGAGCGAACTTGGTATTCATTGCTCTCGGAAATACAGGTATTCATTTTTAAAGTGTCGTCTCAAGCAAGGCGTCAACAAGACCATTTTCGGAAGGACACATATCATCCATTGAAGTGATGATGATGCCGATGATGGATGTTGAGCCACTTGGACGAAGGAGCGTGTTAGATATTATATGCGGTATAATATTTGACTGAGGTTTTTGAGATTCCAGATTCCTTGGTGAAAGTGAATTAACGCGATGACCAACCAATAACGTAGTGAAAAGAATTGTTCATTCTTTTCAGTAAACCATCTAGATTGATTGTTGTTGCAACTTTGATTGAGTGCAGAATAGTTGATACTATAGTTATGGAACTGAAGTAGGTAGTCATCAGTGCATGTAGACCTGATTGGTCACATGGACAATGCAGAGTTAATGACTCGCATCTGAATGATTATTTTGAAGATAGTGGTCCTATTTTCTATTTCTAACATGAAACTCCATAGTTGAATCTAGATTGAATTGCCAACAATGCTAGTTTCAGGTCGCTTTGGGTTGTCTACGGATATAAATTTGTGTGTGTGCCCGATCCCATGCTTCAAATTCATCGGCCAGTAGTTTCCAGATTCCTCATCTGCAATGTCAGGGTAAAAGATTCAAAAGCGTGGGAAACCGAGTAATTGGAGAATCCAACATTCCGTATCCGAGTGGGAATATTCACAATGGCATCGCAGTCTTCAGCATAAGTGGATCCAGCACCTGCTTTTTGGATGGTGACACTGTTGGTGTTTCCTTTTGGGACTCGGCTGGAGCCTCAGGTACAAATTCGGGCGTTTGAGTCGTAGGATCATGGAACCAGTATCTTGGGTCTGCCCACCTTGATCATCGTGGCCTTTTCTGAGACCAGCAAAGGCTGTCACTCCACCGCCAATGACAAGAATGGCGACAGCCAAAAGAATCCACATTTTGTAAGAAACATTTCCTTTCTTTCTCGATCCTTGGACGCTACAGATTGCCAATCCCCAACAATCGAGTCCTTCGCCATTGTCAAAATTTAATCATCGTCAATCAATATGAATGGAACTACATGACCATCCACTGGGGGAGTCATACTCCTCGATCATCTGCCCATGCGTTCCACTCCCGGATTCTTGTTGGATCGGGAGTGTCTTCGCGCGATCCGCCCTTCATTTTGTTCTTGGTACTACCATCATCGTCGTCATCTTCATGAAAGATATCGATAGTACTCTTTGTGCCGATACTTTTACTGCTGTGATGGGAAGAAGATGCCAGCATTACTTTTGACTTTGTTTTGGCATCTTCGGTACCCATCCCGAGTCCATTGTCTCTTTCTTCGTGCGACATCTTTGGCCGCTTCCACTGCTCATCTTGTGGGAGCCTGTGTGGCCCTTGGATGCTGATCTACTTCTTCGACCATCGGAATCCGTCCTCCTCTTGCTAGAAGACCTGCCTCGAATTGGTCGGCGCAACATCGTCAGCATTCTCAGTGATAATCATATCATCAGGTTTGGATGCTTTTGAGTCTTTGAGGAGCTGCTAATCCTCGTTGTTGTTTTAGGGCTGAAGATACCAAACAAAGTTGAATATTGAGAGGGATATTCAGAGAGTTTTGGCTATCGGTATACTCTAGGGAACAAGTTTTAGACCAATTATGCACGAATTCTATCGGAACGCGCACACTTTCTGTCTACAACAGCACTGCGCTTTGGCAACTCTGTGCCTCCCTGAGAAGTTTTTGCCTTTCGCTCTACAGTATTGCGAATCATTTTTCGAAATAAGTGATACTGTATTAATTAAAATTAGATCAAGGAGGGACACTGCCCCCTGAAACTCCTTGCTCCAGCCTCCTTAAGATGTCCCTTTCGAAATATTCCGCATTTTCCAAACTTTTCGATTTCTTCATGCAGTTTTGGGCCCGGAGGCATCTTTTTTATCGTTTCCATATATATGGAATGAGGAGCTGCTTCTGAATTCATTCGTTACTTGCGAGATCGTAATTTTTCCAGAAGCTTTTGTAGTGAAGAGGGGGCTTTCTATTCTAACATAAACACTTCTGGACCACTACAACTACTTGTATGTACGAAGCCCCTATCCAAATGGTTCGCCTCGGATTCGCCGAGCAAAAAACATAGGCTCATGCTTTTTTGGGGCAATGTTGAAAGTGTACCCAGTTGAAGTTGAAAGTGTGAAAGTCCGTTTGCTCATTTGCTAGTGAGGGAAATTCAAAAAGGATTGACGGTTACATCACACCTCTCACAATCCTACAAAAGGCATCCCAACAACACACCATGCAGTCAGCAATCTATCTCAACAACAGAGCCTCCTCTCTAATCGAAAAGAATTGCTTCGAAAAAGCCATTGAAACGTTGAATCAAGCTCTGCATGCAGGTCAAAAGGTTCAGACAAAGGACGAATGGTCGTCGTCGTCATTATCATCATCATCAAAGTTCTCAAGAAGACCAAGCGGAAAGTATCTGTCAACATCAAACAAGAGACGCAAAGAACTGGATAATCAAGAGGTGTTTATGTACTCCCGACCATTGTACGTTTCGCATCTTCCGCAGACAGAAGGGAACCGATTTTTATCCTGGGTCATCATTTTCAACTTTGCCTTGTGCCATCACCTCATGGCACTCCGAGCAGCGGACTACAAGGACAAACACGAAAACCTGCTTGAAGCTCTGAAACTGTACGAAGCACTAGTTGCCTTGCCAATGGAAGATACGTTTCAAATCGAGACCACCTATTTCATGGCCATGATCAACAATTCGGCACAAATTTACCAAATGTTGCATCGACCAAGACAAGCGAAGCAACACTCGGATCAAATGCTTTCCTTACTCATGGCCACGATTCAAGAAGGGAAAGCTGACACAGTGGACGGGTTTGACGGCTTTTTGCTGAATGCCACTCAGAGATCTCTTGGTGCGGTTGCCGCCTAAGCATCAAGAAATTGTGCCTCTAGCAGCCTAAGCATCAAGAAATTGTGCCTCTAGCAGCCATGACATGATTTATTTGTTGTTCATGCAAAGTACCAGTAGAATAGAAATTATAGAATACAAAAATTATTCAATTGATAGAACTTTCTAAACTGGATAGGTGCATCTCTATTGATCCGAGGTATTACCAATGGTATTGTTAGGCTGCTTTGGGTTGCCTACCGATGTAGATTTGTATGTGTGCCCGATCCCATGCTTTAAATTCATCGGCCAATAGTTTCCCAGATTCCTCCTCAGTAATGTCAGCGAGCGCCTTTGGTTTGCCTTTGACTGATATTTGCGTCTGATGAAAATACAAGTTGGATTTTTCATTCTTTGGATCGCCAAAAGCTCTCCAGTCCAACGGACAGCTCAGGTTTCCAGACATAGGCTGGATCAGTTCCCATTCCAATCCTGATTCCTGAAAGAATTCCCGTTCCAGGTCGGGTTTTCTCCAACGGACGGACAGAATGAAAATGCCACGTATCGGATGAAGCAATCTTTTGGTAGTAGCTACCAAATGCGGGATGAACTTTTCATTGTACAGCAAGTCGGATCCCAAGATACAATCATACGGTGGTTCATTGGTCTTGACCTCGTGATTGTCGTCGTCTGGAGGGTCCATTGTCCATGGAAGTGGTTTGGCGTTTACCACGAGTCCATCAGGCAAGAGTGATTGATTGTGTTCCAAGTTGTATTGCAACAGTGGCATGGCCGATGGCACATCGGTCAAGAGCACTATAGATTTTGCTTCCAGTAACCCTTCTTCCAGACTGACGCAAAAGGACAATCCCACCAATCCCAGAGCTCCCGACCCTAGTTCTACAATCCGTTTTGGCATTCTTCCGCCTTCAAAGCATGGAATTATCTCGTCCCATAGCTTGGAAAGCTCCTTTCCACTTTGCCATGGCAAGGCATAGGTCCCATCATCCACCGTATCACCGTCATCATTATTATCATCATTTTCACTGGGTGATGCACCGTCATTTCGCACCGCGTCTAGCAATTCCTTTGGCAATTGGGATGATAACTCGAGAATTCTTCCCTTTCCCAAATCCAGTTTTGTGTGTCTAGCATCTCCATCGGCATTATCATCTCCCTCACCACTAGTATCACGACCAACTTGCAATTGCAAGACATCCCCTGGAGTTGATCCAATGGGAACCGGTATTTCCAACTCTTGTCCATGCACCACAAAGGTCAAGACATCTCCCCCTTCCGCTCCTTCTGGTATCGTCAAGGATATGCAACCATTGCCTCCTTCGGAAGCCATATTGTTATTATTGTTTTAATTGAATATTCCAAGCGGTTTGCAAGCGGGTAGGTAGGCATACCAAGACGCAAATAATAATGCTGGACAACAATGAATTGTCTTTTTCACAAGATGTGTGGTTTGGTATGAGTCACGAGTCGGCGATTCCCGGGATGATGGAGTATTGATACAGTAGTCATTTGCCTTTTTCACTGTAACACCTTGACGGATTCTCACCAATGAATTATATTGCAAATGCTGCTGCTCATGGGTGTTACCAAAGCAGCAGCTGTGGTGGTAGTAGGAGTGGCGGCCGATACCGCAGCCATCATCGCAACGTCGATAGTGTACCACCATCACCACCAACTATGCTGTCATGTTCAGGTGGCTTCTTATTCTTCGAGCATGATGGAGGAGACTGCCACCTTTTATTTGTATAATTCAAAAAGCTGTAATACTTGCCCATAGCTTGGCCCATTTTTGAAGTTCTTGGAATAGAAGTGGCAGACTGGTTGGTAGATTGGAAATGGAGACGGATGGTCCTAACAGTTCGTTCAGAGCAAAATACAATAATACCATCATGGCCAATCGTCCATTTTCCAATTCACAGACTAGTGATCGCTCGTTTTGTCCCTTGTCGCGGACTCCAAAGTATCCCAGTCCATAATCTCCTGGCATGTCTTGAGGAGATGCTTGTACCAATAGGAGGGTCTCGAGAATCCCCGTCACCAGCAAGACTTTTGGCACAAAGAACCAATTGTGCGTTTGAGCCAATTCCCACAAATGTGGCGGTTCCAAAAATACAGCAATGGGAGTCTTTACCAAGAATGCAGTTTGAACAATGGAAATCAACACCACCAACATACTAACTCGCCCATGTTTGAGTTCGGCTTCTCGGTACCGACCAAAATTTTCGTCCGTGGCAAGGCCCATCGGATCAAAATAAAAAGGTTCTTCTTGCTGGTTCTTGTTACTGTTGTCTGTGGTGATCAATGGGGTTCTTTTCAAGAGTGCCGTCAAGGTGGGACTACAGCCGAGTTCTTCCGAGAGTGCCAGAGGGGCCTTGTTGATGTTGTTGTTGTTGTTCTTGATGGGTAACAACTTGCTCATTGGATTGTTGTTGTTGTTGTTGTTGCTGCTGCTGCTCAATGCTAATGCAAATATGGGTGATTTAGTTGGTCTTAATGGTAATAATGATGATGATGATGATGACAATATGGCAGTCATGAAAGATCGGAGCATCATCTTGGAGACGGGTGTCATTCGCTTCGTCATTGTTATTGCGCTTGATAGATGATTACGATTCATTCTGATGAGAATGTGCAATCGCGCATGCTCGTGCAAGAAAACTAACTGTAGAAGCACAGACGTCAGCGGTGTCGGTCATATTTGGATATGTGCGGAGAAAAATTGGGGGAAATAGGCTTATCGGAACAGGCTGATCTTTGTTCTTTGACAACTTCCGTCGTTGCAAATCTTCTGACCATTTCAGTCATATAATAACTTGTGCATGTCCATTGCATCCCGACGATTTACTTCAGGCTTTGCCACATTCCCGTTACTACTCACCAAGCCACTTTCATCCGTCAATTCATTCCTTTTGTCAACAGCTACGTATTGCCGTCATCCAGCATCTACCTCTTTGACCTTCCATCAATCCCACCATATTTCAACGACTAAACGCAAAATGACCATTGTTCGTGCCGACCAACCCATGGGGCTTAAGCAGCTCTTTGATGAAACAGGTTCTTCTACCTACACCTATCTTCTATGGGATACTGAAACTAAGGATTGTGTCTTGGTGGATCCTGTCGATGTCAAAGTGGACCGAGATCTTAAGGAAGTGGAGGAATTGGGATTGAATTTGATCTATGGGATCAACACTCGTAAGTTACTATTATTGTATTGGTTAATTTCAATTTGTTTGGGTTTGGTTGAATGATAATCCCATGCTTGAGATCGTGATCTGATCGATGGGTATGTTCTGTTTTCATCTTGTCATCTCACATATCTATTTTCATCATCACGACGACAACAACAACAACAGACGCTCACGCCGACCACATTACTGGAACTCACTTGTTGAAACAACAAGTCCCAACCATGAAATCTATTATTAGTGCCGCGTCTCAAGCAAAGGCTGATTTGACAGTGGCCAATGGGGACCGAATTGTCTTTGGAAATCGTTCCTTGGTCGTCAAGTCGACCCCCGGTCACACGGAAGGATGCGTCAGTTTTGTCGCTGACGACGAGTCCTTTGTCTTGACAGGGGATGCCTTGTTGATTCAAGGATGTGGACGCACGGATTTTCAAGGAGGATCCGCCGAGCATTTGTATCAAAGTGTCCACTCCCAACTCTTTAGCCTGCCAAAGTCGACCATTGTCTATCCGGCCCATGACTACAAGTCACGGACTCAATCCAGTATTGGTGCCGAACTCGAATCGAATCCTCGTCTTGGGGGAGGAAAGACTCAAGATGACTTTGTGGAAATCATGGCCGGTTTGGATTTGGCATATCCCAAAAAGATTGATGTGGCTGTCCCTGCCAACATGCGGTGTGGAGTTCCAGATGTCGAATAAGTTGAATGTTTCTCTTTTATTTTAATTGTTATAGGAAAGGTGAACCATGCTATCATCTACTCACTTTTAAAAGTAAATCAACAATTATGATTATTAAAAATGTTACAAGGCTTGTTCTTGGAGATTGAATCTACTAGCCACTAGTACTAGTTGAAGTGTCTCGAACCTTCTAATGAGTTTTTACAAAGCAATTCACAACTGACAGTCCTTCAATCGGCGTTGACAAACCCCGAAATCTGGGTCTCGTCCCTAAGATTTACTCCAAGGTTTGCTCTTGAAGACTACAATGCACTTTATTCCATTAACGCTTTAAAATTATTGTTTCGTCAATACGAAAACCTGTGGCAATTTTGAACTGTTTCGAGCAAGTGTCGTCTGAATATTCAGGTGAAATCGTCAGGCATGGGAAGGAAGCTTGTGAGGAAGAAACGATCTGTATCTGTAAAAGTTTGCAAGAAAATGATGCTGTCTGTAACTATGCTCGATCATTGGTTCTTTGTGTCTTGTTTGTCCCATCTTCGTAAAATTCAGCTGCAGTTTCGACAGTCTTGTTTTCTCCTGCAATCACACTGGATTCTTTGTGTACAAAGGATGCCAGTCTTTTGTGGGCTGTTTCATCATTACAACTTGCATCTAACATTTCTTTTGTGACCCATTTAAAGTCGTGGAAATCAAAGCCTGGAGCCACTGCTTCCCCGATTATGGTATACTCGTAATCCGACTTATTGTCATCAGCATCTTCTTCTTGTTCAATGGACCCACACTTCCAAATACCGCCCTTGACAGGCACCTGCAGTTTTTGGCCCTTGTGAAGCTCTGGACCTAGCACTACTGTAGAAAACTCGCCTGTGGAAGGATCGAACAAGTAATATCGAAATGGAAGACCACCTTGATAGTAATGGACGTGATCTGAGCAATTTTCTGCCATTAGAAGATTTGGGTCTTTCTTGGTGGGTACCCAATAGATAGAGGTTAGGGCATTCCGTCTTTCATCCTTGTCTGGTCGATTAGCAGCTCTTCCATTGGCTACCACCAAGTTTTTGGTAGCTTCTTTGCAGTCCTCGAGGCCTGTTTGACCCATGGTGGACATTGGTTGACATCCCGAACGATAGGTTTCTCGAAAAAATCCGCCTTCTGGATGTGGGATAAGTTCCAATAGAGGAATCAGTTCTTTGACGCTAGTTGGCAAGGGCATCTTATAATAATAATAATAATAATAATAACGATTTGAAATCTCTTTGCAAAGTGTGGATTTGGTATAATGATACTGTAGCAGTTGTTGCATGTATGCATTCGCCTTGGGTTTGCGAAAGATCCAAAGTTTCACAGAACCCATAACCCATCAAATTGTTTCGTACCTGGTATTTGTGGTGACTGATTGACTGGCTCGCTCCACTTGAGCGTGCATTACAGTAGGTACATGGCGCATTATGGATCATCCGAGATAACGCCATCGGACAAACTGAGATAAGGAGAAGTCGTGTATAACTCGTTTTCAGTTTGAAGCAATTTGGGTTTTACTGCATATAATTCTTACAAAACAAATTATATTTTTTATTGATTCACCTGATATTATATATATATCTATATATATATATAAATAAAATATAACGTGCTGAATAATGTGTTATTTGGGAATTTGTCCGGAATTGGTACGTGTACTGTGCGTGTACAAGTGTACGCGTACACTGTACGAGAACACGAGTACCGATTTAGGCTCAAAACGGGCGATTTTGGGATCCGTCCGACAGATGGGGGCTTTTGCCCGCGAGCTAAAGATGTACCTGGCACCTGGCACTATTGATAGAGACCGCGGAACATGACTGGCGTATGAACTTCAAGTAGGACCAATCCATTCACTCCTTTTTACTTCAGTACGTGTACTAGGAACAAAGGTAAGCAAAATACCGTAGATTGGACATTTCAATGATCCCCAATTTGCGCTTACGTTCAAAGGAGGAGGGAACATGCATGCGCAAGCTGGTGGAGCGAGAAAAGGGAACCATCAATTTTCTCACAAATGTCATCAGGTTCTCAACAATAATAATCCAACAAACATTTAAGTACGGTACCATACATAAGTTAGTTTCGATCAGAACGGCAATCTTGTGCCAGCCCAAAAGTGCTTCGAGCTCCTCGATTACGAGAATCACTCTTACGATCACTTTCCATCGACTTTTTGTTAGAGGCAGGGACAACCTTAGCGTTAGTGCTCCGAAATCCAACAGTCAGTCACCAAGAAGTCTTATAGCTGATAGCCTTATACAATACAGTAGATACAGCAATTGATCGCGAACCACTCAATCCAGTGGCTCCTAATGCAAGTGACAGACGATTGTGCAAAACAGGACATGGGACTTTCGAATAACAATCTCTCTGCAACGTCAACATCACAACATACTAAGACAGAGGAATCATTCTTATTTTCATCCACTATGAATCATGAGAATGAACGCTCAACGGATCTTTGTACGAAACGAAAGGCAGCAGAGATTGAAGTTGACGCGATGGATACTTCTCTCAAAGCCAGCAATATCGTCGGAACATCAGATAAGATTCCACAGCAGCGAGAGCCTCCATTGAAGAAAAGGTTCAGTCTGGATTTGTTGTCGGAAGCATCGGCGATGCTCGCACAAGGTTTCGGTCCTTCCAAGATTCAGGAGATTGTGCAGCGACAGGAGAATGAATCGTCTGCCATTAGGGAACAACAACAACAACAACAACAAGAAATGGAGAAAAATGATTCAGCGCCAGCAACATCATCAGACCAAATGGTGTTGGACGAAGCTCCAGACAAGGCTGGCCCTACAAACGGGGCAAATAGCGTATCGGTTGAGCCCAAAGTAGAGCCAACAGTGAATTCAGAAGCATCAAACGTTTTTAAAAATATCAGAAGCGATGCAAACGCAGAACAATCAGTGCAAAAGACAAATGAGCAATCACCACCACAGGTGGATCAAGAACTGAAGCCGAGTACTTCAATACGGACAGGACCAGAGAATGATAATTCAGTAGTCAAGAAACCATCCATTGATATTATTAAGGTGGACACTGTGGAAAAGGATACGCCAATCCGTACCGTATCAGAGACAGATAATTCAGTCAAGGAATCATCAGCATCCCAAGATATGAAGGTCGATGATATAAACAAGGACGCACGTCTGCAGACAATATCAGAGAAAGCGGTTGAGACTTCAAAGGATACGCCGAATATTCAGACAGCAACAGTACAGCTACCATCCGACACACCAGGCACTGCTCCAATGAAGCAGTCCGCCGAAGAGACTCCAATTGACATTGCGACAATGAGTACGCCGAGTGTTCAGACAAAATCGTCAGGGGCAGATACTGCAGTTATTAAGGAATCTCAGGATGTACAAGTCGACAGTGAAAATAAGGATGACACTCCAATGGAAGCAGCAGCAGGCTCTGAGGGAGATACTTCAGTTAAGGAACCTCAGGTGACTCTGGCCGACGACGAGAAAAAAGATGCACCGATGCAGACGGCAGCAGAATTAGAGGCGCCAGATAATTCAGTTAAGGAAGAATCTGCATCTGGCAATAATACCGAGGTTAATAATGTGAAAAATGTCACTGCGATGCCAAATTCTCCACCAGGGACAGAACATTCAGTCAAGGAAGAATCATCATTACAAACTGCAAAGTTTACCGTTGTGCAGGAGGACACTCCAATGCCGAGTGCATCATTAGAGGCAGATGATTTGATCAAGGAAGAATCATCATCTCACGATGCTGAAGAGGCCAACGATGTCAAGCATGTCGCTGCGATGCCGACTTCATCAACGGAGACTGACAATGCTGTCAATCAAGAAGTATCACAACCTGTTAAGGTGAACGGTGTTAAGGAGGATATTCCAATGCAGAATGCATCATCAGAACCGGTTAGTTCAGTCAAGGAGTCGTCATCTGATAATGCCGAGGTTGACGATGTGAAGAATGTAAGTGCGATGTCACCTTCACCGAAGACAGATAATTCAACCAAGGAAGAACCATCGCGACCTACAAAGATTAATGGTTTGAAGGACGATTCTCCAATGCAGACTACATCACCAGAGGATGATACTTCAGTCAAGGAATCCTCATCGTTGGATGCTCAGGTCAAGAATTCTTCTGATATGCTGCCTAGTAGCAACGACGGCGTTTCTAATGGCGGTATACCAGCAGTAGCAAGTGAAGCGGTTGAGAGCTCGGCGACAAATAGTGGAGAGGATCAGACTGGAGAGACTGTGGCGCAGACTATGGTGGCGAATGGGCCACTCGTGAAGGACGCGAAAGAATTAAACGGACAACAGGAGCAATCTGGAGAATCTATGGCTATTGGCGACACAATCAAGGAGATGGAAAAGGCGACCGATGAGCCTAAGACTGCCGATGAGCCCAAAACGGCTGAAACCAAAGTCGAGGAGGCCAAAAAAGATACAACTGGAGAACCAATGAGTACAGATGAAATTGTCAAGGAGACAAAAGAGGAAAGTGGGGCTACCGTATCAACTGACGAATCAGTGGAGACGATGACACAAGAAACAAGGGGGCCTGTGTCTGGGACTACCAGTGTTTTGACGGAAACTCAACAAGAAAAAGAAGAATCCGTGACCAATGGGGAAAAAGGTCCGGAGACGAAAGAAGAAAATAGGCAAGCCGAGGCTAACGAAAAATTAATCGAGCCAGCGCAACAAGAAAGCGGAAATGGTATCGGAGATGACGAATCAGCCAAGGGTACGAAGGAAATGCCTGACAAATCAGTGGAGAAGACGAAGGAAGAGGAACGAGATCCGATGGCTATGGACGAAAAAGTTAAAGAAAAAGCCGAAGGAAATGAACAGCCAGTGGCCTCCATTGAATCAGGCAAGGAAATGAACGGCGAAAGCTGTGAACGAATGGCTTGTGATGAAGAAGCTGAGAAAGTGGAAGAGGATAAATCGGAGCCTATGATCATCGATGAATCTGCTAAAGAGACGACAGCAGCGAATCCTAGTACCTCCAGCAGAGAAACTGAGAACGAGATCGCCATGGAAAAGCCAGCAGTGAGTGACGCGCCAACCATGTCTCGCGACGACACAGCTGATCCATCGCAGGGCAGTAGTGGTGTGATCGAATCATCGGCAGAAGCTGCTATGGATGTCGACGACACCAAAACTGGTGAGCAAGCAATTGGCAATGGAATCAAACTTGATGAAAAGGAAACAGCTTGCGAAAATCAATCTGCGCAAGCGGACAAGAAGATACCCAAGAAACGTACGAATCCGGAGGTACTGGAAATTAGGAAGCGGATTCAGTTTGGTTGCCGCGACAATGACCTGTCCGCGGCTATGGCAGCGTACGACGAAGCTATTGACAAGGAAATCAAGGTTGAAGCGCAGTCGTTTTACAATCTATTGAATCTCTGTGATGGAACAGAACGAAACGTTCACATTGGGACTCCAAAAGCCAAATCGACCCTGTCTGATGGCATCGACGGGGTACCGGATGTCGATGAAGCGACTCGCTTGAAATTTGCCTTTCGGCTTCGGGACCATATGAAGGAATTGAATCTTTCACTGAATGAAGCTGCCTATTCAGCTATTGTGAAATTGCTGTCAAAGTCAAGAGAATTTGACCAAGCGCTGGCAATACTCGAAGAATCAGAAAACGTGCAACAGTGCAAGCCAAGGCTTCGGCTCTACTCTTCCCTCTTAATTGCCTATTGCGAAGAACACCGAATGCTGGACGCGTTGGAGATCTGGAAGAAGCTAACTCAGCAGAAGCTGCAGGCGACCGAAAAGGAGTATGCTGCCTTGATGCAATGCGCGACTTCTACGGGGGACGCCATAGTGTTTGCAAGGGTGCTGACTGACCTCGCCGAGGATGTTCTCGTACCATCGAAAGGGACGGTTTCGCGGATACTGGAATGGTTTGAATTTGCTCACTCTTTCCACACAGCAAGTCTCACCAAACGACGTGCTGATGAGACGAAAGTATGTGAGTGTCTGGAACAAATTCATGCGGGCGAAAAGGAGGCACCTCCAAATATGGGGCCCGTCGTAAATGTCAATGCGTGGCAAATAAGTTCGGCCTGTCCCATTGACATGAAAAGTGGTACACTTCAAACTGGATGCTTGAAAGGGTGCAAATTGAGTCCAGTCAACATCTCGCAACGGGCGTGGGATGAAATGAGAGATATGAACGAGAAGATTGTTACGGATGGACAAGTGGAAGGGCACAACACACAGTTCCAAGGGGGAAAGAAAGGGAAAAAGAGAATGGACTTCTCTCCAGAAGAACGTAAACAAGAATGGGATCGCTTTACCAACTTCTTGGATTCCATTGGACACGTCGATGTGGTTATTGACGGCGCCAATGTCGGATGCTTTGAAAAGAACTTTGCCGGAGCTCCGAAACACATTGATTATCGTCAAATTGACTGGATCGTCCAGCACTTTTCGAAAATGGGGAAAAAGGTACTTCTTGTATTGCACGAGCGCCACTTTGCAAAACACATGATGCCAGACAACTTCCGGTGGCTCGAACAGAAATGGTTGAATGGCAGGAACCTGTACAAGACACCAAGGGGGATGAACGACGATTGGTTCTGGCTTCATGTCGCCTACAAACACCAGTCTCTAGTAGTTACGAACGACGAGATGCGCGATCATCACTTTCAGATGCTAGCTCCACGAACTTTCTTGCGTTGGAAGGAACGCCACCATGCGCACTTTGATTTTGGAAATTGGATCACTGCTGGAGATGGAAGCCGGCAAAGGGAGGTCTTACTCACCTTGCCTGAAGCTTATTCTAGACGACTGCAACGCGTGGAAGATGGCCTGGTCGTTCCGTTGGCAAAGCAAGGCGATAGCAATCGATTCATGGATGGGGGACACGCTGCTTCTGATGATGAACCGGAGGAAGAGACGTACTTGTGCATTCGCCCAAACAAGCCGCAGGATTCATAAAACATAATTTGATACTGCTAAATCCATCTCTCGTTTGTTACTACTATCTTTGAATATAAAATAAAATGAAGTACTTTAATTTTTTAAAAACAACATTTGGTAGTGTACTAAGAATGAATGAATAAATGAATGAATCTCTACTGTGTTATGATAATGAAGTAGAACTTGATTTTTGTGATAAGAAATATATTTTGAAACTTCTCAGAAATTATAACAGCTTGTGTGCGCATATGGAAAACATAGTGTGATGGATTGGTGGCCTTATAGATCAGCCCTGGTCATTGACGATTTGGCTCTAATAGCTTGAATTCTCTCAAACTTGCGACCCGATCGCTTGTCGCGGGATGCCAAAACCTTCTTTTGGTAGTCTTCAATGGTATTGAATTCTGCCGAGTCCACTCGCAGGTGAGATGGAGATCTTGGAGAAGACACTGGTGATAGTACTCTTGGAGAAGGTCTTGGTGAGTTTGCCGATGGAGACCTTGGATTGTATCGATTCTTGATTGATCGGAACAAGACAGGAGGAGCTTCGTCCCGCCTTCCAGGGGCAGAGTCTCTGGAACAGTTGGTGTCTCTTGGTGAGTCATCACCACCACCGTCGATGGTTAGCTTCTCTGGTCTCTTTCTCTCCATATTTCTCGGCTTTTCAGCAGAAGGCATTCTCTCGCTGGCAGGTTCATCGTTAACCTGCTCACGAGCATCTCTGATTTCATTCGCCTCGGATGGGGCTTGTGGAATTTGAGTCTCCATTTCCTCCACAGGAGGAGGTCTCACTGGTTGTTCTGTTTGAATTCGATCCAGTTCATGTTCAGACTCAGAGTCTTCATCGTCATCGTTGATGAAGCTTTCGCGACGTCGATTCTTGCTTTGGTTGCTCACTCGGCTTTGGGCACTGGAACCTCGTCTGCGAGACGAGCGACGATGGCCATCTCTGCTCTCGGCACGGCTCTTCGACCGGGATCTAGTTTTAGACACAGATCTAGAGGAGGATCGTCTTCCTCTTCCCTTGACAGACCTAGATGAAGATCGCCGTTGTCTTCCGTCGCTGCGTTCACGATGTCTACTGTCGCGTGGTTGGACTTCAGTCCGAAGGCTTTGGTCCTCATCTCCGTAATCATTCAAGAGACATGCCCACATGGAATCACAGAAGGTTGTCTCTTCCACTGGAACCGACCGCATGATTGTAGCTTTCTCTTCTGCGTTTGTGAAGAAGATTGTGTTGGATGTCTCGATAGCGAATATAGTGGATGCGGAAAGCAAAACGTGTGGGTTCGGTCTCGTCAGGCTGGCTAACGCGTCTACCGGGTGCCAGAGACAATCGCTCAATCATAAGTAGAAGTGTGGCAGGCTCGAGTTGCTGTCACCCCAAAATGTCACACTGGTAAATCAACGGATCGCCAATGAAATCTTCCAACGGAAACTGCAAGCAGTACCTGGTGAAAGGACAGACCAGAAAAGATCCGGGTTTCTACCAGTAGTCAGCGAAACGTGACCCGCGCGACGCGAAACCTGCAACTGTGGATTCGACCGCGTCGACTGCTTCCACGAAAACCCCCACGCTGTTCCCAAAACACAGACAACACGAGTCGTCCCATTCATTCATTGCGACTGACTCTTTGCAGCACTTTATCTCAAACTAATCACATCCAATATTAATACCTCATCAACAATATATAATCATGGATTCTGAAGAAGGTACCGTTGTCCTTGTAAGTTTTTTAAAACGTCGTGGAGAGAAAGGAGAACGCTGGCATACTTTAGACGCAACTCGCAACGATGATGATCAACATTATCATCCACGTTTCTAATGCACTCTGCTTGTCGCTTTCATCATCATACGCATACCATAGGTTTCCAAGGAAGGAGACAAATTTCCTGTTCCCAAGGCTGTTGCCTACATGTCTGGTCTTGCCAAGGACACTATTGATGACGAGAATGATGACGACGAGCCAGAAGTTCCTCTTCCCAATGTCAAGGCGGATGTCCTCCGCAAGGTGATTGAGTACTGCGAACACTACCTCAAGGAGAAGATGACGGATATTGAAAAGCCTCTTAAGAGCAATAAGATGTCTGACGTCGTCCAAGAGTGGTATGCCACCTTTGTGGATTCGGAAGAGCACGAAATGCTCTTTGAGCTGATTTTGGCTGCCAACTTTATGGATATCAAGCCCTTGTTGGAACTTGCGTCTGCAGCCGTGGCAGCCATGATGAAGGGAAGGACCCCAGAAGAAATTCGCAAGGTGTTCAAGATTCAAGAAGGAGACTTTACACCTGAAGAAGAGAATCGCGTCCGTGAGGAAAACAAGTGGTGTGAAGAAGCTTAAAGATGAGCGAGCTTGAATTGATGAAGCAGTCTGGCAAGCTTTTCGGAGCCGAAGCTGCTGTAACTATGAATAAATAAACTGAATTAGATATTACGTTTTGTACATGAAAAGATGAAGTTGCATGATGATTGGAATGGTTGCCCACCAGGAGTGGACTGTTTTGAGTGTTCAATCAATTTAAGATCTACTGCGGCAGGCTATCATGGAAACTGGAACTTCGATTTTTAGTTCCAGTGGAAACTAGCTGATATCATTCAATACAAGATGGATAATGTAGTATACAAAGCGTGTTGGAACGGTCGTTTTCACTTGTTTCTTGTTTCAGCGTGGCATTTTTCGATTGACTCACTCTTATCTGTGCGCGGGTTTGATCAAATAGACCCGCCCGATCGATTGGAATCAACCGGTCGGGCGATGGACAGTCGTTGAAGTTTTTTCCGACAGATGCTCATCATGCGCGATCAGCGATCATGACAAGATGCCGATTACTTCCCAGTTTCTATCGGGAACTATATATTATACTGTACCGTAGTATTGTTTACCAACACAAGAAGCGAAAGCAGAGGGGGTTGCTGCTATCGAACTTGGGGATTAGTTCGTTCTTTACTTTCACTCTTAGATTGACTGATTGATTGATTGATCGATTGATTGATTGATTGATTGATTGATTGATTGATTGATTGATTGATTGATTGATTGATTGATTGATTGATCCATTCATTCAACACAACACAATGTCAGTGATGGAAGTGGATAGGACATACCGAACCGTCACATTTGTAAGTCACCTTCAAGCTAGCAAGGGAAAGGAAATACGTTTGCTCATTGGTCCTTTGTATCTCATGCTTCCATCTTGATCTGTGCCTTTTAATCATCAGGAATCATCCTGTGGCACTCACGTGGCCATTTCCATCAGTGCGGACTGGCTTTGGAACTATTTGAAGGATTTTCATTACGTTTTACCCTTGCCAATCCTCAAGATGGCCGTGATACCAAAGATCATTGAATTTTGTTATCACTACTTGGAAGAACCCATGGTCGACATACTCCATGGCAACAATAACAACAACAGCAACCACTATTATGGCCCGTTGATAGAGCAACACCACAGAATGGTCCAACCACCATGGTACACTTCCTTTTTGAATCACCTGAGTCGAGACGTCAAAGGGGAACTGCTGATTGCTTCCAGAATCCTACATATTCAACCGCTGGAGGATTTGATAGGAGCGACCTTGTCCTTTCCACACAAAAATTACAACTTGTGTGATTTGCGAGAAATCTTGTTTCTGGAAACAAATAGTAATCGTCGGCCACGACAAAAGCGCAAATTGGAAGGTCATCAGTACTGCGGAAGCAGAAAGCGCTAGCAATCTGTGTGGTCGCCAATGAATGACGTGATCCTTTCATGATGGCTGGATCCTCCAGGGGGAAGTTTGTGTTCAGTGAATGCTTGGGGTTCGATTCATTCCGAGACGCTCTTGGCTCCATCGATTGCATACTAGACGAAATTGATTGATTGGAAATCATTCATTGATTCGCAGCTCCTGCTACTTGGATCTGCGGATGCATTCTGAAGCCATGGATCCATGCCTGTGAAAGAAACCAGGCGCATTTGGTCAGAGGATTGTTACCACGAGACGCATCCTCTTGGTTTTAGCAATTGATAATTCTTCACAACTGCTCCTGTTGCTACTGCTGTTACTGCCATCCAAGGATCTACTATAGGACTGACTATATTATCGGGGGACGATATGCAATGATGGAGGGCGTACAAAAAAGAATGGATCGTTGACGCCAACCACAGTCTATATCTACATGCTGGGAACGAGAAGGATGAGTGATAGTTTGTATAGGCCCGTGACAAAAGGATGATTAGTGTTAACGTGAAGGGGGTCAAGGGGACAAGGGGGACTATCAAAAGTTTGAGAGCGAGATACTTGCTTCATTTTTATAAAGACGGCGCAATCGCCACATCTTCGTAGAGTACAAACTAAAAAGCAGAATCATCATCATTTTTATTCTTGTTTAGAATGCTACCTAGTCCAACGAAGAAGACAAAAGAAACCAAGGGGAATAGCACGGACCATACTGTAGACTTCATCCTGCACCAAATTCTTCATGGTCCATTGCCGGCTTGCTTTAAGTATACACTAGACCCTTTGCTCCTCCACCAGTGAGTTTATACTTCTGCATACATTCCTTCCGGTAAACAATAACGAAGGAATGAATGAGTCGTGACGCCAAACAGTATCATAATTGTCCTTCTAGGATCCTCCTCTCATTGAGATATTGCAATCTTCCTTGCTTTGCGTATTCACATCAGTCTTTATCATGAATCTCGATCCCTCTTTTTGGTTTCGCTGCATACCGAGGCATTGTCTGACGTATTCCCTTCCTTCTTTTTGGTGGCATCCTTGGCTACATCCCGAAAGGTATGACTGACCTTGAGTCGAGCCACCTGATCGTCCACTTCGACCCACCCTTCATCTTCATCCTTTAGAAAATGATGAGAATTCTTTTTCACATTGTCCACAATCTCTTGGGATATCAGTGTCTTTTCCTTTCGGGATGCCTGGTCGTATTCTGGTTTGCAATCTTCTACCAGATTCCTCAATCGCATGTTCCCAACATGTTCTTGGCACCGTCTACCCCGCCCTAACAAAATATCCAAATGTCCAGGAACAAAGACGGATCGTGGTCTTGGATTACCCTCATGACTTGGATTCGAACTCCATTTCTCATATGCGAGTCGTTTCTTCCAAATTTCCTTGGCATGGTCCATATCCGCCGCCTTTAATGGCATGACTGTGGTGGGTATTCCAAAGGTTTGCAATTTGCGCTGACACTCCAATTTGTTTCCTAAAAAGATTATGGTTGTTGTTGTGGTTGTTGATGATGATATTCATGGTATGAGTACAAATTCAATGTCAGGCCAAATCAAAGAAAGATTTGAAAGAAAGAAATCTATCAATCTATCAAATCCATCAATCAATCAATCAACGTACCATAATGAGTCCTGACTCGAACACCCATGTACATTCCCAAAGATAATTTGATCATGCCAAAAATGGGACTCAAAAAGAAATTATCATAACACAAATGAAAGGCTTCGTGTCGAAAGGGTATCGCGGTAAAGGCCAATTTGACCATGGCCCAAATGGCATTTTTGAATCCATCGGATTTGGTAACATGCACCATGTTTGAATCTTGTTTGTACCCAACCGCCCAGGAAACAAATACCACTCCATTCTTTTGTGTCTCTTCGTCATCTGCCAATACCATTAAGGAATAAAACAAGGCTCGGAGCTGAATGAATGGCACAGATGGAGAAAGCGGACCGAAACAACAATACGTTAGATCGTGTCAATTTTGCAAGAACGTTGTGCTTCCCTATAATCATGATCATGCAACTTACAATTTCCATGGTCGACCCCGCAATGTCCACCCCATTGTGCGAAAAGGAAATTCTTACTAGACGTCCCACCGAGTCCCTAATGGGCAAATGACCGACCCCCGTCACCAAAGCATCCATATCTCCAGGATTCAAATCGTTCTGGGTAATGTCCTGACAGAGTTTCTCTTGACCGAACAAATCCAATTTGGCTTCGAAATGCCGGGCCATGCGCAACGCTGCCTTTTTGGGATCAAAGCGATCCGCCCTTAGGAACTTGAGCCGGAATCGATCTTGCCTCACGTACTGCGAGTTCAAGTCGAGTGCCTTCCGATAGGCGGCCGCATCCTCCAAAATGCCAAGCTCGGCTTCCATTTCCAACATGGATTGCTGAATCAATTCGGGAGTTTCATCATTGTTGGAAATTCCATGAATATCAAAATAAGCTTGTTCTCGTTGATCCATGGTGAGACTGGACATTTGTTTGGCAATGAGCGAATCTACCAAACTGGATTCTACCTTTTCGGGCATGGCCGTGTGAATGATTTTGACGTCCTCTTCTTCTTTGTAAGGATCTGGTGAGCCTGATGCAGAGGAGTCCTCCGTCATGGAGAATGGAGAGGACGTGGAATCTCGATACGTAACGTTCATGATTGATTGATTGATTGATTGATTGATTGATTGATCGATTGATTGATCGATTGATGGTTATTCCCCTTTCTTGGTTTGTTGCAAGACTGAATCACCACTACAAAAGTGTGTTTGTTTGGTGGCCTACCGTACAAACTTTAATCTGACTATTCTGCTCGTTCTCCACCAACACGGTCCAGGTAGGTAGGTCTCCTTGAGAGTGAGGTTGCGGTTTCTTCCAAAACGCTTCCTTCGATGTTTTTCGACTCTGGTAAAAAGGTAACTTGGACTTAATGATATACAAGGAACATGGTCGTATGCGTTCCATGACTAACATTTTAAAAGAATTAAAGACACCTCTGTTGTTTATACCTATAATTGTTGCTCCGGAAATTTGTCGTAGCTCCAAGCCTTCTTATGTTAAAAATCAAAAGTTCGTTTTTGACTAATCCTGAAATTCCAAGCACTTCGCATTTTGGGTTCCCGTGCGTCGGAGCAAGATGTTCAACAATGTCTCTCATTGGTTTCGACTTGGAATACCGGTACCGGTACCGTACCGGTATGTGGAAGTGTCGTGTGGAAGAATATGTGTGGATCGATTGATTGGATTGCTAGCCGTGACGGAAATGTCCTAGAGATGCGTTGCACCATGTGATAGTAGAGCAGGGTCGACTTTCTCTTAAGGTCACCCTCCAAATCCAAAAATCCCGCCTTTGCTTGAATCTCATCATTGCACGTGTCACGCCGCATGCATGCATTCAATATTCATTCGGAATGGTACAAGTACTGTAAGATAAAGAATGTCACAGGAGCCTTTGTCCCGTTTCTGAAAGTTTGTGCCTGTTTCATCCATCACAGCAACCAACCTTTTTTCACGCACCTCTTCTCTACTGCATCAGATACAGTAGTGCACCATCCATAGTCAAGACAGTGTCAATTTTCTACGGTAGTTCGAATTCAAGTCAAGTCAATCCATCATCAAGAATAATGGTTTGCCCTACTCGGAGGACCCTTTTGTGTCTATTGTGGACAGTTTTGCTATCATCAACCTTTACCTGTGCTGAACAGCAACAGCAACAGCAACAGCAACAGCAACAGCAACAGCAACTCAAAGCTAGTCGTTCCAACGACATAATACAAGTCCGAGCACTCCGTACACCCGGTGCTCGTCAGGTGGTCAGTCCATTGGACAATGGCTTTGTGATTACCTTTTCCGGAGATGGAACTCCCATAGTCTTGAATCCCATTTCGCTCTTGCTCGACAGCATTGAAGGCGAACTGTCCAACAATGGCCGCGTCATTTTGGGACGTGCCTTTGCGGACTTTGTAAACGATGAATTGTCCCAAGCATGGTTGAATGAAACACAAATTGCCGACTTGACTGGCGTCTTGGTGGATGTTGTGAAAGTAGAAACCTTATCCAACAAACCAGGTGGTCTCAGGGAGATTGAAACTACCTTGGATACCACACTGACCTTTGATGGGTTGGCCGATGCTCCTGACATTTCCACTGTTAATGAAGCTGTCTTGGGAGCGCTTCTCAAGATGGACGTCTTTTTGCAAAATTATTTGCTGACTTCGGGATTGCCCGAGTTTGCGTCACTCACCAGAGCCGTTGCCAATATGGAAGTGGCAGTACCTGCAGGAGGAGGAGGAGAAGAAGAAGAAAAGACCAAGCCACCCAAAAAGGAAGACAAAAAGGAAGACAAACCATCGGTCGCTCAAGCCAACGCGGCTCCGGTCCGCAGCGGTTCCTTTGATCCCAATGATCTGAAGATTCTCATTCCCGCCACGGTCGGTGGCCTTGCCATGTTTCTGTTGACCGTCTTTTGGTTGGCTAGGAATCGCCGCCGTCAACATTTGGATATTTCCTACGATAGTTATGAGGATGACATTGATCATACCGTCAATGGATCGCAAATGGGCAAGGAAGAAATTGAAGTCCAAGCAGGAACTACCGCAATGGATTATGGTTACAATCCAGATGGTCATGTGGATTTGAATTCTAGTTACGGTGCAGGACATGTCGCCATGCACATTCCAGCCATGGATCAAGGTAGTTTGGCCAGTGGTAGGGCTGGTGGCAATAGTAGCAGTGCGTATCGAGATTTTCATCAGCACGGTCCTTCCACTGCCAAAACGCCGGCACAATTGTACAATCGAGGAAGTGTCCTGGATTCACCATCGAGAAATGGACAATCGTCTGTCGATGAGGAGTCTGAATATTCGGAAGGACAATATTGGAGGTAAACATAACTACTATACTGTAAGGGTTATTTTTGGGATATGTTGGGAATGGGACGCGGGTAATAATCATCATGCGGGGGGGGGGAAAGCATCCTATACAGTATTGTACCGGTAGCGAATGGATGACTTTCAATGGAACAGTAGTTTTTAGTTTAGTTTTAAATTATTGAAATGAATTGAGTTGATGTGGTGTGGTGTGTATAATATTATAGTATAATCACTATTATGCGATTATTATTATTACTTTTGTTGTTATTATACTGCCAAGCACTCTGGATCTTTTTGAAAATCATACATCATGCATAATTCAGGAACGAATGAATTACTGTATATTATAGCGAATGCTCTTCACTATATATATATATATATATATATATATATGAATACAAATCTAGACAGCGGTATACTGTATATTCACATACTGTAACCGTTTGGCATCATTGCCTCTTCCCCAAGGCCCAGCCTCGACATCCTGTGAACGCTCGAAGTCCCTACGATTCGCGGAGGGATTGAAGATCCCCAAGAACCAATATATATCTAGGCTTTGTGAGGGATGATTCTAATCTTGGCAATGATGATGACAAATAGTGTTGGTGAAATATAGGTGTGTTATAGTTAGTTGGATGGTTTGATTTGATTTGAAACATATTTTTTTTAGCGTATCAAGTGTGTGTACAAGTACGGTAGTTGTTATAATAGATACTGTAGTGAAAAATGACGAGCCCCGTTCTTTCTCCCATACACATTTTCAATTTGATCTTCTCTTTTAAGCTTCTTCACACCACTTGTTCTCCTCACGAACTTGTGCTTCCTCCTCGGGTGAAAAGTCATTGGTAATATTAAAGGTAGCACGAATTTCCTCTGGTGTCTTTCCCTTGATCATGGAAGCCACCGTGGCGCAAGTCAAATCCAACAAGGGCTTGATATCCATGTAATTGGCCGCCAAAATCAATTCAAACAGCAAGACTTGCTCTAGATCCACAAAGGTGGCATACCACTGTTGGACGACGTCCGCCATGTTCTGAGACTTGAGCGGCTTTTCAATTTCCGTCATGGGTTCCTCCAAATAGTGTTCGCAGAATTCAATCACCTTGCGCAAGACTTGGGCCTTGACATTGGGGAGCGGGATTTCCTTGGTGTCATCCTCGTCTTCTTCTTCGTCGTCGTCCATCATGGACTTGACTAGTTCCGACATGTTGGCAACCCCCGAAGGCACTGGGAATTGATCTCCTTCCTTGGAAATCTGGTTTATTCGGTTTTATTATGTGTGTTAGCAAAGGATGAAACAGCAAAGACGAGGCATTGCTAGGGCGCCAAGTTGACATTCGCCCGCACTGACAAAGCACTACGCGATTGCTCCTTCGTTCTCTCTCTCTCTCTCTCTATCTCAAGCACACAAAAAACGAAACTTACAAGGTTGACAGTGGCATTGCTTTCTTCGACGTCCATTGTGGCTATTTTGTATTGTGTGATTATATGAATGGAAAGGTAGACCTTGGTGTGTATATGATACAAGATGATAAATGATTTCGGTGCGCTACTGTACTACTGTATACTCAACCGGATGTACGCTGGCATGTTTCGGTGTGTAGGCTTGGGTAGGATTGCTACCTGCCAAACAAACAAATCGTGCTCCTTCCGAAGGTTCTACGCACGTTGCGCAGACGGGACTACCAGACCCGCCTAATCGGAATCCCGCGGGATGATATCGAAACTTGGAATTCATCAAAGACGGCAAGATGGTGCAAATGATAGACGATTGATTGATTGGACTTGGTTGGTGATACAAGAAGATGCCTAGTCCAATGTACAATGTTGTTTACAACGACGTGTCTATTGTGACTTCTTTTATGAACTAAACACTTGTAATACACTTTTCTTGCCTGGCTGCGCGGCTGGCTGGCCGTCCCCTTCCTGATTCAATCTTGGGAAAAGATATGCGGGTCCCGAAAAAGCTTGACCCCCATTTCTCCACAATCAGAATGGATCCATTTTTTATTGTGTTCTCGTACCGGGACTACCGTAGATGTACCGGTAGAAACGTCAGATCAAGCACATTATATTTACCAAAAGACACCGGCACGGTCAGTCTGACCTCCACCTCCCACATCTGGTGAACCAAATCGGAGTGGAAGGACAGACCCATCAAATAATTCACGAATTTTCACAAGTTCAAATACTGCTTGTATTCAAATACTGCTTGTATTTTATACTGTATGATACGATAGTTACTATTTGTACTCAAAAGTCGGTAGCGGAATCGAAGCTTTTTAAAAACACCTGAAGACAAAGTAAAAGAGCTGTTGGCTCTACTAGATACGATTTGACTGTACATATACTATATCTAATATGATTTTGGTGCTGGTACCGGTACACTGGTCCCTCCGTCTTTGCAATGTGTCCACACAAATCAGTGTGGGGAATATGAATAATATCAAACTAGACAAGAGAGCAAAACCTGAAAAGCAACAAAGCAGTTGCCGCCTTGTAGAATGATTACATGTTGCAGATTGAAAAGCAGGTGCTGCCAACAAGGGACGAAGGTGGCTGAAGGAAGCCAATGAGCCATTCGAACAAGACTATTGAACCATCTCTGAATCATCTATGTGGTGGTGATGATGCAGAGCCGAGTATTGTTTTGCGTCAAATAAAGCAGACACTACATACACTGCTGTATCAATAGTAGTAGCAGATCCAGGTGATGACGATTTAAGGCAAAACATTGTTGGTGTCAGCATACACACACAAAACATAGGTTGAATGGAGGATGACCTATTCACCAAGATCCACAATAACAATGAAGACAACGATGACAATCATAATGACAATCCATGATAGCGCTCGCAGAGGCAACGCAGTGTATCAGGAGATGACGACAAGAAAGCTGCGGATGGTGGAGGCAACTCAGCATATCCTTACAAATGAAGTCCCAGTCTGACAAATCAGTGTGGGGAATATGAATAATATCAAACTAGACAAGAGAGCAAAACCTGAAAAGCAACAAAGCAGTTGCCGCCTTGTAGAATGATTACATGTTGCAGATTGAAAAGCAGGTGCTGCCAACAAGGGACGAAGGTGGCTGAAGGAAGCCAATGAGCCATTCGAACAAGACTATTGAACCATCTCTGAATCATCTGTGTGGTGGTGATGATGCAGAGCCGAGTATTGTTTTGCGTCAAATAAAGCAGACACTACATACACTGCTGTATCAATAGTAGTAGCAGATCCAGGTGATGACAATTTAAGGCAAAACATTGTTGGTGTCAGCATACACACACAAAACATAGGTTGAATGGAGGATGACCTATTCACCAAGATCCACAATAACAATGAAGACAACGATGACAATCATAATGACAATCCATGATAGCGCTTGCAGAGGCAACGCAGTGTATCAGGAGATGACGACAAGAAAGCTGCGGATGGTGGAGGCAACTCAGCATATCCTTACAAATGAAGTCCCAGTCTGACAATACCGTCTGACAAGACCAACTTTTGACCATTCCCAGAGTGCCGGCTCCCAACATGGTGAACAACATGGCTTGAATTGAAAATCTAGTGGCGGTATCATTGTCCCAGTTGTAACTAGTGTAGGAAAGTGTGGGGCCGCTAGAAACTGAGATGTCACCAGTCATAGTCAAACCCTAGCCCTCCTTTTCTTGATGACAGTAGCACAGCAGCATCCATACCTGCAGACGATCCAGCCATCTTCATTACTCCAATGCACCAAATCTCCAACCTGTTAAAGCGAGGACTTGGCACAACACAATGAAGCTTTTATGCTACATACTGTTTGTCACTCTGCGCAATGAAAGTTGAGGAACAGATATGTAAAAAGCTCAGTATGCAGAAGCGGATGAAGGAAGAACCCGTCTCTGAGGAATTGGAAGTGCCACTGGCTAGTACTAATGAAAGAAGAAGGAAGATTCAGCTTGTTCACGGATTGGGTTGGAACAACACAAAACAAAAGGACAGCAACAGTGCGTTCTGGTGGTGATGTTTTTTATGTGGTGATGTGTGATGTGTGTAATATTTTGTCTTCGCTGTTTCTGCGAGCAGTATTTCTGCGAGCAAGCCGGGTGTAGTCGTTGTGTTGGAGGTGGAGGTCAGACTGACCGTGCCGGTGTCTTTTGGTAAATATAATGTGCTTGTATTGCGTTTCATTTATAATATATATCTTCACACATATTTAATCCTTATTCCATGAGAAAGGCATTGCTTCTTTCATTGCGAGCATCTGCATCGTTCCAGACTACTGCCTTCTCATCCAATTTATCACACTACAGGAGTATACATGATGGTGTGAATCGTAAGATACCACCAGCAGGCACACCCACGACAATAAGAAGGTTCATGACATCAGCAACATCGTCGTCGTCCACAACATCAACATCGTCAACAACAACAACAACAATTCCTGCCATCATTCCTCGAGCTGCCGTGGCAGTGACGGTCCAAACAATCTTTCAAGGAACGTATTATTATCTTTTGATTCAACGCAAGAATCCACCCGACGCTGGGAAATGGTCCCTCCCGGGTGGTAAAATTGAATTGGGGGAACCGACGTTGCAAGCGGCCCAACGAGAATTGCAAGAAGAAACCAATGTAGCATCATCCAACGACTGCTGCCAATGGTATCCATATCCCTTCATGACGACCGATGCGATTGTTCAAAACACTGATACTGTTGATGGTGGATCCTATTCCTTTCATTATCTGATTGCCCAGTGCTTTGCACAATTATTATTGGTGGGACGAGAGCAAGAACATACTACTACTACTAATAATAATAATCATGAGACGGTACTACTACTACTACCACCTTTGGAAGCAAATGACGATGCACTCGATGCCAAGTGGTGGACCATTCAGGAAATTCAGACGGAGCTGGTTCCAAACAAGGCTATTTCAGACATGGTAGTGCATGTCATTTCACGAGCAGAAGAGCTATGTGAAAAGGGTTGCTTGAATACAGAGTAGAATGAATTGCAAGTCACCAATCGATAGAAAGCATACTACCTATTGCACAGCAAGACTATAGCGCTCTTTCCAAAAAATAATAGGTCTATTATATAAATATTATTCGTCACAAAATCCGCAGTATACTCCATTGCAGTCCGCGTCGGTAAAGGTTAGAATCTGAAAGTAGGGATTGGATTCGGCAATTTTCTTGAGCCATTCGTTGCACGCTCCGCAGGGTCGCAAGGGATTCATGTCCTATAGTAGTACGTATAGAACAACAAAAAGAAGAAGCAATGGTGAGTGTTAGCTGTTGGATCGAGCCAAGGCGGAATCTTCGTCTCCTTCTTCTTACATCATTTGAATGGACAAACAAATGTCGTTTCCGTGATCGCGTTGTCTTTTGCTTGATTCGCTTATTGTTATTTTCCAAACCGTGATAGACGGAAACCCGTCGGATAGGAGATTTTGGCTGCATCACGGCGGCGGCGGCGGCTGCTGCTGGGCCCAACGTGATGGATGGAGGTACTGGAGCTGTTCCTGGTTCTGCTGCAGTGTTCGTAATACTATTTGGATGCAAGGGTGGTGTCCTACTGACCGCCATCAAAGAAGGCGAAGCGCTGGCGTTGGAGAATGCTCGGGGCCGCCTATCGTTCGTCAAATCTTGAAAGACTGGGCTGCCTTGTTGTTCTACTACCAATGTCTCTGTCGAATACGACGGCATTAGTTTGGGAGATTCACCATTGTCAAAGTCGGGCGCCAAACTTGGCATACTGCAGTAGCTTGCTACACTGCCAGATCGAACCAGCCGTCCAAACTGGTGCTTGGAGGGTTTCGGAACGGACAAGACGGCAATGGCCTTGAGATCTTGTCGCTTCAGACTAGGATTGTCTGCCAAGGCGGTTCCAATGACATTGCGCTCTGCACACAAACTTCCCGTGGGCATGCTGACTTCCATATTGGTGCCTCGGTACAACTTGATCCGACCATCAGGCATTTGGACCGCCAAGACGGCCAAGACCGGCTTGTGAGTTTTCCGCAACCAAAACTTTTGAATGTCATGATTGTCGAACGACATAATTCTCGTCATTTCCATGGAAAAGGTTTTGATCTCATCCACAACCTGCATGACCAATGGTTTGTCCTGGAGCTGTTTGGTGGAAAGAGCAGGAACTGTTTCCATTTCTTCAAATGAATGAATTTCAATGTCCGAGTCGACAATCTTGGATTCATGCCAAAAGGTCTTCAGTTGCCAGCAATGGTAGTAGGTTGGTCGGTAGGTTCGCAAGGCAGCTTGAATGGCATGATTTCTAGCAGGACTGCCATCACCAAAACTCAAAGTCACGTGAAAGCTCTTTTTCCAATCGTTCATGAATGGAAGATTCTCCATCATTCTTCCAGAATTCATCAAGGCTAGGCTAACTTTTGTGGGTGATTTGGTATTCATGACTTCATCGGGATAGGGCAGCCCCTTGGCGTGGGCATCCCTGTAGGCTTGAATGCACGGCATGAGTTCATTCTGCACAAAGGAAATATTCTCATCGTATCGGAAAATATTGGTTTCGGAGTGGACTCGGACCACAATCAAATGGGGATAGAGTGTCTGGAGGTAGTGTTGCATCAGTTTTGCGCACATTTGGGTCGAGTTTCCCGTCATGCTGTGCGTCCAATTGCGTGGACTCCCAACTCCAGAGACCAAAAACAAGACCTGTTTGGGTTGCTTCTGGCCAGCACTATACTTTTGTTGAATCATGCCTTGCCATTGTGGCATGAGTGTACCAAGCAATGGAAAAAAGACAGCATTCAGACTGATGCTGTCGCTGTCTTGGATATTGGCAATCCGTGAACTATCTCTTCCACGAAGTCGCAAGTCGTTCAGCTCGTTGCAAGTCACATGGAGCGACTTATTACTGTCATTGTTATTATCAGAAGATGATGAGGAAGGGGTCGGCAGTGAAAATCCGATTGGCAACTGGCCCAACATTGGTTCTGATTTGATGGTATATCGGTTCGTTTCGTCACATCGTTCGTAGCGTGGAAACTTCACCAAAGATTCTGTACCCAGTGATTGCAATACTTCGGCCACCTTTTTGGAAAAATAATCAAAGGTGGAAAACCGTGGCCGGCAGAGGCAAAACGAATCGTCCTCCAAGGGTGTTTCGGGGGAGGATGGTTGAGATGAATGGTCAGCATTAGAAGAAGTGCCAGTAGTATTTGCCGGAGTATCGAGGCTGAAAACCATATCGGTATGTGACACATTGTATACCATTAGTTCCATGTAGCGCGTAGTAGAAGAGTCTTTCTCGGTCAAGTTGGTCGTTAGTGGCGTCGTTGGCGAAACCTTGTCAATATTTGTAGTCTGATGATTGGTGTCCTGCTCCTCAACGCTAGCGTCGGTATTACTGTGTGGCAAGGGTAGTGGAAGGTCATGTTCAGCTATAGGGGTAAATATGGACCGAGACTGCAATGATAATGAATTCTTGTCAGTGTCATCATCATTTTTGAATCTCTTGGATTCGAATTTTGAAGAATTGTCGGATGAGGAGGAATCTTCGTCCCTCCTTAAAGTCAAGAGCAGCCCAACAACCAAGAAATCCAGTAGCTTGTTACTGTTCGGTGATGCCATATTACGGTTTTGATTGAATATCAAATATCCGACGCCAAGCCAGAGTGGAAGGTCTTTTGCCAATGGATTCTTGAGATATCTTCCACCTGTCACTTTCATTATATTGTCTAAAACAGACCGTATTCTTTCTGGTTGGCTGGCATTCGGAACAAGTTGCTCTTCTCTTTTATCATTCTCCAAGGCCTTATCTTTTGCATTGGCATTGGCGCTGTCATGGCTAAAGTAGGCACTCAAGAGTATTGCACTGGTTGCTGAAATGACCGAGGTTGCCAGGAGTGCCCACGTTGTTGGAGTAGTGTCATCATGATGATTGTGAGACGATTGTCCTCCTTTCCCTGAGAATGACATTAGGTCCTTTGAAACCGTATCCCTGATGCTTCTCGAGGGATGACAGACTCTCAAGTTCTTTCTGGTCGAAAAAATGGTTGTCTTGGAACTAGCACTGGTTGTGTGGCTGCTGCTTCTGTGTGTGTCAACAAAGTTCGAAATTTTGATGAGAAAACTTCAACCGAAAATCGATTTTCAAAACGAAGATTCGAATCGGAAGAACTCTTCGATTGCTTTGTGTGGTGCCACGTGCGTATGCCTGACACATGATCTCTACTTCTCCATATTTCAGGCAGGCCGGCGCTGGAATCTCGCCACTTTAACCGTCAGACGGTATTTTGGGAGATGAAAATGTTGAAAAATTCATCCACATTCACATTCACATGCAAAAGATCCAATGACAAAAAGTTTTATTGGAAGAACAACAAAGCGGTAAAACTGTAGCAGTATGAGTTCCAACACGCCCTATTACAATGCAGCAGAAGGACCGGCGATTTTAGACCAAGGAAATGCGGAATGGAAACGAGGCACCAAGCAAGGAGCAAAATGTCAAGACTTGATTTGGGGCATTTTGTTTTATGTGCAGCTGGGAGTGATTGGCATTCTGACGGCCAAATATGCACCGATAATGACTGTGGAATTGGCAGAAACCTATGCCACTAGCAATTATAATCAAGGACGCCGACTGGAAGAGCAAAATGAACAAAATAATGCCTTTGAAGTCAATGTCGGTCAAATTTGGTTCCTGGTGGGAACTTCGGCGTTGATCAGTGGTTTGCTATCCACCTTTGCCATGACACTCATGTCCAAGTGCGCACAAGTTCTCATCAAAATGGCGCTCTTTTTCAACATTTTTGTGACGGCAGGAGTGACCATTGTGGCCTTGGTGGCAGGCGGATCTTCGAGTGTCGTCTTGCTATGTGGAGTCTCCTTTGTATTTGCACTCTATTATGCTTATGTCGTCTGGAATCGAGTTGCCTTTGCGGCATCCAACCTGGTGACAGCGACTACTGCGGTGCAGGCAAATTTGGGATTGACCTTTTTGGCCTATTCCAGTTTGATTCTGTCCATGTTGTGGTCCGTGTGGTGGGCGGTTGCCTTTGTGTCGACCAACTATGTATTGGGAAACTGCAATCCAGATGGTACCTGCGAAGAAGAACTGAATGGATTCATTGTATTTTTACTGCTAGTGAGCTACTTTTGGACGGCACAAGTCATCAAGAATGTGGTTCACGTGACAGTGGCGGGGACGGTTGGTACCTGGTGGTTTGCGCCATACGAAGCTTCTGGTTGCTGTTCCCAGGCGGTCCGAGACTCGTATACGCGGAGCATGACAACATCCTTTGGTTCCATTTCCCTTGGATCGCTGCTGGTTTCCCTTGTATCAGCGACAAGGGAGATGCTATACGCAATGCGAGAACAAAACAATTCGTTGTTGCTATGTCTGGCCGATTGTTTGCTGGGCTGCATTGAAAGTCTGTTGGAGTACTTTAACAGCTGGGCATTTGTCTATGTCGGTCTCTACAATTACAGTTTCATAGAGGGTAAGTGGGCCGTCCTTGTTTGATCATCTCATTTACAATTGTCTGTCTGGTTGCTCTTGCTGTGGCTCTATCTAATAGCACTTCACTTTGTCATCGTCATATTTCACAGCCGGCTCCAATGTCATGACACTCTTCAAGTCGAGAGGATGGTCCGCCATTGTTGCTGATATTCTAGTAGACACAGTATTATTGATGGTTAGCTTGGCCGTTGGGATCTTGACTGGCTTATCCTTGGCGCTACTGGCTAGCTTTGCCAATTGGAGCCAGGAAATGAGAGGGGTGGCACTGATGTAAGTAACACTTTGCATGTCGATATATGGAACATGGATGGAAAGTGTATTATTCATAATCTTGCTCATCAATGTCATTCGCCGATACTATTTCTATACAGAGCTGGAACAGTGGTCGGATTCATCTTTTGTACTACCATGTTTAGTCTCATTAGCAGTGGGGTGAACGCGGTCATTGTCTGCTATGCCGAGGCGCCGGCTGAATTCCAAGAGAATCATCCTCATTTGGCCCAGCAAATGTTGGGTGCCTGGAAACAAGCCTACCCCAACGAGTTTCAATATTGATACTTATATTATTTGCAAGTAAGTATTATATAAGTGTAGCTACAATCTACGGGGATCAAGACGAAGCTGCCGACAATCGTTGTACCATTGTTGTATCCTACATGGAAGTGACGAAAATTGTCATGGGTATGAATAAATAAGATGTATTATTACTAGGACTAGAGATTGCATATATATACTTTACATTAGTTTGTACATCCAGCTACCGGTAGTTCCAGTTCCAGCGGTTTGAGTTCTCTTCCGGTATTTGACACCGTTGACATCTTTCGACCGTTGGTTCAATGTCGATCGTTGGGGTGGCAGCATTTTCTGACTGACTCAGCGCAACTAAAAATGACATCATTCTGAATTTTGAACCCGTTTAGCCTGCGTTAACACTTCGAACCGGAGGCTCAATTCGTAAAACGCTGCAAGGGTTGATTTCTCCACTTATTAACCCTGGGACTTTGTGTTCGATAACCTTCTATTTCTAAATAAGAGAAACCAGGCTAAACTTTCGCTGTTAAGTACATTCCGAAAGCGAAGGTACAGATTTCATAAATATTGAAAAAGCATTAAATTGTATTTTAATCCCGAGTCATAAGTAGAGATTAGGATTATATAGCTCGAATTCGACTAGCGGGGACCCACATGCAGTCTATTAAGTGTTTTTGTTTCAATGGTCGTATTTCCGCTAATTTTTTTGGTATCGTAAAAAGGCCGGTAGTCAGGTGCGGTATTCAACTGTTCTCAAACTTTGAGGTACGGAGCGTTTTCACAACAAGGATCATTAGATAGGATACGATTAGCTAACGGTACATGAGTGTTTGTGTTAGCGATAGCCCCAGAATTCCCACAATACTTCCAGCTACCATGATGAAGCCAGACAGGTATTACAGCTACGAAGATATTTGCAATGATGTCGATGAGATTGATTCAGATTCAGAGAACGACTCGATCGAGGATGATTATTCAGAGTACTCTGAATCTCTTTCTCATGGTAGTCGTGAGGAGTGGCTGAGTACGATAGCAGAGGAAACCTCCTTTGATCTACGGACGAGAAAGTCTTTGGATTCTGCTTCGCTTGTATCTTGCTTTGATTTTTCAATAGCTGAGGAAGATTTCAATGATGATACTGATGAGGAAATTGATTCGCTGAGAGGGGTGCAACGTCAACTAGAAAGGTTGAAGAAACGGCTAGATCGGTTCACCAGCATGAGCGACGAAGATGATAGTTTGGATTCCGATTGTTACAGCTATTCATCAGAAGAAGAACAGCTCGAACCGCTCGAACCGCCACCAATGCAACAACAACGGAGCAGCAGCAACCTCTCGCCCAATGGATCCGATTCTCCAGAGAAGCCACTTGTTAGGAAAAAGAGTCAATCGACCCAAACGACATTGGAAAACTCGTCTCATTCCGACTCTTCCTCCTCCTCTTCTGCTGCTAATTCTCTCAATGAGGACGGTGAAGTGGCCCTGGATGTGCTTTGTGAATCGGAACGAATAGATCCTCTTTCGATCTCTAGTTCCATGAAGGATACACAAGTACAACTTGGAATCGTGACACCAAAGATGGTTGGCATCCACAGCCAAGCAATCAAGCTTTCTTCCTCACAGCACCATCGATGGATTGGTACCAATATCGAATTCTCGATTCCAACAAAGGGCGCTGTTGAGGATCCAGCAGATACCGTTTCCCTCTTGGACGCTGCGTCCATCTCTGCGGAAAGCATCGTCTCCACCTCGTTTGACATTTCGTCACGTCATCGTTCCAACAGCATCAAGCCGAATATTCCAACCTCCATTCGGGAAGAATCACGGACTCTGGTCACTCCGCTCATGATGAGCCCAAAACGCAAGGTTGTCCTTCCCAGCAAGTTGACACTCAATAGTGCCTTGTTGCAAAAACTGGACGAAGGCTCCGACTACTCACCGACATCCAGCAGATGGAGCGAGGAGTCGAGTCCTACTGTTGCGAGCGATGACAGTCCGCTGAAACTGTTGAGCACCTTGCCACTCTTACCACCATCCTCACGCTCTCAAAAGAACATTGATTTCATGGTGGCGGACAAGAAGATCTCGTGCCATGCGTCATCCCGTTTGCCTCCCTCTGTGAAAGGCACAACCACTACGTATCTACATGTTCAATCGCCAGCCTACTGCAGGAGGCAGCAAAAACGAAACCAGATTCAAGCCAAACTACAAGCACTCCAATCCAAACTTTCCACAATAGTGAAACAAGAAAAATACGAACAGACCAATACCAAAGTCATGAAATGCTAATTAGTAAATATAAGCAGCAAAAAGTACAAAATAATTTTCGAGTCCTGGTGGTCCGCATGGCATGCATATATACGGTAGCAGCGGCAGTCTTAGAATCATCGACTGCACATTACCGCAACGCTTCTGGATGTTGAGTGGTCTCACGAAAGTCTTGCTAAAAGACATGGTTGAACCTTGAGTGTGCAGAACACCATTATATGCAAGAGGTTTGGAATATGGCTTGCTACTGGTGGTATCATGTAAGACTTGTGAGGTGTGTACTATTCGTCTTTTGCAAAAGAAACATATGTTCTTTGGGTTGTACTAGTAAACAAATATGTTGGTCCACATAGCATAATATGCATGTAACAGTGTTTATCCTCTTTGGTAAAAATGTAGATGATGAACTTTTTCAGCACTTGGCTGTTGGAAGAGCTAGTACCATTCTAGATACTAGGGCCCGGGACTGATCCCACGAAAGTTTTTCGCGGAATCTTTATAGTAGGCCGAGGTTTGGAAGATGGATTTGGTGGTATCACGTTGTTGCAGGGTCCCCGACGTCTTCTTTCGCAGAACAAGGATCACCTGTTGCACAAGAGCCCGCTCGTCTTTGGCTCTCAACAACACTAGGGCTTCTTCTGGGAGCTTCAGCAACCGCAGGTTCTGGTATTACATGGAGTTCACTGTTGATGGCGAACTCATCAGCAGAAGCAAGCATTTCGTTCATCGAATCGCTGAGAACCAATGGAAAGTTAGAGCCATCACCAGGCACAATAAAAACATCAATCCAACCATTGGCATTCGATTCTTCTCCTACAGATTCGTGGATAACCGATGACACCATTCTGCATCGCCTCTTTGCCGGAAAGAGTCGTAACTCATGTTGGACAGAGCGCTTGGTGGGTCGATCAGGCAAGCTGGGGAACTGAAGTTGCAATGAAAACATCTTGTAGTCGTCAGTAGTATGATCAAGAAGGATATTCTAGGACAGGAACAAACAATATTTTGCGTGGTGGAGCACCAGGTCTTCTGAAATTGGTCTTCTTGATCGGATGACAGCAACATCTACAGTATTAATTAATTCTGGTAGTTGTTTCCTTGTTCGGGTTTCTCCACCGTATGTATTCCGAAGTAAAACACCAAGTTCGCCTCCAAAAGTTGAAATAGATCCGAAAAGTTCGTCATTCGAAATCTCGTCCTCGCTCGCAGATCGAACTTGGACACACAAGCAAGTGACGCACAATATAAAAATTATCGTTACAACGTTACGATGTGGTTGACTTACGAATAGTAGCTATAGTAGACGGTAGTGTAAATGAAACGTATTCTTGGAAAGAGTGTGTTCATCATCATATCGACGACCTTCGTCAGAGGCCGATTTATCCTTACTACTCGCGGACCCTGGCAATCGTACGCGTCTGTATCAGTACGACGCATCTCGTATCCAACAGCACAGTCACCTTTATTTGCACTCCACAACCATCGAATTGGTTTCGCCTCTTGCAACACGACTTTGAGCGCCATGAAGAATACCCACGCGCTTAGCTTTTGTTCTTTGACTCACCCGTTTTCGGAAAAATACGAACATGTTCAATGTAAATTCGTTTTTCTCGGTTAAACAGAGATTTCGCGCGACCCAATCCACTGGGTACATTCCTTGCATCAAGACTGTTGCATCTTCTCACAATTTGCGAAACATTCAACTTTTCACGATTTGCGAAGCAGCTTTCATCCAATCTGCTACTTCATCACTGAACCATGGATAATTCCTATCATCAGCATGTCCCTACTGAGAACTTTTGTGACTATGGGAGGAAGAAGAAGGAAGAGATTGATATAGATGAGCACTGTTCAGTGCATTCAGAGGAGTACACTCTAACAAGCTCCTTTACCTATGAGGAGCCATTGAGCACCATTGCGGAAGAAAAATCGGTCGACCTTTGGACGAAGGGTTCCGATATGTCGATGCCAGACCTAGAGGATTTAGACTCGTCTTGTACGATGGACTCTCCAAGAGTGGAAGGCAAGTCCTACAAGAATCGCCTTTATGAAAAGTTCTACAGCGAGACCAGAGCGGATGAGTGCCCAGTTGATTCTTTGGACCTAACGAACCATTACACTCAATACCACGGGCTGAAAACAAGTCCAACATGTGATTATGCTGGACACTCGCACCGCAGTTCATCGGCCACACTGAGTACTGCATCTTTGTCACGATCGTCGCGGTCTTCGCTCTCTGCTCATCCATCTACGGCAAAGCAGCCGCAGATTGAAAGTATGCGTAACGCCCGATGGGATCCTGAGATTACGGACACCCCAGATGAAGAAGGTCGCCATTTAATTGGAGTCAAGATTCAATTCTTTCGATCTATGGAATATGGTTCCATTTTACCGATGGAATTGCCAATATGCGCCTATGCGGACAGCCCTTCTTCTTTGAACCCCGGCAGTGACGAAACGAAGTCCGAGAAGACAAGGCGAGACAAGAAGCAGAAGAAAACGAAAGAGAATAAGAATAATGAAGCTGCTGATATTAAGGAGGAGACGAAGATGAAGAGCAAGAAGGTCGAAACGGATAGGCCTAGGCGCCATACCAAATGCGAGTCGCTGAACTCCGGTCCCGATGCCGACAACATGAAACACACTGCGATGAAGATTCATCGGCGTTCAATCCGCGAGAAGATCAAAGCTAGGATGCGTTCAATCGACAAAACTCTTTCCAAAGTGCGGGCAATTGAGAGCAACAGGGAAATTGATGTCTGATTCTGTGTACGAATCAAGGTTAAAATAGATATAGTTTCTAAAAAGAAGAGGAAGTCTAGTCCTACAGAACATCATGGATCTAATGTTTATTGCCGCCCCCCTTCCTTGGATTCACATACATCCCATCTACTGCTGTTTCTCATGCAAATGGAAAACATTGCTCCTTGAGCTCTCCAAGCTCAGCCACAAGTGGATGGCGATATTGCACTCGAAGTCCACACCATACGGCACCATTATCTCCACATTCTTGTTCACAACTCCGTGGTGGCTCATCGTGATGATTCGGGCGGAAGCCACCTTGAGGTGTTGGAATATCACAGAACAGAACAATGACCCCAAAGAGGAGAAAAGGACCAGGGTTGCGCCGAAAGATCCTCGCTCAGTACGATTCATGTTCTACTTCGACGGAAAACGAAACAGGGAGAGGTGACAGATAAACAGCTCCTTGGGAAATCTAAATAATGGACAGAGGTTTCGGACAAATGGAGAATCGGAATGCGTGCGAATAGCTCCCAAATTTGTAAACATATATCGCATAGTTTTTTGGTCGGGCTATTTCTCTTTTTCTATACACCTTTTAGCTAGAACACGCAATTTTCTGGAAATTGTACTCGCGACACGTTGTTTTGTTTAGCCTCCTCGCCACGACTTCCTATCCAAATCCACTGCTATAGCCCTCACCTTCTCTCATAATTTTCTTTGCCGAGATTCTCATATCCTTCTTCTGAAGGCTCCAAATAGATTCACCAATGAACCGCCAACAGTTTCTTGACATGAACACGAGCAATAGTAACGAATATTTTCTTCAGAAGCATACGTTCTTTTTGGATCAGTGCAATGTAGATGAAGACTTTGAGTTTCCTCATGATGGATTGAGCACTATCGAGGAAGAAAACTATAATGACCTATCACTGTGCGATTCGGTCTCCAGCTTGGACTATCTGGATGGCGTCGATTGGTGTACTGACCTAAATAAAGTCAAGAACCAAGGCCAACGCCGACGATTGGGAGCAAACCTGAATCTACAGCCAGTTCCAAAAGTTATCAGCGGAATCTGTGACCAAGATTCTACCTGGGGCAATAAGGGAAGTCTATCTTCACAAGCAACCTTGAGCACAGCGTCTTTATCAATATCCTCTTTCGAATTGTCATCCTCTTTCGGATCAATCTCATCACTGGACTCATTTACATTTGTGGATGCCCCAGAATTAACTTCGTGCGTCCAAGAGGAAGCAACAAGTCCATCAGCTAACGCTGACAAATTGCAATACGAGGAAGCTGACGACGAGTTTCTAGTTGATGCCCAATCGTTTCAAGGCCAAGAACTTCTTCGCAGACAGCTCGAACGCAGGATACAAGAAATAGATCAAGCAATTTCGAAGCTCAAGCTGGCTGGACCCGCTGATAAATGAATCTCTGATGCAACATTTCACGTTGGTGACGAAACAATGAAACAAAGAGAAGCAAGGTGTGTCTAAAGCTTAAGAATAGTGCACATAACACACTATAATTGTATAATACTATTTGCCCCGATATATCGTATGGCCTGACAAGATGAATAATTCAATCAATGGAGTGCCCAGTATTGAATATTGGAGTTAGACGCGTTTTGTTGCAAATATAAGCTGTGACTTTAGTCTTCCATCGAATACCAAGCCCTACAGGTTGTGTTCGTCGACTATTGAAACGGTTGCTGATTCGGGAGAGGCTTGTGGTAGCAAGAACCGAAGCTCTTCGACGTCCTTAGAGGATTGTTTTCAAAGTTGAATTTGTCCCAACGGAGAACTGGTCCCACGAAGTGTTATCCTTCTATCTTCAAAAACTAAATTGAGTGGTTCGACATTGTTCAATGAAACAGATCACTGGTGCTAATGTTTCTACTATTCGGCAAGAAGGGGGCTGGTGGATGCCTGGAAGAGTAAGTAGTTGACGTCAGGTTGCTCCAAAACTCAAGTACTGGCAACGGTGGTCCTCGATGGATGATTCCAGTGAATGAGCGATCTCAAAAATCCCTTTTGGTAGCAGAATGCAAGTTGAATAGACCCCCTGGCGCTGACGATAGCGCTCCATCCTATAACCTAGAGTGCAATGATTTGCGGGATGGAAACATGTGCACGTAATCTCCTCCATCATCGGAAACTCCACCGATTTGATCGATCTTGTTCTTCGGTGCTCAAGTCCCCGCTGGCAGTAGCCTGCGAGAATTGAACTGTGGACGTTATTGCTGCCTGTCTCGCAGTTTGTCTCGGTATACAATACCTTTCAACCACACCACTATAGATAATTGCATTCAAGGCTCCTAGTGAAAGTTATTGCAGAACGAAAAAGTGAACAGAAATGAAAACCCGATAGACGATTCTGTCAACAATAAGAAATCCGGTTCCGTCAGTTTTTTGAATCGTACCTTGCGATGGGAGGGCAATTGTCACAACGGTTGCTGCTGCAACGGTGTCGAAAACTATTGCAATGGAACTTGGTAACCATACGATAAGATACACAAATATGTACATCATGGACCGGGCCAACACTAGCTTTTGCTGTCTTCCAGTTTGAGCTGTCAGTGTCCATCGTGTTGCACGATTCTCTTGGTGTCGCACATAGAAGAAGAGCGATGCCATTGCATATATGATGATGAGCAACGTCAGAAATGCCCATCCCATTGCCAGTCCAATCTGGTACAACAAAGGGTCACTACCCCTTACATTTTCGTCACAATATTCATCAAACAATGGCCCAAGTCTTTCCAAATCACAAGGTGCCGGGGAAATGTCGATCCAACAGAAACCAATGTTCAATGCATTGGTCATCTCCATAGCAGCGGCGATAGTTGCCGTCAGCACAGCAAAACTGATACCAAACGCAAAGAAGAAAATTTCCACCTTTTTCATCTGCTTTTCATTCCATGAATACTTTACAACCAGTAGACTTTGAATGGCCAAAAAGGCTGTAAAGACTGTGGAACCACAGACGCCAAGCTGGATCATTATTCCCTGAAGTGTGCATGTGGCAATGCTGCCGCTTGCATCTGGATAGTCAATGTCCCAACGTTCTAGAGGAGAAAATAGGCTGATAAGTATAGTCTTACACCATAAGATAGCATGCGTGGAAGCTCAAACAACGTACCTTGACTGTAGTACTTTTCAAAGTCACCCGGTGGCGACGATGGTGCTGCCCAACGACCGCAAAACAACGCAACTGAAGAAAGAATATCAAAACAGCAAATGGAGAACAGCAGCCGATTGAAAAGTAGAGGCATATTCTTTTTGCGACGTGCACTGGTACCAACAAGACTCAGCAAGATATACGTCGATCCGAGTATCGATAAACTACTGCTGACTCGGAACAAGATAGCCCAGGTTCTCTTTCGTTCGACATCGGTTACGTCCTGACGACAATTGCAGGTGTCAATGTAGGCGCGAGAAGACACGTCGATGGTGAGTAATATAAGTCCATCTACTATCAGTGCATCAGTCTCATTTTGAAACATGCTGTTGATTTCTTTTGCATCCTCCAACATGACTGATGCCAATGACAGGTTGGTGTCAGGTTCTTCGTCGAATTTTTGAAAAGCTGTAAGAGTATCTTTGGATATCAGTAGATATTTTGCGAAAGGATACAACTTTTCCACTGTCTGTGCCATTTTTGAGTGGTCACAGGATCCTATCCATTCTGCTGCAGCTGGGTCGTCATAGAATATGGCTGTTTGGTATTGGTTATTGTTCAGTTCGTTGGTGGACCAATTGGAGAATATGTTGCTGTCTGTTGAATCCAAAGTGTCATTACATAAGTCTATCGTTGTTTTCATTACCACAGCTGTGACAGTGCTAGTCCAAGGGACCCCAAACATGGCCGGATGTGCCAGGATGGTTCGAGGCGATGATGATGAGGATGATGAGGATGATGACGACAACGATGAAAATGAGTTTTGAGCATCAAGAGCATCACAGTTTTCGCACATGCTCAGAATGGTAATGATCCATAGTGTCAAAACCGTCGAGGCGCATATTCTTCGACTTGTTTCATGAAACCAGCTACGTCGATCGTTGAAGGCAGACCGAACCATGAAGCATTGGATTTATCGTTACAAGTAGACTATATAAAATGATGTTGACTCACTCTGTCATCCTATGACCGTTGTGACCATGAGACAAAAACTATCCAATCAGATATTCAATGTTTAGTTTGTCGTATCGTATCGTATCGTGATGAGCAACTGAACGATTGATTCATTCGAATGCACAAGACAAAATGTTGCGTCGGGTTCTGATTTATGCACTAAATTGAAAATGCGATCCGAAGATGTCATCCAAAAGACCAAATCTGATCAAAAACAGTCTTCAGAATAAAAGTACGAAGAATGCTGGTATTCTTCAGTCAGAACACAAACAGAATCTGATCAAAAACATTCAGAAGTACAAACCACGAATTACAAAACTATCAGAGGAAACTAATTACCATAGTACAAACTAAACGACAATGACCACCTGGGCATGGATGCAACAAGGCGCAAAGCCTTCAGTCAAGAACAATGGAAGCAATAATGAGTCCAACGAGGACAAAGACATCATGGACGACAACCGACCTCTGATTTCGGATCTCTTGACAGAACACCGCGAGCGAATCGATGAGTTCCAGACTCAGCTGAGCAAAGATGATTTGTACGATAAAGATAAGCATGACGATCTGTGGATGCTGAGATTTCTTCTAAGCCACAAAAAGGACTTGGACAAGGCGCTCTCCGCTGCGAAGGAAACGCTTCAATTTCGAAAAAAGTACAACCTTGATGACAAAGACATTCGGTCAGTCCCACCTCAAGACATCAAAGAGCCCGATGGTGTAACAAGCCGAGGGTTCCAATGCTTTCTAAACAATGGAGTCCCGAGAGATGCAGTACGTCTGGTTGCACCAGCAAATGAGAAGTCCCATGCTGTGGTTGTTTACTTCAGCATTAAGGACATCGATACTCATAAGCTTGCAGAAGTGAAACAAGAGGATTGGGTTGCTGGTATGGTTTATGCGAACGAATGGCAATTTCAGTGGAACGATTATACTTCAAGGACTACTGGCCGACTCACTAAATCGATACACATCATTGATGTTTCGGACATTAATCTGTCGATGAGAGACTCCACCACACAAGAAAAGTACGCTAAAGCTGGCAAGGAGCTACAGAACTGTTATCCCCAGGGTGTTGAATCATACTTTGTCTGCAACGCTCCTTTCTGGATTCAAGGCCCATGGAAACTTTTGAAACCTCTTCTCCCAGTGCGAGTTGTTTCGAAACTAGATTTTCTGAATCCAAAAGAAAACGAGCCAGATCGCGACCAGATCCTACGATTCTTGCCCTCTAGTCAACTCCCAACACAGTTTGGAGGAGTCTCTGCTCACTGATTTTGTCGGAAGTATATTGGGCCTGGCTCTGCTATGCGTTTTACATAGTTCCATGTCCTCCTATTAAAATGAAATCCGCCATCTATTCAAAGTAGAAACCTATTTCACTGACACCACTGTAGAAGCATCCAGACATGTTAGAAATCAATAGTTTTAGAAGGTAACACTCGTCACTTTGGATACGCACCTACTGTAAATTCCATTGAACACCAATTCTGGGAATAGCAATAGAAGAAAGTTGGACAGGATTCCTATAACGACAGTAGATTCGGAAGCTGTAACGCCACCTTTAGGGAACAGAAGCAATCGACAAAAAATCAAATGAAATAGTGAGGACTGACATCCATAGTGGAGATCGGTCCATTGACTCCGCGGCAGGCGGAAACTTACCTAATTGCTTGAGTCGCACCAATAGGTTTCCAGAGACGTCACCTATTGTGGCAACCAGTAAACTGGAACGTGGTTGCGCGAGCGAGCTCCTTGGTGTCAGGTATCATGAGAGTGTGCATTGCATCGGCTTCCTTGGTATTCCTTACCTGAGACCTAGAAAGGCTTGCTGATTGGGATGCAACATTTGCACCCTCTCCCACCATTCGGTTCCTCGAATCGTCAATGTCCACGCAAATGGTATGAAGAGACATGCTAGCCCATTGATTACCACATTCCCAGTGAGATACAGTTGAGCCTGCTTTTGATACGCTGGAGAAGATGGGAGAATCCGGGATGATTCGTCTATAGTGTCCATCAGATTCTGATCGCTATTTGCCTCTTCCAAAACTCCTTTTCCGTAAAGTGCATAAGCAACACCATAAATGGTTATTGCAGAGAACAGCAAACTCATGGCGGGGTCCAAAACCTCCAACTGCATAGGAAAGTGTGGTTGGATCCGTGCAGTCAGCCAGCCAAAAGGAATCAAATATAGTGCTGCGCAGAAAGTAATAGTGACAAGACGAAAGAACAATCATATCAGGATTCTGCTGAACCAAAATTCACCATGAAATCATAAACGAAGAATCCAGCCTATACCTGAGAACTCGTAAACCGTGCGATATTCAGCCAATCTAGGCGCTCTCCAGTCTCTGGGTGTATCGTATGTCATCTTTCCATGAGCCAAACTCGTGAGCAGAACTGCACCAACGCAAATCGCGTACTCCAGCTCGTTGCATTTACCGGTCATTGCAGTCTGAAATGATGCAATTATGAGTGGCACATGTCCCCAGACACCCACAATATCTTCCAACGAAGCCCACAATTTTTGCATTGAAGATGGCTCTCCCCACGCTTCACCGGAGACAAGGCGATTCCAACCAAACAGCATTCGTTCGACCTCCGATTCTGATTCAGTCGTTGCTCCCTCAGTGTCGTTGACATTGGATAGCAAAGAAGATGCACGGTTTCTGGTCGAACTAGAGCCAGTATTTAGATGCTGCACCTTGTGGCTGGATGCTTCTGGCGAAACGAGTTCATTCACCAGTCGACGAGACTGGTGAACTGGCTGCAACTGCAATTTGGAATGCTGATGCTGAAAAGCCGATGATGATGATGATGTCGACAAGGCAAGAACAAGAACAAGAAAATAGAACTTGAATCGAAACGAGTGCACCATGACGCTTTGGAATCCGGCTTTCAATGAAGGGCTGGGAAGTATTATTACAATTGTGTTGTGTTATTGCTTTTGATGATGATGATCGTGCACAGATTTTTACTCGCGTACATATATCATATACGGTATCGTCTCCGCAATGACGAAAAGGTTTTCGAACTTTCTCAATTCGGTGTCTATGATACTACCATACGGCCAATATAAAATTCTCACGGTCAACGAATCAATCAATGTTCGTTGACCGTGAAATATTGGCATAATCGGGGGACCCCTATTGTTTTGATTGGCTCCCCTTCTTCATCGCACGATACAGGATCATTGGAAAGCTATTATATACATTGTTGTACATGTACCATCATTGCCAACGGCACGCGGAAACTTGACTTCCCACCGTTCAATGCTATAGTACCCTTCATAGTTTCCAGGTGGAGCTGTCGGTGTTGCCCACCCAGCAACCATCATTGCCAGAGACGACATCAGATCAGCAATAGAAATTGCCAATAGTAATCGATTAAATGGGACCCGCATACTCTTGGAACGCCTTTGTTTGTTCCCAACCAAAGTGTATAGGACGTACACGGATCCAATGAATGAAAGAAATGCCGAGATTTGGGTCATTGTTATTATCGTTGTTGCACCTCTTTCAATGTGTTCCAAAGTGATGCTCGTATCCAAGATGAAGCGAGAGGTTGCATCAACGGTGACCAGAATCGAACCTGTTGCAATCGAAGATACCGTTTCATCGCCAAATCTGTTCTTAATTGCTGTATCAATAAAAGTATTGGTGAGAATCGTCTTCTTTTCCATATTTGACAACTGAATGACAGATGACATTGACATACCATCTCCATCGTCCAACGTGACGGTTGCCAACGCTAAAGTTGAGTCCAATTCTTCATCATACTTCGTAATAGGTACTAAATCGGTGTTTGCAATCAGCAAGTATTGCGCTGTGGGATACTTCTTTTCTGCAACCTGTGCCATGGTTGAATGTCGGCACTCTAGGTTTCCAGTTGTTTCAAAAGGATCGAAATACAAGGCAACTCCATAGAGTTTTTGGTCTATATTATTGCCTACATCCGGTTCTATGTCCAAATAGTCGGGTTCAACAATGGTTTCATTGCAAAGATCCCATGAAATCGTATACAGCCGAACTGTAGTATCGGATGTCCATCTCTTTCCAAACATTGCAGGATGTGCGACAAGTGTAGGTGTTGATGGGTCTTCAGATTGTCCAATCGTCATGACGAGGAAGAGTACCAATAAGTGTGCGAGACATGCTATCTGGATTGAAAACTTCATGGCGACTTGGTGATGGATGCAATCAAAGTGCAATCTTCAGGGAGTCTCCATGCGATGATGTCTGATTGATGACTTTCCTTCATTCAGTCTTGCATTTCTCAGGAACATACAGTATGTACGGTGATAAGTGATAATATTACCCTTTGGGCGCGATGAGTCGGAGGAATCAAATCCCCTCAACATGCAGCATACATTACCGGTACTGCATCCTACACATAGGTATATTCTTCTATTATAAAAAAAATGATATTATGATTAGTCCTGCCACCTTCAATCATGCTCGTTCAATTTTACAACTTGAAACTTTGACAGGAATTCACAGAATGCGGTGCACGAAAGACCAAAGATGTACTTCGCTTCAAAACGAAACAGTAGTTCCGCTACCAAAGTTCAAAAGTGTACTTTCATTCAAGGAAGCTATGACCGTAATAGCGATAAAAGATTTTTCCGGGGTGTCGTTTCGCCACGAAAATGACGCACAAAAACCCTCTTCTCTAATTACATTTCAAAAATCGGAGTTGCCTTGCGACTATTACACGTGTCCGAAAAACTCCCCAACAGAATCATCGTGTCACACACTTTTCAGAACTGCCAGACAAAGGACACATAAAAACAAAAACAAGAATACCAACATGTGCAGAGCCATTCGTCAACGTGATCTATCTACCAAGATTAATTTCCTCCAAGACGTTGTTGGAGACAGCCAATATGATTTCCTCATCATGACCTTCTGCGATAGTATCTTTGAAGATTCAGACTTGAAATTCTTTTTCCAGGGTTTCGATGTGGAAGTGATGGCCGCTCTCATGAAGCGATTGCTGAACATTACCTTCCAATCGTCATCCAGAATCGATATCTTTGACGAAGATACTCGGTCCAAGATTGTCCTTCGAAACTACGCACTCTTTGAAATGGGCTTAAACGAAAAACAGTTCGAAAAGCTCGAATCCCATTTTGAATTCGCTCTGCGCGATGCTTGGCTGGACGCTGAGCTTGTCGATGAATGCAAGCAACGATTTAGTGATCTACGAAAGGTTTTCCAGATGGAGGGCAAAGAATTCGAGCACGCTGCCACGGCGAATCGAGTAGTGGCATGTCAAATGATTCTAGCTGCTGCCTCATCATCATAATCAGACTGGATGGCACTTTCTCGAAATTCCTGCAATTCCATGCTATGATTGTTAGTCAAATTTGTAAACTTCTTCTAAATCGATCTACTTCTACAAATATACTTTGAGTCCCTATTACTGTACCCCTTATTATCGTACGTGTGTATGAAAGCATGTTTCGTCGCAACACAACCTAGAGACCAATGGAGAATAGGAGAAGTAGAGACATTAACCTTCAGCACTTTTATTTTATTGCATGCAGGCAGCTACTGTATATATAATCACCAGTCACCACAACCGCACATACCATCAGCGTTAATAGCAACAGAGAATCACAGTGGCCGTGAAACAGGTAGCCATACCATATTCAATATTCGCAGACGTAATCAGTCAGATATACACATTGTCTAAGAAATGGATCACGTTGAAGCTGACTTAACTCCCGGTCAAGAATGGCAGCAAGCTGTGAGCAACACTTGCAATCGCCTCTCAACGCAATATCTGAACTTGCTAAAGGCAGCGTCGTCTCTCCCGGCTTTGGAATCCGGGGGAAATCCGGGTGTCACAGTTGCTACTGGTGTTACGGGCTCAGCGGTGGATCCTACTGGCACTAGCACCAAGACAGGCGCATCCGCAACAGCCGCATCCGGAAGCAGTAAATCCACATCTGATCCACGAGCGGGTGGTGGCAATATGAATTCTCTCCAGGATCCTCCTCCGCCACCATTGGCAGCCAACGTTGCCTTGAGTTCTCTACAGTGTCAATTAGCAGTGGAGAACTTGTGCGTAGCCGCATCCCAACTGCTATCCCTAATTCGTACGTTGAGATTGAGTCTTTTGCTGATGGATGAAGCTACAATCGTGGCTGAAGAAGAATGGCAAGTCGAACAAGTCAGAGCGATTACGGAGAAAGCTATGCAAGAAGCTGACGTTCTTGAACAGAAGTGGATGGAGTACAGAAACCAAGAGGCGAATTGAGCTACTCAATTTAGTGATCTTCAGCAAGTTGCTACGATTGACCTGCTTTGGTCGAAAACATAGAGGTTGAATAAGTCTTATCTAGTATAACATGTTTTCTATTTTTCCTATACACAATGTAATCCAATGGATACGAGGCCCACCTCGCCTCAGACGCAACAAGGATGGTTTCCTTTTCATTCCCAAGTCAGAATTGGTTCGAGACCTAGTTGGCTTCAGGCTTCTCGAGACCTAGTTGGCTTCAGGCTTCTCCCACTGCGCTTTCCTAGTCTTGGTATTCCAATAATAATAGGTACCATCGTTGGCAATATTGCGAGCCCAATTTTCAGGCAAGATGTCTTCGGGATCCACTGGAAATGGTTCGAGGATATTTCCCTTGGCATCGACCATATCCGAAAAGTCTGGAAGGTCGACCCATGCCACACGAGCCTTGCGGTACCAATCATCAGGCCAATCATGGACAATGTTCTGATACTGGGCTTCGATGTACCATGCAATGCGTTCGGCTTGATCGCTTGTATCATCCAGAGCATCGGCATCGTCGTCCGCAGATCCATCATTTTCGTCATTGGGCGGATTGAGCAACAAAATGTGAGTTTGTACCAGATGCTTCAACTCCTCCAATCGTTCTTCAGGATTCTCCAAGAGTTCTCCACTGTAGCAGTGGTCGTAGTGAAAGCAGTGCATAAAGGTATACTGTTGGACCGTCTTGAGGTTCTTTGCCAACAGCATCTCATTGACGCCATAGGCTCTCATGCGATTGTTCGAATCGGTCCAAAAAATATCAAAGAGTTCTTCTTGAATCAAATGGGCACTGTGCGGGTCTTCAGTGTCTAACAACAACCGTTTCTATTGATAGGCAACGAATGAATCAATATGGACGATAGACATGATGGAATCATCGGGTCGGAGCACAGTACAAATATGAGACATTCTGCCGAATTGCACTGATTGATCGATCCAATTTTTTAGAGGATTGAGTCAGTCGTACTTACATGAAGCATCCAAATGTGCATCGTCAGAATGGCTTGGTAGCTGCGAAATTCCTTCTTGATTCGACCGGGACCATACCATCGTCTGTAATAATGGAGTGGGAAGATAGTCGACAAAGTTAGGTTCAATTCATAGAAGAAAAAAATACATGGCTCCTGTCACATCAGCAAAATAAGGGTCAAACAAGACATGGCCTCGAACAAAAATTCTCCATACTCTAAGCTTCCAGTTGCGATATAATTACTCACGGATCAGATGCTTGGGTAATTGCTGCTTCCAAGAAGGATTCGGCAATTAGAATACGGTTGGTTTGTCTGCTGATGCTGTGTCGATCAAATAACTTTTGAAGGATATTCTTGTCACTTTTATCAAGCAATGAGGTCTGTTCTTCCACGGCTTGTTCATTTTGTTGATCATTCCCAGAGTTAGCTGCGGTCGAAAAGGTAACCGAGCTTCCAAATGGGGGAGACGATGACGTCCAACTGGTAGAAGTTGTGGATGATGTGTCGGTTGCAGTGTCAATGCTAGCCCATTGCGAACAAATGCCACCAACGTGTCTCGGTATGCGTCGAGTTGCGGTAGAAGTCAATCGAGATAGCATGATTATGCTGGTGATTATGAATGAAGGGGTATGTTACTGGCAAATGCTGCAAATACAACTAGTGTCATGCAATATATGGTTGTCGATCCACACTGTGTGGAGTATGATGTGAGTCAGTCGCAGTCAGATGATTCATTGTTTTCTTCTCAAGAGACGATGTATGTCGGTCTGTCTGGCCGTGGGACAATGAGAGTTTGAAGTTAAGAGACGATGGACAGACAATAAGTTTGGGAGGCTGCCATAACACGGACTTTTTGAGTACTTTTTATTATTATGATACCTTTTGACTATAATACCCATACTGCATAGTGATTCATGATTGATTTGAAGTGATTTCGCTTCCAAATCTAAAGCGCCTTCCAGTGACCGTCGTTGAGATAAATCAATTACTCGCTGGTTGTGTCGAGATATTAATCTCCAAAGCCTTTCGGTACAGCTCCAAAGCTCCATTAAAGTCATATCGTCTTCGATGGACAATTGCAATATTATTGTAAGTATCTGCGACTGATGCATTGATTCTTTTCTCCACAATATTTTTGCTTGATATTCAGCAACGATTAGTACCATTCCAGCGCTATGCCAAACGAGGATTGTTCCTCCCATGTTGTTGTGTACGTTTTGGCAGAGGAAAAATGTTGATCACGCCTCAACAAAGCACTTTGTTTTTATTTCCAGCGCTCGCTGGTAGAGCTGCCAGCCAGGTTTCAGCCAATCCCCCTTGTTCCTGTTTCAAACTACCCATTGCGTGGTATGTGTTGGAAATGGAGGCATGCTCGGCTCCACGGTGTTCCAGTTTGATTGCCACGGAGCTGGTTTATTCGGACAATTTCAATGCTTCGTCCAAGAATCGATCAGTCACCTCTAGCTAGACATTCTATCCATCAAGTGGACGATGCGATCATCAACAATGACAATAATCAATATACTATGTACCGGTACATATACCGGCTACGAGTTGGTATAAGCGAAAAATAATAGAAGACATCTGAGGTACATTTGACCCTTTGGACTACTATGTGTTACATTTCAATTGTTTGCAGACATTTGATTCATTCTAGTACTCTACTGGCTCGTTTCAAAGACTGGGCCAAATGCTTTGGACATGCGTATAGAGTACAAATTGAAGAACATTCAAATTAGTTTGATTTTCCTGTTCCCTGTCATGAGGTCTTCCGCATTGGATCGTTTGTCATGGACGCATACTGTCTGATTCCATGCCCACCATCCACATCCAGAATGACACCAGTGGCAAAAGGCGCCGTCAACAAGTAATAAATTGCTTCGCCCATATCTTTAGGCTCACCAACACGTTGCAAGGGCAATGAGGCAGCCGTATTGGCCAGCATTTTTTGCTTTCGTTCGGCTGTCAAATGGTCAAAGCGTTCAGTATCGCAGAACCCTGGACTCAAACAGTTCACCCGTAATCGTGGACCCCATTCCAACGCCAACGATTTCGTAAGAGCTTCCAAGGCACCATTGGCAATTGCTAGTGGGACGCAATTGAGACCTGGTCGACGATTCAAAATACCAGCCACCAGAACCACACATCCACCATGCGTCAGTTTGGGAGCAAAATACTTGGCGCAATTGTAGGCTCCCCAGAACTTTGATTCCATCATGGATCGACTTTCAGACGTCGCAAGCTTCATCATGGGACCGTGGGGAGCTTTTCCCGCAGCCGATATGACGAGACCATCCCATTCATTGTCATTGAGATCCTCCTTTGCAAATCTCTCCACTGCCTCCTCGTCAGTCATGTCCAGAATGGCAATATCCACGTCGGCACCCTCTACTTGTTCTACCAAGTATTGTTGTGCCGTTAGTAGTTTTTCTTTCGACCGACTTATGAGCAGACATTTGCCTCCCTTTTCCACTGTACACAATGCTGCCGCTTTGCCCATTCCTGAAGATCCACCGACCACGATGACATTTGGTGGGGCTCTTCTTGAAGACGAAGCAACCGATTCATGGGATGAGGAAGCAATGGCTTGAAGTAAGTGAAGAAGAAGTAGTCGCAGCAGAGTTGTGTGTTTGAAAGATATCCTTGACATGATGATGGTAGCCAATAACCACGACGTTATTGCATGCGATGATGGTTGCGTATGTTATGATGTAAAAAATAGCAGACAAAACAACCGCATGACGTCATCACGAACCGAAAAGATATGATATATATAGTAGGACAGACCAAAATGATCTCGTAGCTACATATCTAACGTTCGATGATAGATGGGGTCAAAGTACATGCTGGTATACCCCACCCCACTTCAGATGTTTGCACGCATATATTACCTGTACCAGTACACATAAACCCGATTTGCAAGAAGCGCCTCCAGTGAAGCATGTGGAGGAGAATCAAGGGTAACGCTTCCAGCGCAGTCAAAAGGCATGACTATGTTTTCAAAGAGGAGGAGGACAGCCAAAATATTTTTTTAAGTGAGGCTCTCATTTGCAATGTCGATAAATATCTATTCGCCGGATCCACTGCTGTTCGATGCAGGGTGGAGTTCAAAACATTCCGTATCATTACATATAGCCATAACTATCGAATGCCGCCCAGACGAGCATGATGAAGGATAGTCGGGCATAGTACTCATGAGCATGGCTACTTTCTGGGCGCCCCTCGACAGCTTCCTCTGCTGTAGAGTCCGTGACTTCCTCTTGTGTCGAGTCCATAGCAGTTGAGGCCCGTAATCGGCGAATCGAAAGAGGAGCCTATTCTTCCACTCGGCTTCGGACAACGCCATCCTATTTCAGGACCTCGTCTTGTATAGAATTCCGCTAAGGCAGCGTCTTGCTTATTCGTCATCACTTCACATCCGTCGTAGTCTATCCACGTCTGTGGCGCGAATATATCCCCCGATTTGTTCTCATAGAACATTCGTATGCTGTTCGTGATCTCAAGAAGCTCTTCAATACTGAAACACTGTGTCCCATTGTTGGTATGCGGGCATATACTTGAAACGGACTCATCGCTGTTGCACCTGGTAAACTGCACAAATAACAGAACAGCGGTCGTTGTCAATCGTTTGTATAGCCTCATTGGTTTTCCATTTACAAACATCTTCACGGATAAAGAAGTCTCCCTATTGCTGGAGTGAGCCTAGATGCAATTGATTTGCTTGATTTGCTTGATTTGCGTACTTTTTGACTCGAAGCTAGAATATAAGTCAACCGGCTCATCGTCCAGATTCGGAGAATGAGTGGAAGGCAACGCGGCAGACGAGATGCATCATGGTTCGACTAATAACAGGCCGTGTTGTAATGTCCTCAGGCAGATTTTATCACGAAAGATCCAATCTTGGAACTTTCTTTCATCATGTGTGGCACATGATTGCGTTGTCCGTTTAGTCTTTCCCGGACTCCTCTCGCATCGAAGTCCCAAAACGTGCATAAAAATCATTCCACAGTGGATGTATGAAATGCCAAGGGGTGATGTTTCTCAAGGGTTCACGATTTACGCACTCACCGATGCGGCAAAAGATACTATGATCCACCCTGTTTCAAAAGCCGTCTTATCTAGGCTGACCGCGTATCCCAGAATAGCCTCGTGGGAGCGGTATCCAAAATAATACCATGGGTGTGTTGTTGGAAGCTCCAGAGCAGCTCACTGACGACAAACACGAAGGAGTGAAGGAAGTCGGCGGCATGGCGTCATCTTCTTCAGAGCCCATCAATGGTGGTGAAGAAGGGGAAGAAGAATCAGCTCCGAAACTTGTGGCCAAACAAAAAAAGAAAAAGAAAGCTGGTTCCAAACTGCTGGGCAACGAGGAAATCGGTGAAGCTGCAAAATGTTCCCAAGACGATGGCAAGCCCAAAAAGAAAAAGAAGAAGAAGGTAAAAAAGAAGAGTCCTGACGATGAGGATGGAACCATCCCAAAGAAGACCAAGAAGAAGAAAAAGAAGATCAAGAAAAAGACAGCAGTAGAAGAGGAAACAGTTCCCTCCTCAAAAGTTATTGAAGGTGATGAGCAGGTTATGCCGAAAAGTGCGAACAACAATCCGACCATGGTATCTTCCATTGATGAGTTGCAACAATACGATGACATCTTCGAGAACCCACATGACGCGGTCGAAAGCGAATCAAGCACTACGAAGATGGAGGAAGTAGAGCCACAAACAAAGATCTATAAACCTATATTTGGCGGTCGAGGTAGTTTATCCAGTACAAAGAAACCAGAATCACTCCCGGACACGGAATCCATTCATAGCAAGCTTAGTGAGTTTGAAACAGCTTGGCGAGAAGCTGATAACTCGAAACAAGAAAATGAAGAGGAGCCTGTACCACCAGATGACGAAGCCTTCAGTCTGGCAGAGACGATTTTGGACTCCGCAGCGTCGGGTGGTGGAAGTACGTTCAACTCGCATGGTCAATACGCGGTGATCTCAAATACAATGGCTTCAGAAGAGAAGGCTAAGGATCTCCGTCGACAAGCAATCAGTCTTGCTGCCGCAGAAACAAGACTGCGAGCGGAAGCAAGAAATCAAATGGTGGGCAAAAGTGACAGCAACACTGTCCACCACGGGAATTGGCGCCTTCCAGACGGTGATGACGGCACTGAGCAACCCGTATCTGCTTCTTCCAGCAGTAGGATGATCCCAACATCACAAGAAGGAAAGCAGGCATACTTCGAAGGCGTCAAGGCCGCCTCAATCCTCGATAACAAAAGACATCAGCCAGGCGCGTTCCGCGTTACTGGATCCAACGACAATGCTAGCAATCCTGCTGGAAATGAGGAAAACGACGTCGTTGTAGCAGCCGTCACCGAAGAGGACGAGGCCCAGCTTGAAAAACGGGTAATGCAGCGACTTCTCAAGGAGACAGCCCAAGCTTCTGTCATTCTTGTGGAGCATGGTGGCAATAGCCAGAAGTATGAAGATCCGATTGCAGAAGCAGGGCGCCAAGCTGAATTGGAAAATTACAAGCCACAAGGTCTCGTAGAAAAGATGTTTGGGGTCGGGCAAGTTCCAGTGGATGTCGGTGCCGCTCCTGACGATCTCATTAAGAGAAGGAATCATATTCCATTCACAATCAAGCTGCATGGAACAACCAATTTGTGGGTGACGTCCATTCAGACAAGCCAAAAGGCTTCGGATTCATCGCAATATATGTATGAGAAATCATCACTCGAGTTAAAGCGGTCCATCAAGACATACATTGCAACGACAGAACAAGAAGCATACGAAATTGGACTTGCAATGGCACCTCCCATTATGAACTCGTATGATGAGAATCCTATTTGTCAGCTCTGTTCCACGTAAGTCTTTGTTGATTGCAATCCACTACTCTCTGAAGCCACTGCTCTTATCCCAATTACTTTCTTCCGCAGTAAATTTGCTCTGTTGAAGCGTCCTTGTCAATGTCGCAATTGTGGGGTCGTTGTTTGTTCTGGTTGTGCATGTAGCTGGTCTTCGAAACAAGTCCCATCAACTTACAACATGGAGAATCGGTCGACTATGAATGTTTGTGTAGCTTGTGATTGGTTGGCTACCAGTTTTCGGGAGGCGTTGTTGAAGGGCGATCTAGCGTGTGCACTATCACTGTACAAGTCAGGCAATGTGAACCTTCGCAAGTTGCATGTATCCAAAAAGAAGGGAATGATGGGCGATGAAGCAATGTATCCGATACAGATGGCAATCCGTGGAGGCAACTTGTCACTCGTCAAATGGTTGATGTTTGAACACTATTGTCCACTTTATGAAAGCAATAGCAAGGGAGATCGGGGACTTCTAAAGACATCCAAGGGGCGGACAGTGGTTGATCTGGCCTTGGAACAATCCAAACCCGAAATTTTGAAGTTCTTGGTAACCAATCAGGGAGTGTCTTTGACACAAGAAGCCAAGAAGGAGACTCGTGACTCCTTGAAGCATTTGACTTGTTTAGTCCAGTTGATTCCGGAGACAATGCTAGCAAACGTGTCGATCGATGCTGCTTTGCCAACAGGTGCAAGCGAGCATGTTGCAGAGTTACCAGAATCATCGAGGATGAATCCGAGGGAGGACGAAGACCAGTGCGCCTTTTGATCTCAGTAGATATATATATATATATATATATGGAAATAGATGTAGACATAAAGTAGTTTTCTCAAATAGTGTCAGTGTACCGGAACTCTTCGATTCTGTCATGACTGAAATTTGCCAGCACGCATAGACATTTCATGGCTGCTGCTGCAGAATATCGGGCGTTGGTTTACTTGATCAGTGTCCCGTACTCATTGTGGAACTGTGGAGGATTCGGCGGCACTAGGAGTGGCAAAGATTTCGGCCTGTCGCATCTCATTGCTTGTGTATTCACTTGCGAACTGGTCGATAGCATCCATTCTTCCATTTATCTGAAGCAGGCCGAACATGTTTCGAAGAATAATCTCTAGCATACCGTTCAGATTTCCTGGATCGTCAGTACCTGAACAGATTTCGAAGGCTCGCTCGTAGGATTTCAGCGATGCATCCACTGCAGAAGTCTGTTCAAGTATAGTAGCAATGTTGTTGTGGGCCTTGACCAACATGCGCAGTTCGGCATGGCTCGCTTCTCTCATTCTGCTCAGTATTGTGCTCCAACTCGACAACCTCGACGCTCTCCAGCGATATCGTGTTGCCAAGTAGCGAATTGGCTAGTTATTAGAGGTCTATACCTCCTTCCAAATCTCCTTTTCGGTGCCGCGCTGCGGCCAGGTTGATGTATGACTCTGCCACAGATGGGTGGTTTTCGCCCAGTCGCATGTTTTTGATCTCGATTGCCCTTTCGTACATACCGACAGCTTCATCTACTTTGCCTTGTTGCTGCTGGAGGAGGTTTCCGATTTCATTGTACACACTTCTCCAAAGACCTTTCTGTAGAGTTCCAATGCTTGGAAGTACAAGGTCGATGCATCGTCATTATATTATACTATACGCATCGATATCGCGTCGCGCATTCATTTGAATTTGTTTTGAATTTTGGGTTTCTTTTCTCCATCTCTCTGTTTCTCCAAAGTAAAGTCAAGAATCGTATCAGTCGTCTGACCTCAGATTTCACAAAGCATTTTATTGTGCGTTGTTATTGTCTCATCATCGTCGTCATTGCCGCATCATCTTCGATCCTAATAGCTATCAGCTCTGTCTCTCATCGCTCACCTACCTAATCATATGTACACGACAACTATATAGCCATAAGAGACTGACTGACTGAATCACTCTCACAAGAAGATGGATATTCAATCGCTGGTCGAGTAACACAACGACAACCACAACGAAAACAATAATACTGACTGATTATTGGCTGGCTGCAAAATGCTTGATATTCAATATTTACTATTCATTTTTTTGCTGGTGACAGCTTGGGAGGATGCGAAAGTCACCACCAATGCTGCTGCTGCTGCTGCTGTTGTATCTGATGGCCTAAAACAAGATTGGACGTCGTTTACGTTTGATCTGCAACCCGCTTCCGCAAGACTTCACATTCCGCAAGTTTCAAAGACTAATTCTCATCGTCGGCGTCATTGGCAGCACTTTGGATTGAATGATACGATACGAAGGTACTTGGGGAGAAACCAAAGGAGGCATCACAACAAAAGGGAAAGAAATGATGGGGTCCTACTCTCAACTAATGATTTTAACAGGGAAGATCTACCAGAGGAATGGTTCCATCCAAACTCCAATGCTGTATACGCCACGTTTCATGGAACAGACAATGACGACCATCCAGCACGGATCGACTTTGACAAATTCCGTCATTGGTCCAGGTACGAGAGACTAATGCGACATCAATTGCAAGAATCATTAGAATCGTCATCAGCAGTAGGAAATAATCAAACGCTGTTGCAGCCACATTGGGATGGAGACTATGAGAAGCTGAAACCACTACTACTGCCACTGCCGCATCCAGAAGATCGCAACCGAGATTTGCAACAATTTGAGCGGTATCAATCCGCACCCTTATCCCAAGGGTTCGGAACACACTATATACATCTGTGGATCGGATCACCCTTGCCACAACGACAGTCGGTCATTGTCGATACCGGATCCCGATATACCGCCTTTCCGTGCGAAGGATGCAAGGATTGTGGACAGGAACATCACACGGATCCGTACTTTCAACCCAGCGTTAGCGAATCTTTTCAACCACTGGAATGTCCTTTGGAATGTATGGGACACGCGACGTGCAGCAGTGAAATAGACGAGGACAGTGACAACAACAGCAACACAAACAACAATGGCCACTGTTATTTCTCCCAGGCATATACGGAAGGATCCTCTTGGATGGGATATCAAGCCAAGGATTTGGTGTACTGTGGTGGCAGGGATCTTCTTCAAGCGGCCAGTCAATTGGATACCAACTATAGCATTCCATTCATGTTTGGATGTCTGCAAGAGGAGTCCGGTCTGTTTGTGACGCAATTGGCCGATGGTATTATGGGACTGTCGGCCCAAGAGCATACCCTTCCTAAACAACTCTACAATCTTGGCAAAATTGAATACAACATGTTTGCCTTGTGCTTTCGAAGAGAGTTGGGATCTAGCAAACGAGGAGTCACGGCCGGTACAATGACACTAGGGGGTGTATCATCGACTTTGGATACCTCGCCAATGATATACGCCAAGAATACACAAACAAAAGGTTGGTATACAGTCAGTGTGAAGCGAATTTACATTGCCAAGAATGGAGGGAGACAATTCCTATTTGATTCCAGAAAGGCAGTGTCCAGTGCCAAGGAGGATATTGTCCCCATACTGATTGACGAAGACGTTGTGAATTCGGGAAAGGGAGTCATTGTCGATTCCGGAACCACCGACACCTATTTGAATGCCAATGCTTTGCCGGCTTTTTCCAAGGTTTGGCGCAGCGTCACGGGTATGGAGTACAAACACAAGCCAATCGCTCTGACGGACGAACAATTGCAGGTTCTACCAACTGTTCTTGTGCAATTCCAAGCCGCTTCTTCTTCGTTTGAGAATTACCTAAAGCCAGTACTCGGCCAAGTTGGTATGCTCGATCCAAAGAATTCAATGGACGTCCTATTGGCCATCCCCGCAACATCCTACATGGAGTACATGCCTACGATGAAAATGTATGCTTCCCGATTATACTTTACCGAAACATCTGGAGGAGTGCTCGGTGCAAATGCCATGCAGGGATACAACGTTCTTTTTGATTGGCAACATCATCGAATTGGATTCAGTCAATCGAGCTGTGCGTATGACCTCATCGAGAAGGAAGAACAAGAAAAGTTTGGTGAAATCAGAGATGCCAATCCGAGTGGTGTCTGTCGGCTTGGTCGTCCGATTCTCACAACACCTTGCATGGATAGTATCGATGTATCGATCTGTCAGGCATCGGATAACCCAACAAATGTCAAAATTATGGGTACAGAAACGTGGACAAGACTAGTACTTGATCCGGGGAAAGAAACTGATAGCTGCCCGTCGGTCATGGAAGATTGGAGTCTGAGGCAGAACATACAGATGGAACCAAGTGAAATCAGGTGCGATCACGATGGTCATTGCCAAGAGATTCGTCCGTGTCAAGTCCCCTGTATGGTAGCATTGGATTTGGCTTCTGCTACTGCTGGTATCCAAAGCACCAAAAAGAAGGCTGGGAAAACTAATGTGGAAGGAACCGGAAATTGTGCTTCGACAACCAAAGTGTGGAGTGCTTGCGACTACAAATGTGAGCAGACCAAGGTCTCTGCCGCCCTTGATGATCAAGATGTTTGTGTGGAATCATCCAGAGAGATTCGCAGCTGTCATACGGGCGCTTGTTGTCGATTCGATGCTTGTTTGGTGCCGTACTTGGTTCAAACAATCCTAGTACTGGAAGGCATTGAAATTGACGATTGGGATATGCACAAGGTTGAAGACTTCAAAACACAGTTGGCATCACTTGCTTCAAGAAAAAGTGGTTGGACAAGGAGAAGACGAAAATTTTTTGGTGCTGGTGATATCAATGTTTTGTCTATTCAGCCATGGAACATGCTCGACGAGGCTAAAAGACGAACAGTAGAGGAAGACGAATTGAGCAAGGAAAATGATGATTCTGCTGGCATCCAATTGATTATTCAGATATCTGTTTTCAATCCAAAGGCAAAAACGAAACCGCAAGACAAACTCCACCGAAGCTTACTACGAGAAGTGGAAGCCCAGTGGAGCAATACAAGTGCCTCAAGCGATCATCTGGCAAGTAGCAATTGCAAAGCTCTAGAGATGTACTCGTTGGCAAAGGATGCCGTATACCTTTCAACGGAATGGTTGAAGCAACCAAAGTTCGAGGTCGCCCTTGCGAAAGGGTTGCCAAAGGTATCAAGAGCACGGGTTATTTCTGCCTGGACGATCAACACGCAAATCTACGATGACGAAATCAACTACTTTGGTCCGATAGGATCTCGATGGGGCCCATATATATTTGGCTTTCGACTCTTCTTTGAGCTGATTTACAAGGCTTGCTTCATATGGATCGTTTGCACTTTTCTTTTCTACAGTCTCGACAGGTGCTGCATCCTCTTCAACCTTGTTCCATTGCGCCAACGTTGGCGGTCTTTCATTCTGCGGGTTTGCAAGTGGCGGGTTGGCAACAAGCGGTCGAAGTTTGAAGAGCTGACGCCTGATGATTTCGAAGAAATCGTGGAATCATTTGAATTCGAATTGACTACGGCAGACTATTCAAAAGAACGCAGCACAACACCGAAACGGCGTAATCTAAGTTCAGAAGCATAAAAGTTGTAACCTTTACTTTTTCGTGAGGACAACCCTGCACTCGTCAACCAACTGGCGGCTGACACCACACAGAATGGATTTGGAATAGAGGTCGAACCCGCCTGGGGTCGCTTGATCAATGCTTTCCATGATGCATCCAGCTTCTTGACAAATCACCATACCAGCACAGTAATCCCATGGCTTCCAACCCTCGTTCACGATCCCAGAATACACAACATCCAGTCGTCCGCTTGCCACATAACACAAATCTAAACATCCACTTCCGAGTTGACGAATCCCTCTACATCCTCGAGCAAGAATTCTGGACACAGCTCCAAGCATGGCATCAATTTCGTGTTGCTTTCTTGAGTACCCAAATTCGCAACAGATCACAGCCTTCTCGATGGATTTGGTCGACGACGAAGTCTGTTGAAGAATTCGAACTCCGTTGCGAAAGGAACCATATCCTTTCACTCCCATGTACCACTCATCCGAAGCTGGTGCATAAATCACCCCCATGACTGGATGCCCATCGACGCAAAATCCAATACTGACGCACGTCATAGCGATACCAACAGAGAAACTGTGCTCGTCGTACAATTCAAGTAAGACAAACGGAAAAACAACAAGATCTATCAGAACAAGCCTCGCATCTTCATCACTTACTTTGTCGTGCCATCGATAGGGTCGATTATCCATGTCTTTGCATCTTTCTTCAGCTTGGGAATCTCACCTGTTCCAACAGTTTCTTCTCCGATGATTTCATGGGTTGGAAAGGATTCCTGAATGGCTGCCATGATCATACTTTCATTCTCCACATCAACCTTGGTGCAAAAGTCGGTGGCACCGGACTTGGTTTCAATGTCCAAAGAATAATTCATAGCTTCACTGGTTCCTTTGGTTTCAATGTAGCCCTTCATGTTGTTTCCTGCCTTTTTTGCAAGTCGTACTGCTAATTTCAACTCGGCGGCGTGTGGAGATCGAAGAAGCTCCTTTGGGATTTTGCTCTTGTCATCTCGGTTTCGGGAGTACAACAGGTAGCATCCTGTCGCTGCAACAACTGCAGCTGCAGTTGCCATGGGTTTGCTTAAAGGTGGCATGGTCTTAGAAACTTTTAGAAATGAAGGATGATGATGTTGACCCATCGCATTTATTTTTCCTACTGTAATGATTGATGTTGATGACGTATATTTCATCTGCGTTTTTAAAAAATGTGTCCCCCAATTATTGCTTCCTTCCCCAATATCAGAAAATTAGAAATCTACAGTATACTGCAAGATTCATAATACAAATAGTCCTATTAGGCATCCGCATTTTTACTGGATTCGCTAAGTTCTAGATCCACCATTTCATTATCATTCCTTTCTCCATTTGTAACCAGAGGTGTTTTGAGATCACTTTCTTCACCAGTTGGTTCACGCCGATTTCTTTTTGCTAAAGCGTCACGACAGAATCTTCATTATACAAATCAGAAAGTGAGGGGGTTGGTCATCTTACTTCAACATCTGCCCAATCATATTTGCTTACTTTTTGAAGAACGAAGAGTACAATAGGACCTGTATCACTGCACAGATATACGTCAAAGGGTGATGTCGGTATCCTCGTGTGTCCGTATTGGCACGGTAGATCCAGCTCAGAATGTAGAAAGCCCTATATATTCCAAACAGAAAGATTGGCCAAAGTATCTCAGCCTTTAAGTCTCCTTGGTTTTCCTTCAGGATCGTGTCATCCTTGAACATGACAAGTTGAGGCCACATTGCGACTGCCTCCAAGCATATCGAGTATGTCCAAAGCATCTCCATAAAGCTGAAACCAGCGAGTTGAGAGCCATAAAGATGGACCACGGAAGCAAGAAAAAATACCGGTATAGCCAGAAACTTCCAATGCCGGAAAGAGTCGTGCGATGGGCTGTAGGATGTGTGCCACGATTCGCCTGACCGAAGGGTACATACGATTAGTGCGGTGGCAAAGATGTAAAAGATTTTCATGGCAGTATTGTACAGTGAATACCACGTAGTGAAGACATCCAAGTATCTTGCAAGGTACACCACCAGATAGAGCTCTTGAGCTTTGAGTGAGATTACTTCAAGAAAACATGGTCAATGAAAATGGTTGTTTCAAACACAACAACCGAATGAACTTATAGTTACCTGACGCATTCCCTCTCTTTGCCATCTTCAGTAGCATCAATACTGCCACAAGGTGGGCCATATCACCGATGTGTCGAACGAAGATGTAGGACATTACATCGATATTATCGGCAGATATCTTTGTTGCACCTCTGTACGCACCGCAAGTGAAACCGCATTCACAACGAAATGTTCTTTGCAAATCAGTTGGGGGTTTTTTTTCTAAATAAAAATAAAACTGGCATTTGAGTTGACAAAAACTGGTTTTTTCGAGTCACAAATCGAAAGCAGTCAACCTTCATCGCAACGACACTCAACATGCTTCCATCTACAAACCTGTGTACCATCATTGAATCCCCCCTCTGCTTTGAGGATAGCAAGATTCAGCTTGCAAGAAGAAATACTATCGACACTATCAATCATATAAAGCTTGCGCTTGCAACTATTCGAGACACTGCTGATGGGCCAAGTGAAATGTCGATTGAAAAGCTGGACTGTATGGTTGAGCAAGCATTAAGTCTGCTCGCATCGACGATGGAAATCATTTCCATTGAAGATGAAGAGTTATACGCATCAGTCTGGATGCCAATGCAATCAAGCCAGCCTCAGGATGCATGACCAATTTTGAAACACACCTCCTCTTTGTCGTTGGGGGTGAAACCCCCTTTCGAATCGCTATCATACAATTTTACCCAGTGCTACTACTTCCCATTTTCTGCCAAATACAATATATCTATAGAAGCACACTTTTCCACACTGACGTAAACTTCTAGCTTTATTTATGACGATCTATTTGCTGATCTTTTTTGCAGCCGATTTCAACTTCGTTGCAGCACTTTCAGACGCGAGCTTCTTGGGCATTGCCAACACAACAAAGCAGCCACCGCGCAAAAAGAAAAAAGCCTGACAGTTGATCCGGTCACCGAAAAAAATGTCTGTCAGCTTTTGACATCCGATCAATTGAGCGGCACCTGCAGGTGTGACAGTGACCATTGTACGCAGTAAGTTGGGGTAAATTACAAGAATTCGGATTTTTTCACAGATTTCTACGAGAGACACCAAACTCCTGGAACGGACGGGAAATAGAAATTTAGCATACAATTCTTGGGAGTAAATTTTGATTTTCCCGGCCGTCCTAGAAGCGAAGTCTTTCGACATCAAGCTACTTTCAACTTGAAGATTGTTTGCGGTTTACGCGGGCAACTCACGGGAATTCGGATTTGTTTCATTGCAGAACAACACGTATCATAATTGTCGGAAGCATGAAGTTTGGTCGAAACATAGCAGCTCACAAGTGTCGATAAAAAAATAATAATATTACATATATATCATATCTTATTGGTGGTACAACTCGGGGTATTTGCAGATGTAAAATGCACTTCCACGCAGAGTGATACCGGAACGCAATCTCCTCTCACAATTTTATTTCGACAGAGTTTTCAAACAAGTTTCACAAACATGCCCGCTCCACAACTATCGACTACTCCATCTTGCATCAATCTTGCTTCAAGGGTAGGAGGGGCCGTTTCATATGACATGTTTGCCTCCTCTGCAGCGAGTGCCGTTCCACTTCTTGATTTCACCCTCCCTTCGAACTCTCAGAATATCCAGTGTCTTCCCTCAAAGACACCTGAAGAGCGTCGGAAAAGAATTTTGGATCTCCTTGCCGAAGCTATCGACATCGTCGATTCCGATGATTTTCAACTCTCGTTCTGAATCGATCTGAGGATCCCTTCAAACTTGCAGTGTACTAACTGGAGTCTTACCGCGAAAACAAAGGAAGAATGTCGAATGTCGACCGTGGATAACCTTTCCGAAGCGATCAACATTGTCTATGCCAATGCTTTTGAACTCCCGTGATTTTGAAGCCCGACGCACAACAAGTCAACACTTTTACGAATGAATGATACCCCTAGATGATAGAGAACAAACTGTAAATAAAATGCTAAGAACTTGTTCATGTTCGACTCGTCCTCTCGCCCTGCATTGCAATAGATTCACTTGCTAGAGTACTTTTGGTGTAGGTCCCTCTACCGTACCAGGTACAGTCCACCAAGGCTTCATAATTGTTTGATTGGAAAAAAGGAAATATCCGATTTAGAGCGAAGGGTACAAGTACCAGTACCCCTGGTACCGGTACCAAGTACCGGTGGGGTTGTATCCATTCCAACTTTTTCGACTTGGTGCTTCTCTTTCGGCCAGCTGCCTTCTCGTTTCATCAATCTGCGGGACCCCATTATGATACTTTCGACCCTGCACTTCGAAAGATACTCTCGTACGGTACAAGTACCTGGTACCGGGTATATCTGTGACCTGGTACCTGGTACTGGTACCAGTCTCGAACAATCTGTGTGACATTTCATGTACCATTACCAACCTACCGGTAGTTCTACTAGAATAAAGTACCGGTAGCACTACTCGTCGCGCAAAGAAACATGGTGACTCGTCATGCGAATATTCTCTGAGTACTAATGATTTTAGGACAATGTGTCGGATCTTTTCTAATACTTGAAGTATGATATTTCTGCAGTGCAAGAATTCGGATTGTGTTTTATAAAACAAAAGTCTTTCCTGTGTGAAGAACAAAAGTTGATTGAAGTACATACCACACTTTCCTAGCTGATCAGACGATAACCTTGACGGTGGTGGTACAACTCGGCCAATTCGGCAATATACTAGGACAATCAAGTTATCATCCAATCTCTCAAGTCTCACAATTATATTTCCTCCTCAGTTTTCAGCTATTTATCACAAGCATGCCCGCTCAACAACCATCGACTACTGGTACTCCATCGTGCATCAATCTTTCAAGGACAGCAGTGACGATGCCATTTGACATGGTTACATCTGTCAAGAGTGCCGATCCACTTCTCGATTTCACCATCCCTACAAGCTCTCAGAACAACCGGTGTCTTCCTTCGAAAACCCCTGAAGAGCGTCGACAACGAACTTTGGATCTCCTGGCCGAAGTGATCGACATCGTTGATGCCGATGATTTTCAATTCTCATGAATCAAAAGCCCAACAACTCCTCATATCGGTGTGATGCCTCATGAAGAACACATTTTGAGTACAGATTTTCATAACAACTTATAAAATAATACTTATACATGAGCATGATCAAATTCATCTTCTACCTTGCGATAGATTCCGGTGACATTGTGACCGGTCCAGGAGTAGGAGAAGTCGCTCCTAGAGCGCCATCTACATCCCATCGACAGCGTCCCATTTTTCAGCATTTCTGGACGGTAGCGGCAATACATCACTTTATGTGCCTGACAGATTCCAGCGGTAATCAAAGTGCCACTCAATCCCGGATCCAGTACTATAGTCGCACCATCTAAGTAGATCTCGACAACAATGATGCACAGCACTCGTTCCATTCCGCAACAAGAGCCTTCATATATCCGACAATCGTTGCAATGGAAGGACAAAAAATTGCTCTGACATGTACAGATAAGAGTATTTCTTTCCATTCGACATGGCTAAGGAGCCGTAGTAATAAGGAATAGAATAACGCTTCGTTTGGGAGAAACAAGAAAGATGTAAGTGGTTGGAAGCATATATTCCAACAACAGACTTCAAACAGTATGACAATTACACGTATTACCTTTGGAAAGAGTTCCAACAAATGTGAGCAGGGGGCATCGATGAAAGCAAGACCGGTCAGATGGGCCCCATGTGGGGCAATCAAAATGTCGACGGAACGAAAGAAAGCCACCTGATCGGAAAGGTTTTGGTTTTCAAAGTATCCCACTTGTATAAAATCGTCGCGAGACAGAGTTTTGGCAGCAGATAATGCAACCTCCTCGGCATTCAAGATTGATCGCCAGCTATAGTTGGCTCGGTTCAAAATGCCGATTCGGGGCTTTTCGTTGGTACAGGTATCAGAGCTGATGTCTTTCAGCTGAAAATGAGCTGCACTATACTGATGAAGATCTTGATAATGCTTGACGTCAAACGCATTATTGCGGACTACATAAGGCTTTTCGGTTGCATTCCTCCTCTCCAACCATTTATTGTTGACAATCTCCAGCGACATTTGTGACTGAAACAATTCCAACACACTCCGAGTCAACCTTGCCAAGATTGGTTGTTTCGTAGGGAATTCACGCCAAAAGAAGAGAAACAACCGTACAATTGCTACATGGCATGTGGAAAGCGTCCATCTTGTGTTCGGTCGTACATGCAAATCGCTTCCGAACTCTCTGCAGTGATTCCTGTCAAATGTGCATAGTCAATGTTGGAAATCACAAAGTGCCCCCTGGACAATGGAAGATTCGGTTGTGGAATGCACGTGTCATTATGATCCAAATATTTGAAGGGTGATGAGACAGCACCAACTGGTAGTTCAAAGGATGATGGTTGGAATGAAGTGGTTGTAAGTCTAGCATTATTTATTATTCTTCGACCAATCGCACCATTGTTGAAAACTGGCAAAAGAGCAATGAAGGAAATGATCAGGATGGGTTTGACATTCTTCTTATTCCGTGCTCCTCCCATGGTACAATCTTTCGGCTCATCTCGTTGCTGATAATGCTGGGAGTTGGGTCATTGTCATCGTGAATTTATTGTGTGACAATATAAAATAATAATAATCTGGCATTATTACAATTTTGGGGGTGACAAAATTAGTCATGCGAGTCATTTGCAGCATATCATATATCCGATCGTGCATCATCATCATCCTTTTCCGAGTGAGAAGACAGTCACTGCGTTTCACTCTAGTTCCACAATCTGAAATAGGAAGATGGCGAAATCAGCTTGCAATGTGCTACCATTCATTGTCGTCTCCTATCTTACCTTTTACAGTGGTTTTGTAGTTGAAGCTGCGGTTGATCCAGAAGCCGAATGTCAAGGTGGTGGTTATGCGTTTTATGAAAACGGAACATTTGTGAATGGGACAGCTTCATGTGATATTCCAGAAAGTTACTGCTGTCAATCGACTACCAATGAAGGATACGTCATCTCTACAGCGAATGACACGGTCGCTCCCCTCAACGATGCCTGCATCGGATTATCTGGTCTGGTTTGTCATGGAAACGAAACACACGTCAACTGTGACGGAACAAGAGCTTGCTTCGACGCAGATGTGGATGTCATCCAAGGTGGGAGCTGCACAGGTTTGCACGCCTGCAGAAATGTGACTTCGGAAAAGATCTTGGGAGGCAGCTGCATCGGACCGGGTCAGGCCTGTATGAATTCCAATGTCCAACAAATTACTGGCGGGTCGTGCAATGGGATGCTAGCCTGCAAGGATAGCGATATCAATATTGTGGAGGGCGGGAGCTGCGAAGGACTGAATAGTTGTTATGGAACTGACATTGAAAGTATCAAACAAAGATCTTGCCGCGGTGAATATGCATGTGGATCCTTTCCCGGGAACCGAAACACTACCATTGGAAAAATTGAGGGCGAGAGTTGCAGACGCCCATATAGTTGCTACGAAAGTAACATTGAGTCCATCACAGGAAAATCCTGTATTGGAGAATATGCGTGCTCGGCCTCGGTGATTGAAAATATACAAGGAGCCTCGTGTTCCGGCTATCAGTCATGTTTCGAAGCTCAGATTGATCTTATTCAGACCTCCTCTTGCCGAGGCGAGTATGCCTGTCATCAAGCCATTGTTGGATCCATTACCGAAAGTTGTCAGTCGGACTATGCCTGTTTGCAAACCAACACTCCTAGCATTAGTGGTGGATGCAACGGAAACAGAGCTTGTTATGGTACCAATTCGGCAGAACCTTTGAGCGGTGCTGTTAGCAAGGTTCCAGGCCATTGGTTACTGCTCTCGTCTCTTCCATTCGTCACAATGCTTGCATCGTTTGGGGTGTAATGAAAAGCGTTGCTCTTTGTATAGATGTCAATCGTCATTGTGCTGTGAAAGGGAGCAAAGCTAGGTGTATTGTTCAATGTTAATACATGCTAAATGTTAAAATTAAGTGTTCCATGTCAACTGCTAAGTGTTTTAATAAAAAATGTTCAGCATGATTGTTATGGTTCAACAGTCAACACAGACACAATACATTGTAATGAATGGTTGGAAGGAAGGAAGGAAGAATTCTACGGAACTGCGAGTATTTCATATTCCTCTGGCACTACGTATATCCGTGGTTGGCATCGTACTGTACCAATTTTTTTGGGTTAGATGTAGGTTCCGAATATGCTACCGACAAGCGCAGCTCCGGCGACAGTCAATAATCTTTTCTTTGGGATACCAAATATGGAATCGATGGTGCCTTCACCATCATTAGCAGCACCCTCTTCGACGGCAGGTGGCTTCAGGGTGCAGACAGCCTTGCGATCCGTATAAATGCCAGCAAAGGCCTTGGACAAAGGTTTCGATTTAATTGTTCCGATTTGTTTGCCGTTCACTTGCAGTGACAATTTTCCACCTCCTGTACCAAAAGTCAGTTGTGTTCCCTTGGAAGCTCCCTTGGGTAGTCCTTTTAGCATGAGTTGTTCAAATTCTTTCAGCTCCTCGTCGGTGGAACCATCACCACCATTCTTATTCTTATTCGAAAGCCGTGGTTCCAGGGCATCCTTGAGTGCGTCGGTCATTTTTTCAGCGCCCACTCCATAGGTCATGTGCAATAAAAAGGTCGTATCATCGTATTGGCCTATTGCATACACCTTGATGGGACCCTTGGTACGGACACCTGTCTTTTGCAATCGTTTCGATTGGTATGGATCGGGAAAGACGATGCCAGTTCTTGGTTCCTTCTTAAGTGCTTCTGATGACCAGCACTGCAACAGCACGATGAGTAAGAAAATCTTTAGGTTCATGGTGGTTTGCCTTATTTAACGTCTGAAGATTATGTTGTATTGTAAACTTGTTGTGGGGTGTCAACGACAAAGATATGCGATCTATGATCGATTGATTGCATGATTCATTCATTCATTCATTCCGATCGGATGTATCATAGGAATATGAGTGACGTTTCGACATTTGGAGTAACGGAGAGAAAACATTCTTGCAACCCACCACCCACTGATGCAGTTTCTACCGGTATTATACTCCACCTACATATTTTCTTGTTCTAAAATATTTGGTTTCTTACTGTAGGAAATTTGTGGTCTATAACTGGGGCAAATATCTAAGTCAGTCCTTTTTGAAATAGATGATACAATCAATCAATCACTCAGATATACGAGGTACTACTATCCACCAACCAATAGAGTAGTACCTGGTACCAGTCACATTGCACTCCATCATATTTCTCAACCGTGACGTGTCGTCTACTACTTCTTTCCTTTCGATGCAGCACCAGGATCGGGCTGATGATAGATGGTACAAATCGGCGCGTTATCTCTAGCCGATTCACCTTCCTTGACATGATGCTCCCCCATGATGGCATCAAAGTCATCTTCCGTCACCATTCCAAAGGTAAAGTCGGGAGTTGTAATATCACACAAGATATCATTGCGCTTGATGATATCACCGGGCTCCTTGTACCATTTCTCAATCTCACTGATCAGGTTATCATCGTTCATATCGGGCATGTTGATAACAATGGGAACGGTAAAGTCGGCCCGATCGCCATCCAGATCTTCTGGGGGATGTTTGTCCTCATTTGGGTCTTCAAATGCAAGGTCTTCCTCACCACTGTCACCGGGAATGGGAGGAGGAAGAGTTTCTTCTTCCGAGTTGGTTCCTACAAAGAAATCAGTTCCCTCATTGGATTTCTTTTCATCCGAATTCGTTCGTAAGGACAATCCCTTGGTGAAGGGTGATGACTCTCTTTGAATCACCATCCGCGTTCGATTAGATTTCAAAGCGGAATCTCTGCACATCACAGTGTAATTCCTCGTTATTTCCCGCTTCAACGGTGAGATCGCCTGGGTCTCCTCAATGGTGGTGGTATTCTTCATATTGTAAACGGTGGATGATGACAGAAAACTTGAAATTCCTCGAAAGCCATTTCGAGCTTCAGCGTCGAACCTGACCCCATGGAACGACGAAAGGTTCCTCTTTGGAGCGGCTATCATGAAGGATTTCATCATTGTACTATTGTTTTGTTGTTGTGTATATACAGTAGGTATGTGAATGAACGAATGAATGGACCAGTCGTGTCGAAACCTATTTCTCAATTTTCCTCAATGCTTCGAGGCTCCTTTCGCTTGCTTACTTGCTTCTTACAAATATATATGTATGAAACAGTCTATATTGCGATGACTGGACAAGTGTACTCTCACAATCGAACTCCAACAATTGTCGATTGTATTCTGATGAGAACATGTGAGATAACGCACAGTGTGTTAATTAAAAATCCTGAATGACTGTGGTCGACCCATACGACCGAAGATCCTTCTCCGCGGTCTGTCACTGGGCTTTTATACTATGCTGGTGCAACTATTTATACTAAATCCCCCGGGGAAAAAGAAGGGGGAAGAGGAAGAAAAAGGAAAGAAAAGAAAACGAAGAGGAAAGAAAAGAAAAGAGGAGAAAGCAACAGGATTGCAATAAAGTGTCTTTACAACACAGCACTGGCCTCATGCATACCGTCGCAAGAATATATGCTCTATGACCCTGGCTCTAGCCAGGATTTTGACGGATTTTGAACAAGGTAACAATGATTGTTTGATGTATGTTGACCGATGCCTCTGAAACTTTTGAAATGACGTTCGAGCACCTCTAATAACATCATCTGTGCCTTCATATCGCAGATCCAATCAGAAATCGGAGATTTATCGCACTCTGAATTTGAGGTCACGAACATTTCAAGATATGCAGCGTAGAAGTTGATGTCATTGATGATGGTAGTCAGATTTTGCGTCGTCAATGGACTCAATATTTTGGGAATCAAGCAAGGTGAGGAAGGACCAAATCCAGGCTCAAGCTCGCCGCCAAAGAGGCTACATGTGTATTACATGATTGAAGAAATGCAATAATCAACCGTTTTTTGAGTAAGATGCAAAGGCGAAAACAGAGGCAAACTCTTGCTGGGTTCCTTGATGGCCAAGTTTCCACCATAAGGCCGCGCTACGACAGTTTACTACCGTATGGTCACAGGGGATGGGTTTATTCTGACGAGAAAACAATCAACAAGGCCTTGGTGCACGGAATTGAGACAATGATTAGATTCCAAAGGTGAAGTGACACCTACTACTAGCAACTATGGCAGTTGTTATCAGTTTCTTACAGGGGCATGCTACCATAAGTGACACTGAAACGATAGAAATTAATCTATAATATAAATAGAAGATTGAAAACGAAGTTTCTACCGATGGGCGTATCCGTCACCTCATGCTGTAGCGCTTGTCAATTCGGTTTGGTGGCTGCCACACCCGTTCTTCAGAGCAGCTAGAAGTGATCATAGGGTAACTGTATCGCTAGCTCGTAATCCAGTGGTAAGGTGAGTCATTAAAACAAGGTGCGACAGTGCTTTATAATACAATGGCAGAGTGGCAGGGCCGTATCTAGCCTGGGCCTACGGTACCAGGTACCATCCCCCTATTCATCATTTGCAAGTAATGACGAGTACTAACTTAGTGGAGATTGTCTATTTTTAGTGAATGGCCCGCTGTGATTGGTTCAGACCACTAAAAATGGGTTGATTTTTAGTGATTTGACTAACTCTCATTGGCTGAAAACCCACTAAAAATTGCACCTGCATAATGTAAGAGCCTGTCACTGTACTCTCACAATCGAACTCCAACAATTGTCGATTGTATTCTGATGAGAACATCTGAGATAACGCACAGCGTGTTAATTAAAAATCCTGAATGACTGTGGTCGACCCATACGACCGAAGATCCTTCTCCGCGGTCTGTCACTGATCCTCTGACTGACTGACTCATCATGATCTCATGATGATGATGATGTCATAGAACAAAATCTGTGATCGCAATTTCATCATCATCACATTCTTCATGTCTCAGCTTCAGATGTCTGTATGCCTCTCGTCTCTCATCAAACGATAGATTGAGAGAGTTGTTCTTCTCTTTATTGACACTGTAGGCATCAAGAATCGATATATACAAATTGAAAGATCCCTGTGGAACCAAAGCGCCCCATCAGTGCTGAAACCGCCACTGCTCGGGCGACGATAGACATCATTCGACGTTGCTTGTATATACTATATGATTCGAAGTGGCGGCATGAGCAGCAGCAGCATCCCTGCCACTCAGTTGCTCTCTCAATATCATCCTGTTATTATTGAAGGAATGGGCTACTATGATCCGCGAGATCCCAAAGTTGTCGCAAGCCATATTTACGATCAACTACAATCGCATTGGTTGCATCACGAACAACAACATCAACAACAGGAGGACCAAGGAATCATTGGCGCACTACCGCGTCATTGTCGTTTAGAAGACGCCAACAGAAAGAATGAGAAGAAACCAAAACTTGTCATCGCGCAAGGTGATCCATTGAATGAGCGTGGAATCTCGGCCATTACAGCCATGGTTGCAGAACAACATTTGGGCGTCAAACGTGGGCTGGTGTATTTGGATCCAGAGATTGCTGATTATCACAGCCAGAATGCAGATCGCGAGAATGTGATATTAGAAATCAAATATAGTGACATGGCAGGAGTCTTGAAGGAAACTATTGGGCCCAATGTAATGAGTGACATTGAGTCCGCTGTGGATGCCTTGTTGGACAAGAAGAACAGCAAACGAAAGTTGCTCAACAAACCACCACTGAAATCCTATTTTCGAGATTTCGCTCTACTTCAAGAAGTCACCAAAGCTGCTTGCCTGCAGATATGTGGTGGCGATTTGACGATTGCTCATACCGCCAAGACCATTAGCGAATTCTCTGTGACAAGCTTTTATGAGGTCGGCCTAGACTTGAGACTGTATGCAAAAGATCAAATGGTCCCTTATGATCAATTCGACGAATTAGATTTTGAACAAATCGACAAAAGATGATGGTACTAGAAGATTTAGGCACTTATGCAGTCCCCAAGATTTGGGCTCCTGAGACTCACTCATTGGATTGCATTCCATAAATTCGTACGGTACCGGTATGGATATTGGACGGTAGAAATGCCAGCAACCTATATATAACCAAGTCATCCGATGCCGACATTAGTACACAGTCGCATTGAATGGCATCGAAAAACCTATTGAAAGGTCAACTCCATGTCTTCTTCCGTACGATATACCGTACCGGTATATAGTAGGTACGCAGTCAAACGACAATAAGCGAAGTCTGCACGCAACGTGACTGGCTGGATTGTTAGTCCCGTGGAGATCTCCAGTCTTGAGCAGCATGACTATTAGACTGCGGTACGGTACCATACAATAGCCCATAGCTTTCACCATGGTAGGCCGGAGGTCATGGCGAACAAGGAAAAACATATTTCTCTACAAAGCAGATCAGACTGAAGATGAGATACCCAGGAATCTTACTCATATTGACGTGCACGAGTCGGTCCAAGAAATCCCTGAAGGTGTCTTTGTTGAATACGCTTCCCTGGTTGACATCCGACTGCCACAAGGTTTGCGTGTAATTGGTCCGTATTCTTTCACGGAATGCGCATCATTGGAACATATTTCCGTCCCATCAACAGTAGAAATAATTGGTGAAGGCGCGTTTCTCGGTTGTACTGGATTGAGAGAAGTCGAGCTATTTGAAGGGCTGAAGACTATCAGCAAGCAGAGTTTCTTTTGTTGTGAAGAGCTGCAGTCGATATCAGTTCCGTCGAGCGTTAATATTATTGACTGGGGTGCTTTTGAAAGATGTACTTCCTTGACTGATGTTAAGCTACGCATCGGACTTGAAAGAATTGGGGGCGAAGCTTTCCTGGACTGTGGCTCATTGAAAGAGATGACAGTGCCATCAACTGTTGTCAACCTTGGGGAAAACGCTTTCACTAATTGTGCCCTTCTGCAAGAACTTAATCTGACATGTAGGCTTTTGGATACTGGTCTGGGTATGGCTTCTGAATGCAAGGCTCTTTCCCAAGTGAAATTTCCATCCACATTGAGAATCATCAATAGTGAAGCTTTCGAGCATTGTACCGATCTCTGCAACATCATTCTTCCACAAGGTCTCCAGGTCATTGGAAACGAAGCTTTCTTGTGCTGCTGTTTGAAGGAGATCGCCCTCCCTTACACTGTGAAATCTATTGGGGTGCAGGCATTTGCAAATTGCTCATCCTTGAGAGAAGTCCACTTTGGGGAGGGCCTGGAAACGATTGCAGACGAGGCCTTTCATGGCTGTTCCGACTTGACTGGACTTTCTCTTCCATCTTCTATTCAAATCATTGGAACATGCGCATTTGCTGGTTGTTGGAATTTGATGGGTGTCGAATTCCAAGATGACGCAACCACCTATCTCGAACCAAGGGTTTTCAGTGGTTGCAGGGCTTTGGTAACTGTTTCCATTCCATCTTCGATGAAAGTATATCCCGAAGAACTTTTCGTTGGATGCGACTCGCTCTTAGGAAGCGAAGAGGGTACGATACTGCAACGACTGACGGATCGTTTTGAGAGTCATCCAATCCACGCCGCCTGCTACCATTCATCTATGTCTGAACTATCAACTCTCCTTATACGGAAGTCTGATTACGAGTTGGTGGATTGCTATGGCATGACTCCCTTGCACATTGCAGTGACCACTGCAAAATTGGAGAAGGACATCTTGTGCTGTCTCCTTGATTCGTTCGTTTATGAGGACGTGTGTCGAAGGGATGACAATGGAAGAACCATGATGGATTACCTGCTCACAAACTCTTCCGAGGGAGCCACAGCTTCGATTGAAATGGTATTGGACACATTTATCCTTTGTCCATCGTCTGGGTGGGGTCTGACCAAATGGAGGACTGCCATTCATACCGCTGTGGATCAGTACTTTTCGGCTGAAGACGGGCATCAGATAGCAGCACTAATAGGCTTGGAGGCGACCTTTGCACGAAATCTCAAGATGGAGATCAGCTCACTGCTAGAACTAGCCCTGTGGAGCAAGAGGATCCAATCTTTTGATCGAGGCGACAAGCGGCAGAAAGTCGATAGCCGTTTGATGTGTGGTGCCGATATTGTCATTCCAAACGTGTTGGAGTTCTTTGGAGACATCCCAGCACTGACAAGTCACACTCCATGATGATTCGTGGAGGACAAGCTTCCAAAGCTCATTGTTTTATGACGATTAGGTCGGGGTATATGGCTTCTCGAATCTCAATACAATGGTCTTCTGGGTGATATTTTCACAGAACCAAGGCTATCGGAGAATTCTCGATGACAAGCTAATGAAGTCTGTCTAGATCAATGATGTTTTCTAATCATACTTTGACCGAATCGGCAGAAGACGATCCATCTACTCTGCCCGTATGTACACGTGTACCAGCACTACAGTGTCTAAACCAAGAACAACTTCTTCTTTTTGGCTCCCCATCCATTCGCTGATGTAATGTTTAGGTGGCGGCCAAGCTACTGCACTATCGATAGATCAGATACCCATAACATAAAGATTGTTGTTAGACATATAGCTTGCATTGGTATGCATGTCCTCACATAATACGGCGGAAGACATTTTTCGTGGGACGATGGAAGGACGGACGAAATCCAGGCATACTGTAGTTTTTTATTTATGGTCATCATGCATGCGTATTGTGCTGTACCTGGTACACGTGTACCTATCAAGAAGGTCGACGTCATGATGAGACACGCCACACTGAAAGCACAGTAATGCGGCAGAGGAATATGACTTCGACTTCTTGACTAGATCACAAGACTTCAGCATGGAAAGTCGGAGGCCACTTAGGACAAGAGACAATGTTTTTCTTTTCAAGGGAGATCAGACTGAAGATGAGATACCCGGGAATCTTACTGATATTGACGTGCACGAGTCACTTCAAGAAATCCCTCCACGAGTCTTTGAGGGCTTCCGTTTCTTGGTGGACATTCGGCTGCCACAAGGGTTGCGTGTAATTGGCCCGTCTGCATTCGAGGAATGCGTATCATTGGAATATCTCTCCGTCCCATCAAGTGTAGAAGCAATTGGTGAATCGGCGTTTGGTAGCTGTACTAGACTGAGAGAGGTCGAGTTGTTTGAAGGGCTGAAGATTATCAGCAAGAATAGTTTTTACTGTTGCGAAGTGCTGCAATCCATGTCAGTTCCTTCGAGCGTGAATATTATTGGCAGTAGTGCTTTTCAATCGTGCTCTTCCTTAACTGATCTTAAGCTACGTGTAGGGCTTGAAAGGATTGGGGGTCATGCTTTCGCGAACTGTGACTCATTGAAAGAGATGACAGTGCCATCAACTGTTGTCAGCCTTGGGGAAAACGTTTTCGACAATTGTATCCTTCTACAAAAACTCATTCTGGCATGTAGGCTTACAGACACGGGTGAAGGTATGGCTTCGGAATGCAAGGCGCTTTCCGAAGTGAAATTCCCCTCCACATTGAGAACCATCAATAGGGAAGCTTTCGCGGAGTGTACCCATCTCTGCAATATCGGTCTGCCAGAAGGGCTCCAGCTCATTGACGATGAAGCTTTCTTGTTCTGCTTTTTGAAGGAGGTCGCCCTCCCTTCGACCATGAGAATCATCGGAGTACAGGCATTTGCGAATTGCTCGTTCTTGAGAGAAGTCAACTTTGGGGAGGGCCTCAAAGTCATTTCAGACCGGGCCTTCTGTGGCTGTGCCTCTTTGAAAGGAATTTCTCTACCATCTTCTATTGAACAAATTAGAGAATTCGCATTCGTTCATTGTTGGAATTTATTAGGGGTCGAATTCCAACATGGCAAAACAGCCTTTCTCGCACCAGGGGTGTTCAGCGGTTGCAGTGCGTTGGTAACTATTTCCATTCCTTCATCCGTGACAATAAATTCCGAAGACGACATTTTTGATGGATGCAATTCGTTGATAGGCAACGAAGATAGTGCGGATGCATCGGCTGTACTGCAACGTCTCACAGATCGATTTGCGCATCATCCAATCCACAATGCCTGCTACCGTTCGTCTTTTTCAGAACTCCCAGCTCTTCTGAAGTCTAAGTCTAAGTACGACTTAGTGGATTGCTATGGTATGACTCCCCTGCACATTGCAGTGACCACAGCAAAATTACAGAAAAATATCTTGCGCTGTCTTCTCGATGCATACAATTATGAGGTTGTGTGTCGTAGGGATGATAGTGGAAGAACCATGATTGATTACTTATTTACAAACTCCTCAAGGGAGGCCACAGACTCGATTGAAATGATATTGGACACTTGCATCCTTTGTCCATCGTCTGGTTGGGGTCTGACCGACTGGAGGACTGCCATTCATGCCGCTGTGGATCAGTCCTTTTCGGATGAAGAAGGATACGAGCTTGCAGAATTCATAGATATGGAAGGAATCTTTGCACGAAATACCAAGATGGAGATCAGCTCTGTGTTAGAACTAGCTCTGTGGGGCAAGAGCATTAAATATTTCGATCGAGGTGACAAGCGGCAGAAGGTCGATCGCGAGAACAACCGGCTCATGTGTGGTGCCGATATTGTGATTCCAAACGTGTTGGAGTTCTTTGGAGATATTCCAACACTGACAACTTGCACAGTATGATCATTCGTCATCGACAAGGTTCCAAAGTGCACTGACTTCCACATGTTTCCAGCCTGGTACTGTAAGTGCTGTATTTTCTCTCATGGATCAAATTTTTAAAAAGAGGGAGACTTCGCGGCTTTCCTTCCACAGAAACTTTGTGGTGATAGTTCTTTTTCTAAAAGTTTATGGCATCAGTCTAGTCTAGATTGAATGTTTTCATGATGTAACTATGAAAGATTTGAGAGGATCCCAATGTTGAATAGAAGTCATTTCGTTTCAGATAGATTCCCTCATTCTCTTGTCACTGGATCTTCTGATTGGAACTTGTCTAGTTCCAACATGAATATAGATGGATCCGTTGAATATTACCAGTGTACGTAGAAATGTACGGACATTGGAAGTTCGAAATGCCAGCCAAATGGCAAGTCTCCATCATCCAACGTGATACAAGATAAGAGGAGTCGCATTGATTGATACATAACCAAAACCGACTAAATTGAAAGGTTAAGCCCAAGTCTTCAGCACCACGTCTCAAGAAAAAAGAAATTGAAGGCGCCTAACACACAAAATTCAGCAACGTAGCAGACGCGGCATTAGGGCATTAGGGCATTCAAATAACAATCCAATCAACTTTACCTGAATTATATTATAACAAGTTCTAATCCACAAGCATGGCGAACGTCTTTGATATCGGTGATGTCGATTTCGATCGAATTGCCAAACGTCGTGATGAAGCCTTGAGGCGCAAGGCAGCAGAACGGGGTGAAACGTTGTTGCAAGGAATGGACAAAGAAACAACCCAAGATGAACAAGAAGAGGAAGACGCTTCCTCGGGTCGTCAGTATGGAATGCGTTGGGGATGGAAAGGATGGGGGGGCAGAGACAAGGGCGGCAGTGGTAGTGGTGGCGGTACTGGTACCCAGGCAACAGCTGAAGAAGACAAACAAGAAGCGGAAGAAATTTTGTTTGGTGGAAAGCGTGTCGTCCAATGGCCCTATGATGATTATCACATTGTCCAGCAAAAGTTTTACACCCGGCTAGCAGAAATCGAAGAAGGTGGTGGGGAGTCCAAACAAGAAGCAGTGCAAAGAGCTGCCGCTGCTCAAAACTTGCAGCGACCTCCGGATCCACCAATCATTAGCAAGGCAGTCCAAGACTTGCCCCTGAAGGGTTTTGAGGCCAAGGCGGAAGAACGCGCCATTGCTACTGTCAGTACATGGCTCTTTGATTGCGGTCTTATTGATGAACTTCTTGAAAATGGAGGAATGTCCAGCATGGCAATTCAGACCAATCACAACAAAACAAAAAAGGGCGACGCTGCCTCCGTTCCAAGTCAAGAGGGAATTGAGGTTGGATTGACAGGTGGCTTGCCCATTGAAGGTCCTTCGAAAATGGACAAGGAAATGAGCAAATTAAAAGCCAGTCAACAGCGAACCCTCACTCTCATTAATTCTCGTCTGAACGATGGTGTCGCCGCTTCAGGAGGAGAAGTTCAAGAATTGGTGAATGCTGTCAACTCGACCAAGGATGAACTGGGACGACTACGAGAATTGTCGACGTATATTTCCAGTAGCAATACCGATCAAGGAGGTCAAAAATTCATGCTTACCAAGTACCCCAAACTCAAAAAGGCCATTAATGCCAGACGCAACTTGGCCAAGTGCTTTCGTGAACTCGACTTTTACTCAAAGATTCCAATTACTTGCGATGAACTGAGAGAGCAGCTTCACTCTGCCGAATGGACAGATGATGAATGGTATTCTTTGCGAGAGGTATCCAGAAAGCATGTTGAACTGGAGATTTTCTTGGTGGAAGCTGAATTGGGAATGAAGAAGCGAATTGACGAAGATATCGCGGAATCCGGCGCTGCCGGTGGTGCGGGGTACCGACCGCAATTGGGATTGCCATACAATCACGAAGAAGTTGATAACTTTTTGCAAGATCATGTCAAGAATGTTTGGGAATTAGGCGAAGAAATTCGAATGCGTATTCAATCTGGAATTGGAAGTGCCTTTGAATTGACCATGGAGAATCCATCTGGTATGGTCGCCTTGGTAGAGGCAGTCGAACACTACGAATCTGCCAATCTCGAATACAAGACGGTTCACGGACAAGAGGCTGGTCAGAAACAAACCTTGCGATTCACAAACATGAGAGCTTTTGCTTTGAAGCAAATCTATTCAGATTTCCACTTGAGGGGAGAAGAAATGTTCAATCAAGTCCACGAAAATGTACGTTGCCAATGATTGTATGCCTGCTGCTTCTCCTATTCTTGCATTTCATTAATTTTCTTTTTTGCTGTTTCCATAGGAGGAAAACGCTGAATATGACGATGATGAAGCAGCGGCCAATGCCCACTTCTCCGCTGTACTCCGAACTGCTAATGGTCTGACCTCTGAAATGATTTTTGTCCAAAATCAAATGTGTCCGTGCTTTCCACCCTACTGGTCCATTGAAACCCTTTGGGCGACTTGTGTGGCTCACATTTGTTCCAAGGAAATTCTCGAGCAAATTGGTGGCAAAGAAGGTCACTTGCTTCCTGAACTCAATGCGTCTCAGCTGTTGGATCTGGTGGCATGGGTGGAGAACTTTCGCGAAACGATTGAAGAATCCTTCCCCAATATTATGGATCACGATCCCAAGGTGTCGTTTGACAGTGAACGCCCCCAACTTTTGGGCGAAGATGCGAAATCCATTGATATGGACGTAGCCAAGGATGCCTTGGCCTATGCCAACAAGACATTATGGGAAGTCCATGACTTGGCCAAGGATGAATTCCTCTTTCGTACCAAGGAGCAAACCGACGAATGGCTCATTCGTGTGTACGAAGCAGAACATACCAAGAGCCAAACTGCCGAGGGAAAACTCATTACTTCCTTGTGCGAGGATGTCTATTCTTTGGCTGGTGTCCAATTGACCACCATTCGTGAGCGTTTGACCAAGAAGTCCGATGCCATGGTTCAAGCGGTTGGTCTTATTTTCAAGAATCTTTACGAGAAGCAAATCGAATCCCGAAACAATTTCCTCGAAGACTTTGAAACTTGTTGTGCTGCCTCCAATGACTTTATTCGAATGAGTGATAACTGCGAAGAGATTGTCAGCGATCTGATGGAAGAAACGAATTTGTCGGAAGCTTCTACAGAAATTTTGGAAGAGCAATCTGGTGCTTTGTTGGGATTGTATTCGAGTGATGCCGTCTTTGCTTCACAAAAGATCCACATTTATGTTTTTGAGCCCATCGAGGAAGCCATTTCAGAAGAGCTGTTTGGCAAGGAATGGTTGAATGAGTTGACCAATAACGATTTGGCTTTGACATTGGTCCGAACCATTGAGGATTTCATGGGTGACTTGGAAGAATATTTGGATGAACTAATGGTCGGCAAAACGTTGGAAGCTCTGATTACTGGTACTGTGTTGTTCTACACCAAGACGCTGCTGGCCAAGTCCAGTGCTCATACAAGCAAGACCAAGCCACTATGGGGTGATAACGCTCGTGCACTAGAGCGCATTCAAGGTGATATCGCAGTCATGCGTGAGTTCTTTGAAGAGCTCGCCGATTCCTACCCGTCTTTGCCACGAGTAATGGAAAGCGAATTTGGTATTTTGGATAATATCTATGAGCTTTTGTCCATTGCCAACGGCACCTCGGATTCAACAGACCGTGATTTTGTGATTTTGCTGCAAAAGAGAATCAAGAATATTCCGATCACAAAGTACGTTGTAGGTGATTTGTTCCATATGGTCAATCCGGCCAGGGAAGAAGGAGTTTACGCTTTGATCGACTCTATGGCAGACGAGCTGATGGCGGTAGCTCCAAATGATGAACAGGCCTTTGATGTTGTTTTGGCCCGTCAGACAGTTCCCGGTCTACGTCTGGATCAAGAGCTGGCCAAGCACTGCGACGAAAGTCGAGGAAAACGTGCTCGTCCTGGACTGTCAAGAACGGCCACGGAAGAAGGAGAAATTATGTTGAATCGATGGAAGAAGACCTGGAACAAGGTCAAGACACAACTCGAAGAGTAGAGACACAACCTCGAAGTTTCAAAAGAGACTTATATTCTATAATGTAATCTAGTGTCGCCACACAATAAAAAATTGGTTTATTAGTTAGCTACACATTCCTCCTTCCATTGGAACTGCGTTCGGAATGTATCCATAGTTTGTGACTTGGGATACTAAAACAACGAGGCCAACAAGGATTGCCAAAAAGGACAAGCCTTCAGCAGCTCCCAACAAACCAAAGGGGCCAGCAGGAAGACCACTTCCCTAAAGAATGCATGAATGGATCAATAAATGAAAAAAATTGGTTAGTACAAAAGAGGTTATTGGCTTCACAAAAACTCCAACCCAAATCGAAGAAGAAATCATTATCATTGTCGTACCGTTCTAATTTTGGTCACCACAGAATAAGAAAAAATCCCGAGCATGCCCAGATACGAAAGACCTTCCACAAGACCAACCAAGCCGAATGGTCCGGCAGGAAGGCCGCATCCCGTGGTAAACAAGGTGTACTCGGAATAAAAGTTGACGAGTGATGCAAAGGTTCCCAAACCTCCCAACAAGAGTTGATCCGATGATGCAACAGTTTCACTTCTTGAAATATCGTTCTCCTCATCATTGGCGTTTTTCAATATCACCAAGTGATCACTGGTGGATTGGAATGGAATTGGAGCATGATTGGTCAGAAACATAAGGTTTCTTCTTGAATCATGATGATGATGATGATGCTTATGCTGATGGAGGTTACGACCAGTAAGACTATGGGCGCTTTTGGAAGGAATTGCAAATCTTGTTGGACTGGTTTGAAAGGAAAAGGCGCTGGTAGTTATCAATGCCAGAAGGACCCGAGTAATAGACGACATCATGATGAGTAACACTATCCAGAATTTCGATCGTCATCACATTACAGATTTAGAGATATTCGTATCGTCTCCCGTGACTGCATCAGTCCTGAATCCTGAATACAAGTTCGGCCGTAGTTGGTTATCTCTGCTGACGTCACAAACTCCAACTCATTGTGATGACGAAGAATGATGACTGATTTTCCAATATAAGTACGGAACGAGACCGTGATCTCCCAAGTCCTCACTTCGACGTCAGAAAAGCGAGAGAAAGTCCCAAACTTTTGATACACCGCTATATTACGGTATTTTATACACGATTGCTGGGATGTCAGCTGTCTTGTAAGTATATTATATATGTATCAACACCCCTTGTACCTTTGCAACCTTTTATCGTGTGAGTACATACTCCACCTCATAACCGATGGTGGCAAGCCACGCCTTTGCAGTCATTCTTTGGCTGATGAATGTGATGGCTGGTGGGGCATCAGACATTAGATTCAACGCGACTGACGACGATGATGAATTGAATCATCGTCGTGATCCCGATCTTCCTCAGTGGGATGCTTCTGAACTGAATGATCTATGCGATGGGGCTGGGTATGCTATCTACGATCATGGTGTCTATACCAATGGTACTGCTTCTTGTGACGAACCAGAGAGCTACTGCTGTTATGCTGAGCCTGAGACGAACTTGATATATTCCGACAATGATGATGGTGATGATAACAACAATAACAATAGCACAAACAGCAACATGACGACAATCCAGAGCAATCCCTGTGATGGATTCACTGGCATAATATGTCACGGAACCGCGGAAAATAATATCAATTGCAAAGGTCAAGATGCCTGCACGAATTCTACGATAGGATTAGTCAAAGCTGGCAGTTGCCAAGGGAAGGAAGCCTGCAAAGATGCCAACATTACTACATCCGTATCCACCAACAGCTGCATCGGCGAAAAGGCGTGTTCCGAAGCCAGTATTGGGGTTGTGGAAAGTTCTAGTTGCAAAGGTGCCACAGCCTGTCATCGATCCAGAATTGGAACCGTGACAGACAATTCTTGCTTGGCCGCCCGGGAAGCTTGCTTCGAAGGAACGATTGACTACGTCAGTCAAAGCAGCTGCCAACAATTCAAGAGCTGCAGTGCGTCCTTCCTGGGGACAATCTTGGGCTCGAGCTGTCGAGGAGATTATGCCTGCGGTGCCCAATATCTGGACCCCATAACAACCGTCTTGGATTATGTCGACGAATCCTCCTGTGTTGGGGCACACGCATGTCACCGAGCTACGATTAAAGAAGCGGTTGGAGGAAGCTGTATTGGGGACTATCCGTGTGCGTCGTATTACGGATTGAGCACTCATATTGAGTCCGTCAGGAACCGAAGTTGTATAGGATATTACACTTGCATGGACGCCACTATGGAAATTGTCGAGGATCAATCTTGTGTCGGGAGGGATGCATGTCGACAGAGCATGATTGGAAATCTAACGAACCAGTCTTGCTTTGGAGATCGAAGCTGCCAACGGGCAATTATTACTTCTGCAAGTCAATCCTGCTTTGGCAATTCTACCTGCCAGAATTTTTTCGTCAATGGGACCTTGTCCAATAGTTGCCAAGATCCTTGGATGTGCGCATCCCAAGGCCAGACAGGTGACTTTGAAGATGTTTGCAGAGGCTCTTTGGAAATACCATTTGGGCCACCGTGCAGTAGGAGTGCAAGCAGCGTGCGATATGGAAGGGCCTTTGTAATGATTATTGGAGTGTTTTCCTTGAAGCTCTTGTTTGGCTGATTTTGATTTCCTGGATGAAGAACAAATGATACAGTTTTTCTACTGACACTCAGTAGAAGATTTCTTTTGGAACAAAAGCACCTTTAAGGATCTCTCGGGATCGGCATCGGGAAAGGAATCGGGATTCGGTAGGCGTTCCAAGAACTCTAGACTTGGAGCCTCCCCTTCTACTTGATTCTTCAACCAAGTCGAGTCAAGCGATGGAGCATTGAGGCAGAGTAGTACTTTACCATTGTCTTTCAAAAAGTCAGGGAGTCGGCGAAGAATTTTGCAATAGTCCTTAGAGGCAACAAAACTATTCCTCTGAAAACTAGGAGGGTCAACAATGATGGTATCGTAGGGACCTGTAAAAGGTGCATGGGGAGAAAATGGGGAGACAAAATGGGGGTTAACAATATGCATGCATGCTGTATCAGAATAATATCCATCGCCAACAAAGATAATGACTGGAATTCTTCAGCATCCTTGCACCAACGAATGAATGAATCATATGATCATACAATCATACAATCATTCAATTTTTAAATGAAAAAACAGACAGCAACTTACCAAGTTTCCGTAACTTTCCCCAAGTCTTGAAAATATTGTGCGTCAAGAATCGTGCCCCCTGTAGATTATTGAGATCGTGGTTTCGTTTTCCGTTCTTCATGGGCCCACCTGCCATGTCAATGTTGACGACCTGTGCGGCTCCTCCTCCGCCAAGTGCCGCCACGGAAAAGCCACAGGTATAAGCAAACATGTTCAGTACATTCTGATCTTTGGTATTTTCTTGGACCCACTTTCTTCCATTGGCCATGTCCAAAAAGATACCATTATTCTTGCCAGATGCTATTCCGACCAGGAATTTCATTCCATTTTCCGTCACAACATGTGGTTTGGGTACCCCTCCCGAAATGATTCTTGTTTCAGCCCCAGTGTCATTGCGAAACTGATATACCAGATTTATAACATTCTTGTTCATTTTGTCATTGTGGATGGACATATTGGTAGGCTTTGGAATATTTGTCTTATCCGGCAGCATGTCATGGACGGAGAAAATGGTATCGTTGGACAATTGAATGTTGTGGCTGGTCAAGAGCCATACTGGAGGGAACCAATCTAGAGTAAGGTGCTCACAACCAGGATAACAGCCACCTCTTCCATGAAATACTCTCTTGGCATCCGTTTGATCCGCTGAAAAGTCTTGAATCTCTTGTTCCATGGGTTTCAGTGGAGTATTTTCAACTGGTGTGAGCATGCTGGAGTCAGCATCAGTATTCGTGGCATAATGTTTCGAGAAGGAAATTGGTCTACATCCTCTCGTATGGATATGTGTAGGCACAAAAGCATGACACCTATTCAGTGTGAGTATGTTGCCAAGCAATATGAGAAATCCAAGTCTTCTCATCATCATTGCCAAACAAAACATTTTGGATTATGATTTTGATTTCAATGTGATGGATGATGAGTCGATCAAACTAGTCGATTTGGATTCACGACGGAGCATGGACAGGCATCGACTCCAAGGAAGGCTCCACGCGGAGATGTGGACGTTTTTGATTTCACATCATCTTATTGCATCATCATTGAATCATCGAAATAACATCACCATGAAGTTTTCTATTTTCCACCAAGCTCTTTGTCTTCTATTTACTGCGTCTGTTGTTTTGGGACAGGGATACGTCGATCAGCAAGATTACTACGGCGAAGATGATTACTATGGCCAAGAAGGCGACAGTCTGTATCATGATTATGCAGCCCATCAAGAAAAGAAGGCCCAAGGAGGCAACGGGTATGTTTGATTATTTGTTTTGAGTGAAGGAGTGATACAATCTGGCGCTTTTGTCACTTCTGTTGGTTCTATTTTGAAGCACTTGTTCTGACTTTTTCCCATTGTCTTTCTCATCTACTAATTTTCTGTCACAGTGGTGGTATGATGAAAACGGTTGCCTTTTGTGCCGGATCTTGGTTCTTGGGAGGAAAGATTCATTCTAAGCGAGCCGTCAAAAAGGCTGGTGCACAATTCCAAAAGGCTCAAAGAGAATTCTACCTAAAGTATGTCAAGGATGTCAACACCCTTCAGACTCAAAATGCTGAACTCCAACAATACATGAGTGAGGTGATGAAGCAAAAATTGACAGAGGAGTTCTTGGCTGCCGATTTGAACAATGACAGACAGGTCACTCGAGCAGAGTTCGAGATGTACAAGAAGGAATACATAAAGAAGCATCCCGAGATGTCGAATGTTCAGTTTCCTGCCTTTGAAGAGTTTGATCCTGACCACAATGGAGTTATTAGTATGCGTGAGCACGAATCGTACTACGAAAAGCACGGAATGATATAAAGAAGAAAGGATGACTGGGTTGGAAATAGAGTTGCCACTCCTATTACCTTAAATCCTTGTTGGGTGTATTACACAAGATGTTGTTCTGGTTATGCTTCTAGTACCACTACTCGACCAAGATCGAAAGATCCATTAGATAATGGGCAGAAGAAGACACTGATCAGCTGAGCACTGCATAGAATCTTCTAAGGCTATAGTATGAAGTCGATTTCTTCATTTCCATAAAGTGACATTTGTATTGTAATTGTAGCCATGGTAGCGTTTCACTAATTGGGCAGGGGCCATACGGACAGACATCATCATAATGATGACCGCATTGTTGACAATGTAAATGACAACAAAGATCGAGCGATGATGTCAATATGATGAGACAGCAACATCAATCATAATGCAATCGAATGGAGAGCGGAGGTCTCTGGTGATCCGCCTCATCTTCTTTCTCACCTTGGCCTATGCAGTACAACATCAGTCAAAACTCTTGAAGTCGATTGGTGTGTTCCAAGAATCATCATCGCCCAATACTAACCAAGCTGAGGTTCCATGGAACCACAATGTTGATGGTGAGACCATCAAGACAGTCGAAAATTTTAAGAATGCTGCGAGAGAAGATACTGATTCGAAAGCACTCAATGGTGACGGAGAACCTGCTCGTCTTGAGAACAAACTCAAATCACTCGGCAACCAAGTCGTCACAACGATCACTGATGACGGCCAGCTTCTTACTACTACACCTCATCATCCACCATCACAGCAACCACCATGCGCTCTGCTCTTTTTTGGCCTCATCAAGGACTTTGTTGAGTTGGCATTACCCGCTATTCGACGTCATATCCTACAACCCAATCCGCAATGCGATGTCTTTTTGCACACGTACAATATCACAGTCACACGAATCAGTCGACGAAATCTGGAACAAGCGTTCACAGTCCAAACCGAAGAAGCTTATCATTTGACCAACCATGTGGCCTTTGATACGGAATGGACCTTTGAAGACGAACATGCCAAATTCTTGCGACGGACTAGACGATTGTATCATCGAGAATGGGGAGCATGTTGCAAATCTCATGATAACATGATCAAGCAATGGCACTCGATCAAGCGAGTTTGGGACCTTATGGTGGATCATGAAAAAGGCAAACTATTGAATATCAACAATCAAGGATCGGAAACCAAAAAGCATGACTACTACTACGAACAGATTGGATTGTTCCGTTCCGACGTCTTTTACACGAGTCCCATTGATATTTTTGATTCCAACGCCACCTTGCCAAACTTTGCATCCTACAAAGGTTACAATGATCGTTTATTCTATGGTCAACGACAATATGCTCAAGTTTGGGCCGATCGATTTTCCTTTGCACCTATCTTTGAAAAACAGTACATGGTGTCCTCCATTACCCGTGGCAAGAAACGAGGCTACCATTCCGAATCGTTCTTGTTTCACTTGCTGAACCATTACAAGGTACCAGTGGAGCTCCAGAACATTTGCGTCTGGAGGATACGAACGGGAGCACGTCTCACCGTAGAAGATTGTACCCGAGAGTCCAACTGGTTCTCCAAAGACGACATTTCCAAGTACCTGCCACGAGGCTACACAATACAAGTTGTGGAGGATGTCAAGAAACTTCGAAATGGAAAGAATAAGACCAGCAGCAGTCTATTGGGATTCCCACAACCTGATAACAACGGGAACGTCAATATTATTCCTTGACAAAATGGGAGCATGTGCGATGTGTAACATTGGCACTACTCTTACATTCATTCACCTTGTGTGGCACTGAAATGGTTGGTTTTCAATTTCCATGTGTTTGGGCAGCCAGGATTCGAACCCACACACACGCACGATTTACGAGGTCGCGATTGCTTATTCTTTTTGCATTTCTTTTTTCGTCTTCCGAATTTGTGAGTCAAGAAATATATGAATCGTCAAGACCAAGATCAATCACACTTGTGCAATTTCTATTCACAATGGAAAGAGCGCATACAAAACCATGGTATCATCCACCACCACAAACAAAAAGAAGACACCTCCAAGGCTGAGTGCTGAGGATTACATGATCCGCAGCAAGGCATTGGATTTACTCCAGACGGTGGACCATCAAATTGTGTATGAGAATGATTATGATGACGATGATGGTGACAATTCGGATTTCTCATGGATTACGCCAGAAGAACAACCCATTTCTTATCAACATTCTTCAGCTGTACCCGTCATTGAACGAAAACAGCAGCAACGACATCCCGCTAGAATCATGGGAGCATCACAAGATCAATGGATTGATATTTTCGTGCCAGCCGTCAGTTGCATTTCCAATGCCTGCAAGTTGGGTGTCTCTAGCATGGTGAAGCAAACCAAGGATGGATTTCATGTCATTCAGAATGATCTTCGAGAAAGAAGACTGGATCGAGCAAATGTAAAGAAAAAGAAGGATCCGTCATCCCATCGACCACAGCGGAATATTAGACGAAATGATTCGTTTCATCGTCAACGAGCAGGATATCCCGAGATCCTAGAGACAAGGAGAGGCACTGCTGGTCAGCAGACAGCGGAACGCTATTCTGCCAGAGGATATGTAGAAGACGAAGATATTCTTTGTTACCATCCTGGTGAATGGAGGCCTCAAGGCTTGTTGTTTGTTCCAGGAGAAGACCTTCGGCAGCATCAATATGATGATGTCAGTCTTATGACGGCAGAGGATCACAATGACTCTACCAAGAAATGTTTAGGATTTTGTCCAGTAGTATAATATAATAATAATATATAATCTAGTAAAGTGTAAACTCTTTTTAAAAGTAACAACAAAAAATGACATGACTGCGAATACGCTCTCTAGCCTTCTCCATCGTTCTGCATCCGGTGATCTATTTGAGGACGAGTAACGCCAGCGTCAGTAAGGGACAGACGATGTGATTGCACGACAATGGGAGAAGGCGCCTACTCTAATATCTTCGTGAATTGCAACACTAGGAATACCATCGTTTCGAATCCATGGTCAACTTCAATATACTGCCTGTTTTGTTGTAGTATATGTCATGCAGCAGTCCAAGGAGTATACTTGTTGATGTGTTCATATTGATAACTAGCTCATCTTTAGCTTACAAGGATATCGTATCCTAACAACTCAAAATATCAGCGTGTTCTCCAGTCTTTTGTCCTCCGGTTGTTCCAGCTGCACTAGTAGTCTCTGGAATGTCTGAATACTTGCTTCCCTGATAAGAAGGAATTCCCACAGAGTCAAAGTTTCCTTGCATATTATTCGAATTGTTGGAAGTAGCAAATATTCGATCTTCTGCTTCTCGTGTCATCATGGAAACGCCTTGGGCAGCTTGTTGGGCAATCCCCGAAATGCCCACCCGGCAGGCATTGGACACACAGCTGACGACCGGCATTAACAAGTCCACCAGATCGTCGCCTCCTCCTCCTTGTGATGGACCGCTATAAGAAGATGGATACGAACGTCGATTTGCCTCTCGTTCCCGCTCCAAGGCTTCCGCATTGTTTTGATACGACTGAAAGGGAGCATTCCCACTCTCTCGACTACGAGCTTGTTGGGCATACGAGACAGCATTCTCTTGCGGATCCACTTGTTGCAACAAATGGAGGGCCTTGTTGCGAATGTCAATGTCCGATTGATTATTTGGAGAAGGAGCGCCTAATTTCTCCTTTAGAGCACCCAACTTTGCATTCCGATTCGACCGCAGTTCCGAGAGTCGTCTCGAGGAGGAGCCTGTGGTTTCCATGATTACTATTTTGCAGATTTATTATTACTAATAAAATAAAGTAAAATAAAATGTTGGAACAATGAATTTGACAGCAGTGATGATGTAGATAGAGCCAATGATGTGGAGTATGTGTATCAGGTGTCAACAGGATCGTAAGGGGCAATGGCAATGGTTGTCACTGAGAATAGTGTTCAACGAGAGGAAAGTCGTGTCAAGTCAACAGAGTATCGTAGATGGGAAGGCGTAGTCTGCGGCGTGTCGATGTCGTTAGTTCGTGGTTCCTGTAGACGTGTTGGCTTTAGTCGGAGGAATCAATCCAATCATTCAATCGAATCACAGATTATTTGACTAACAGGACTTCCTGCCCGGTTTGAAAATCAATGACGAACGAGCGATGCATTTCAAAAAAGAAACAAAATGGACCAACGCAGCAACAGCAGTAGCAGCAACATATTGATTATTAGTCCACTGGATGATTTGAATATTTATGGTCAACGAAACCGAACCAGCTGAAACAGCAGCTTCCAATGGCAGCAACAGTCGCGAAGAAGAAGAAGAAGAACAAGGACTTCTGCAAGACGTTCAAAAGGAACTTACACAATTGAACATTGATGACACGACCTGCTCGTTGTCAACGATTGCAAACGGCGCCTTTTGTGATCCTCGATACTTGGTACAGGTTTTCTTGGAAGAAGCGTGTACGGAAATTGGAGATGGAGCTTTTGAAGGCTGCGCTGGCCTGCAAACGGTGGAGATGGCTTCTACTATACGACAAATTGGAAAGAAGTGTTTTTCCAAGTGTTCTTCTCTGGACAACATTAGTCTTCCACCTGGGCTGAAAGCGATTCCAAAAAACACCTTTTCGGAATGCGAATCCCTTGTCTCTATAGATGTGCCTTTGGGAGTTGTGGAAATTGGAAAGAATTGCTTTCATCGATGTGTATCATTGGCGAATGTTTCATTTGTTGCTAACGACGACTCATCATCATTATCTCAATTGCAAACGATTGGTGGCGGTGCCTTCAAGTGCTGCTTGGCATTAAGGTGTATTCATCTGCCTTCCACTGTGCGATCGATTGGAAAGTCTGCCTTTCTCTCTTGTGTATCATTGAAAGACGTACAACTACCCCATCATGGCTTACAAGTCATTCAGGATCACACCTTTTTCTTTTGCGAAGCACTCGAAAAGATATCACTACCAATGACAGTTTACAAGTTGGGAACCGGTGCCTTTCAAGACTGCAAATCCTTGCTCCATGTTACCAATGCACAAGGACTGCAACACATGGGCGAACGCGCGTTCAAGAATTGTACCAAACTTGGAAGCGTGTCCACTTCATTGAGTGGTTTGGTATCAATTGGTTACAGTGCGCTCTCTGATTGCCACCGGATAGTCCAGATTGATCTTCAAGATGGCCTTACAGAGATACCGGCAAGATGCTTTGCCAATTGCGAACGATTGCGGTACGTGTCCATTCCCAACACACTCGATACGATTGGAACGCAAGCCTTTTCTTGGTGCACGGCTTTGCTCGGGATCAGACTTCCCCCTACCAAGGTATTCATTGGCAATGCAGCCTTTGTAGGATGTGAGTCTCTGATGTCAATTTCGATTTCCTCTTGTTCCATGTCCAGTCTGCCATTGGATATTAGTGCTACCTTGTTTTCGAAGTGCAAGAATCTTCTATCGTTTACTCGTGGATATGACTTAAGGAAGGTTCTATGCGACCGATATGCGGACCTGCCTGTCCATCAAGCTTGCTATGATTCATGGCATACTACTGTGGATGATCTGACTGCTGCTATTACTGCTCCTTCATCAGAAAGGCCCACCGATTTTTTTGCAATGACTCCCTTTCATATTTTGGTGACTTGTGCCAAGCTACGACCGGATCTCTTGCAAGTTCTCTTGGATTATTATCCAGCAGAGGTAGTATGGATGAAAGATATTTCTCGACAAGACATTTTGGGCTACATTTTCAGGAACATGAAATCATTATCACCAGACGCAAACATTTTTGTCGAAATGGTACTGGAGAAAACAGTTTTGGATGTTATGCATGGATATGGTCTAACAAGTTGGAGGTCTGATATATGCTCTCAATTAGATTCCATTATTCGAAGCCAAGGGAGGGACCGATGGCTTCCAGATTTGCTTGACGGCGTCATTGGATCTTTGGCAAGATACAAAAAGCTGGAGATGACCTCCGTTTTGGACTTGGCACTATGGAAATGGAGTCTCGATTCGTTCTTGCAAATGGACCGAGCCGAATGTTGGTCATTGAATAGAGCCGAACTTGTCATCCCAAGTGTCGTCAGCTTCCTTTGGGATGAGTCAACCCTTCCTACATCCATCATTGGTGAACGATCCAATCGGCTTGTTGGATTTGTAGGGAAAAGTGTCATTGAACGATAATTTTAAAGGACTGCTGGCTTTTTTCCCAATGCATTCCACCCTGGATAGTACTTGTGGCCGAGTTCTGCCTACGTAGTCGCATTACCATTTAGTCCGTTTTTCTCCATCTCCTCCATTCGTCGGTAAGCCTTTTCAAGTTCCTCCTTCAGACTGGCCACTTCCTCCGACAAATCGGATCCTTCCATCAATCCCAATTCCATAGCTTGGTTCATTTTCATTTGCTCGATTTCTTCTCGGAGTTGCTCATTCTCCTCCTCATTGTTTGCTTCTATTGTCGAAATCGTTCGTTGCATGTCTTGTTTGTCTCGACGAAGGGACTGGTTTTCTGCCAAGAGTACATTCTGATCTTGAATAACATTGAATAGCTTTGCTTCCAGCTCTGTCACAGTTGCATCTTGTTGTCGGGGTGTTGGTTCGACTTTTGTCGTAGTATGATACTTGTTGTCTGGATCTTTATTCAGCGTCATTTCCTCTTTCATCTTTCGAATAGTTTCTTTCAGACTTTCCAGGCTTTGGTCTCGCTGCTTCAGTTTTACTTGCAGGCTGGAAATCTGAGCTCTTTGGCGTACAACTTTAATTTTGTTGGCTTGCATATCTTCGTCCTTCTTTTTCAGTCGATTGTACAGCTCGTCAATTACCTTTTCTGCGGCTTTTAGGTCCCGTCGATATCCTTCCATGTCGTCTTCCATGAGTCGCAACTCCCGACGCAAATTCTCTTCCTTGTCCTGAAGAAGGCGGGATATATCGTCGACATCCTTCCTGGCGTCCTCCAATTCGCGCTGCATTTCTTCCTTCTCAGTTTGAACAATTTTCAGCTTTCGGATTGATTCTACCTTGTCCTTCTTCAGAATTTCGAGGCGTTTTGATAAGTCGACTTCATTTCCTTGTGGCGAAAGTTTACCAGTCAATGCGATCTTCCCCGGAGACAGCGGTGTTTTCCGGCTCAGTTGACCCTCCAATTGCGCATTCCACGTTCTTTCTTCGGCGATCCTTTTTTCAAATTTTGCTTGTGCATCATCCTTTCTTCGAACGGTATCGGCAAGATTTTGTTTCAGACGAACGACCTGTTTTGTCAATATATCAATGTCGTGATCTTTCCGCTTGCATTGCATCGTTGCATCATCCTTCAGCGCAATGGTATCAACAAGATCTTGCTTCAAAAGAATAACTTGCTTTTTCAACCCCTTGAGTTCGAAGTCTTTTTTCCTGTATTGCATCCTCAATAATTCCTCATCTCTCGTGTTGCCCATTCCGTTCTGCAGATTCCTTATTTGCTCATCTGCCATTTTAACGTTATGATTCAAGATATTGATCATTTGCTCTTTTTGGTGATTCAGAGTTGCCGCCTCCTTTAGTTTGGTCTCCAATGACTGGACATTGGATACGTAGGACTTTATTTCAGCATCCTTTTTTTCTTTTAGATTATTCAACCGTTCCATTGTATTCGTATTCTGGACTCGTATTGCCTGCTCTTGCCGATTCCTTGCCGCCACAGCATCCCGTAGGCTAGCTTTGAGAGCAATGATCTCCGACTGACGATTTCGAAGCTGCGCATCTTTTTCATGGCACAGAGTCGTCAGTCGACTTTCAGACATGTCATTGGGGCATTCATTTCGTCCCAGTTGCTCTTTCCTCGGGGACCGCTCCTGCAGCTGATAATTCTTCAGTTGTGCCTGCAATTCTTCAATCTTGCTGAATTGATCCGCTATGCGTTTTTCGTATTTGCTGTTTGCTGCTGAAAGGACCTTAATGTGTTCGTTTGCTGCGGATTGAAGTCTATCCTTTGACTCGATCTCCACCGGAGACGGAGACTGCACGCTTTCCAGCGGCTCCCCGAAAATTTCTGACGATGCGTCCTGTTTTTTCTTTCGCGTCGATTCGTTGTCTTTGTTTTCAGTAGGTTTCAACGAAAGGGATTTGGACGGTGACGACAGCAAACTATCACCATCGCCTACATCAGAGGATGACCCCAAATCCTCTTTCAGTGGATCCGATTCTTGTTTGTCAGTTACTGACGATTCGTTTTCACGATTCTTCGGAAGGCCGCCTCCACGCCATTCCTGTACTTCCATCGTGTGGGAGCCCATGAGTGAGCCATCAAGTCTTAGTGCAGCTTCTTGCTTTTGCCTCGACGGTAATTCAAGGAGAATTTTCTGCCCACTCTTCATACGGCTGGCATGGAGGTCATTCCGGTCTAATCCGATTCGATTGGCGAAGTAGCACTCCAAGTCAAATAGTATTTTATTTGTGGGGTTCAAATTTTTGACCACGACAGCATATGTCGGTCGATTACGCTTTGGAAAGTTATTGTCATCCTCATGGCTAATAACTTTCTCATTTGCGATCCACTTCTGCAAAGAAATTCGTCTACCATTACCAATTAATGAGCCGTCAAGCTTTAATGCTGCTCTTTGCATTTGTTTGGTTGGAAATTCAAGGCGAATACATCCATTCCGTAGGCTAGCATTGAGATTAGCACCACAGGGGGCGACTCGTTTCTGGAAATAGCGCTCCATGTCAGACATTAATTTGCCCGAGGGGCGTATTTTTTTGATTGCGATGGCATACGTTTCTTGTCTTCTCCTTTGTTCGTCTTGATGTCCTCCCCTATTTCGTTTCCTCCTCCCAGACTGATTGCTTCCTTCGTCATTTTGAGGCATGCTGTTTCAAACCGAACATACATTCAAATTTGATGTTATTATTTGGCATGCAGGTATGCATGCAAACGCGTTGGGAATTTGGGGGTATTATTTGTAATCGGTGATGATGCACTTGTATTGAAGCAAGAATGAAATTCGAGGCTTGTTTGTTTGGCATACCGGTATACGAGATAGTATGATGCATGTAATAATGAAAAGAGGCACTACACATGTACAGTAATAATGCGTCAGAAGCACGTGTCTTTCCGCTGCCCGCAAAAAGCATTTAGGGTGAAATCTAAGGGGGGTCTGATTGTGAGGAGGGTCAGACTGCATCATCATCACCTATCTCTGCAGAAATGGTATCGTACTTGAGAAAAGTGCTTTGGACGTTACGCAATGCTGGGGTCTAGAACGCGCAGATCTGTTATGTGCTCCCAGTTAGATTCCATTATGCATTCGAAGTCAAGTTAGGGAGCGATGATGGCAAGGAAAAGAAAGATTGAGGTGATCTTCGCTGCTGGATCTAGCACGTTGCAAATGCTGGACCGAAACGAATGTTTTGGTCGCAAAGTCGATTAGAAGTGGTCATCCCAAGTGTAACCAGCTTCTTTTGGAATGAGTCAGTCGACCCCGCCGAAATCTATCATTGGTGAAAGGTCCAGTCGGCTTGGCTCTGTAGGAAAGAGTGCCATCCGAACGAGAGCAACCGCTGTCTTGTTCTTCATACATTCATCCTGAGTAGTACTTTTGGTTGAGTTCTGCTTATATAGTAGTCGCTTGGCTATTCACCATTCCCTTGCTCTCCATCTCCTCGATTCTATGGTGAGCCTTTTCAAGTTCCTCTTTCAGACCGTCCACTTCCTCCGAGAGATCGGATCCTTCCATCAAGCCTAGTTCCATAGCATGATTCAATTTCATTTGTTCAATTTCTTCTAGCAATTGCTCATTCTCCTCCTCTTTCGATCGTTCCATGTCCTGTTTGTCTCGGCGAAGGGATTGGTTTTCTGCCAAAAGCGCGTTCTGATCTTGAATGACTTTGAAAAGCTTCGCTTCCATTTGTTCTACTGTTGAATCTTGTTGCCGTGACGCTGAGGGAACAGATGGTTCCACTTTTGTCGCGATGGACTCCCTTTGAGAATTGGTATATAAATCTTTCTTCTGCCTTTCGTTCTTCATCTTTTTCACACTTTCTTTCAGACACTCTAGACTTTGTTCTCTCTGCTTTATTTTTGCCAGCAGAGCGGTGAGATTCACTTTTTGACGTCGGTTTTTCTCTTCCTTATTTTTCAGTTGATTACGCAGCTTTTCAATTTCGTTTCCTTCGACTTTGGCCGGAGCGACTGATATTTCCTGTGTCGTCTGACCCTGCAACTGTGCGTTCCTCATTCTTTCCATAGCGATCGCTTTTTCGAATTTTGCTTGTAATTCATCCTTTAGCGCAATAGTACTGACAAGATCGTGCTTCAGACGATCGATAACCTTTCTCAATCCCTTGAGCTCGTGATCCTTCTCCTTGCAATGAATCTTCGGTAGTTCCACTTCATGTGCCCCATTGCCCTCTTCGTTTTGCGCATCACTTATTCGTTTATCTGCCATTGTAACGCTACGACTCAACATCATGTTCAATTGCTCGTTTTCGCCATTCAGAGTCGTCGAATCCTTTTGGATGGTTTCCAATGACTGCACATTGGATACCATCACTTTCGTTTGAGCATTCTTCCCCCCTTGCAGTTTCTGCAACACTGCAAGCTGATTTCTTTGGTTTGTGATTTTCTGTTTCTTGGCTTTTATATCTTCATCCTTCTTTTTCACTTGACCCTGCAATTTTGCATTCTTCTTTCTCTCTTCAGAGATCGCTTTTTCCAATTTTGCTTGTGTGCCATTCTTTTGCATATCGGCGGTATCGACAAGATCTTGTTTCAGCTGATCGATTTGAATTGTCAGTTCCTTGAGGATGACTTCTTTCTGCTTGCATTGAATTTTTAATAGCTCTTTTTCTCGTGAATCGTCGCCCTTGCCAATTTGCGGATCTTCTACTTGCTGATGTTCCATTGTAACGCTATGATTCAACATACTAATCAGTTGTTCTTTTTCGTCATTCAGAGCTGTTGAATCTTTCAATTTGGTTTCCAACGACTGCACATTGGATACCAACACTTTTATTCGAGCATCCTTTTCTTGTTGCAGATTCTTCAAACGCTCCGTCATATTCGCACTCTTGGCTCGTATTGATTGCCCTTGTTGAGCGTTCGCTTCCAAGGCAGTCTTAAGTCTGTCTTTGAGAGAATTAATCTCGGAATCACGATTTCGAAGCTGGATATCTCTTTCATGGCACAGACTCTTTAGCCGAATTTGAAACATGTCATTGGGGTCTCCTTGGCGTCCTTGTCTCTCGTTCTCTTGGAGCTGCTCCTTTAGCTTGTAGTTGTTCAGCTGTGCTTCCAATTCTTCAATCTTGCTCGATTGATCCGCTACTCGTTTTTCGTATTTACTATTCGCGGCAGCAAGGACCATTATGGACTGTTTCTGGATAAGTTGCATTCTCTGACGGAGTACCAACTCGTCGTCCTTTTCGTCAGTAGGTTTCAATGGTGGAAGGGCTTTGGATGTTGACTGCGGATCAGGTGGATCTGGTACGTGTTCATTTGTGCGATTCTGTGGAAGACCGCCTTCGTTCCACTCCTGCACTTCCATAGTTTTGGAGCCCATGGTCGAACCGTCAAGGCGAAGGGCCGCTTGTTGCTCTTGTCTCGTTGAAAGTTCAAGGAAAACATTGCTATTCCATTCACCATGTCGGGCATGGAGGTCATTTGGATGTGATCCGATTCTTCCGGCGAAGTAGCACTCCACTTCAGACAAAATACTATCTGTGAGGTTCAAATTCTTGATCACGACCGTGTACGTCAATCGTCTGCGCTTTGGATGAGCATTGTCATCATTCTGATGAAGGGCCTCCTCGTTTCCGATCCATTCCTCGACACTAGTGTCGCTACTGCCAATTTTCGAGAAATCAAGCTTCAGCGCTGCTATTTGCATTTCCTTGGTTGGAAATTCAACGCGAATGTAGCCATTCCGTCGGCTAGCATTGATTTTTGCACCCCGAGAGTCGATGCGTTTTTCGAAAAAGCGCTTCATCTCGGATATTTCTTCGCCTGTGGGAGGTAGGTTCTTGATTGCAATGGCGTATGATTCTTGTCTTATTATTCTCCCATGCTCATCTTGATCTCCTTCTCGGTTTCTTTTCCTCTTTTCATGAGAGGTCAAGTCGCCTGACTGCTTGCCTACGTCTTCCTCTTCCGGCATGTCTCAAAGAGAACATTCATTCAAGGCTTCAGCTGTTCGGCACGGTAGGCGGTATTGCAATGATGATGATCGAGATATACCGTTTATTATGCGAGATGATGATGGTGATGCGATTACGAGATGATCGGAGGAAGCCAGAAAGTACTACAATAGTTTTAACAAATTTGGATCATCTTCCCGCTGCCCGACGAAAAGCCTTTTTGTGAAAATCTGATGTCTTTTAAGGGTAGGATCAATGTAGTAAAAGTATATATCTATAAGGTGTGTATATATCGTGTCAACAACATCTTGGTTGATACGACATCAGAGGCTACTGTTCGTCCATCCCATCTCTGTGAGGTGACGTACGAACCTCCAATTCATTGAATATTCTCACACTTTTGGGACCATTCCACCAATAAGGGGAGCGTATTTGTGGGGAGAGATACAGTAGGGGCAAGACGCAAACGCTGAAATCGAGAATATTGTTATCATCATCAATGAAGATCACACCACATCTGTCAGTTTTCATCTATCATTGGTCATCTCATCACGTTTACACCCCACATTTCCTACAGCATCTTGATGATCAGGGTGATATTGCAAGATAAAGTAGGTCAAGTCGGTATGTATCATGACTCTGGTCGGAACTGATGGCAAGGATGAACACCTTGCAAACACGACGATTACTCAATCATCAAACGACAGAAGTAACGACAAGAGTGGCGGCAGCACAAATCCTATTCTACTATCTCATAATATAGCTGGCTCAGTCGTGGCGGGATGCTTCTCCACCATTCTTGGGCATCCTCTGGACACGATCAAAGTTCATCAGCAGACCAAACCTAAGTTTGCCAAAGCGACTGTTTTGGATGTGGCCAAGAGCATTACACTGGAAGAAACCGGATCAAAGCGAAATATCACTCGCTTATTCCGAGGGATTGGACCTCCAATGGCTAATCAAATGGTCATGAATACTGTCATGTTTACGGTATTTGATTCGATCAAAACAATCGCTACGAAACAAAACATGGAGGAAACCTCCGCCGCCCTGTGGTCGGGTCTGTTTGCAGGATTTGCCACGGCGTGTATCAGCACACCGACGGACTGGATCAAAATTCAGGCGCAAACTTCTCTTGTCAACAACCAGACCAACATATCCACTGGTGAAAGAGCGACAACAACCGTCCTGTCTATACTGAAACGAGAATTTGTGTCGAAAGATAATGGCAGGATTCAGTGGAAACATGCGACGTCAACGTTATACCGAGGCCATCTTGCCAATCTCGGACGTGAAGGTATCTTCACCATGGTGTATCTAGGTCTTTACGATCGGATTTCTCATGTGGTTCGACGACAACATTCACACCAACAAAACAATAATGGTGTTGACGAAGATTTGGGAATGGCAAGTGTTTTGATGATTAGTTCTCTTACAGGAGCTTGTGCTTGGTTATGCAACTATCCATTTGATACTGTCAAGAGCATTCAACAAGCAGTCGGCGGTGGTTCGCAACGAATGACGTTGTCAGCGGTGGCCCGGCAAATTTACCAAGGCGGTGGTATGATGGGCTTTTTCCGAGGGGCTGGGCCTTCTACTGTTCGTGCCATGATGGTGACTTCTTCTCGCATGGTTGCTTATGAAAAGACGATACAATTACTGAAAGGATACGAATGAGATGCAATGGGGCAGGATTTGTTCTCAAGAAATAGAATGAATGGTCGGACTGATTTTTCTTGACCAATACAAAGAATAATATCTGGTACAGTACCACACAGCAAATTTGACGGACGAAAGCTGTACAAGGCCACATTTATCGCGTTATAATAGTTTCAAACATTTATTTGTTCGAGAATGTTGTTTCACGCCATATTTACCGAAAAGTCGAAAATATTGTACACGTGTACTGCAACATTTTATAAAATGGTACAAAAACTAATAAAATAATATACAGCTGAAGCATCCACTGGTTCATTCTAAAAGTACCAGCGCTGTAAAAGATAATCAAAAGACCACAATTTGAATATATATGACAATAAGACATGCCAATGTGTTACTGTACTACAATTATAGTAGTAATTAGTTTAAAATGGTGAAAGACGCCGCTGCCCCTTTGTTGGGATGATCAGTCCAGTGCCATCATCGCGATACTGCATGCACCACCGAGTATTGCAATAAAAATTATTATTATTGACAACAACGGCTGTTCACATGTCTGACGGATATCGCTTGCTCCCCATATTTGAGCAGGGTGATGGATCACATGACACTGATATTCCAAGCGAGGCTTCCGCTTTGCCTTTCAATCCTTTGGAAATAGTAATCTCCAATCGATGATCTTGTTCTTGAAGTAGGTACGCCAATCCCTAATCCTAAAGGGACCACTTATCTGGGATCTTGCTGATCAGGACGCGCTTACGAGCCTCGACCTGCCCATCCCACCCCCGTCGTCGCACCCAAATGATTCGTTTTAGGTGGCCAAACAAGACTGGAGGGAAACACGCAATCGCAGCAAGCCATGAAATCTTCTGGTTTCGCGTCGCCGATGCAACCTAGTGAGTGACCAATCCACTAGAAACCACAAAGGCAAACACTAGCCTTCCGAAGGATCCCTCGGAAATGTGACAATAAAATATACGCGAAAGTGTAGACTCGCCAAAATGTCCTAAAAGAGAAAAGAAAAAAAAGTGAGATCATGGTTCAGAAAGTAAATGCAATTGATGGGGTGAATTTCCAGGTAAAACTCTTTGATGGGTTGTTCGTGTGTTGTCGCACACTATTATCATACTTCATCTCTTTCAAAGTCGTAGCAAGAATGTGCTTTAATTGGCACCTTTTCCTCGATTTACCACGCGGCGACTGTATCGTCGTCCTTTTTCCGTCATGCCAGATCCCAAAGCTTCAGTAGAAGGATCCTTCTTATCTGGCGAAAGCTTGAGCTGTAGCCGTCGGCTGTAGCGCTTTCCGGATTCGGTCCATCCAGATCCCATTCCATCAGAAGGAATATCATTCGTAGCTGCGTTGTCAGATTGCTCAGTTGGTGCTGCAAAAATCTCGCCATCGCTACCATCCTGCTCCAAAGAATCGAAGTCGTCATTAATCAATCCAGCATCAAAAGGCGACTCGTCCATGGTACTCAAGTCTTCTCCCTCTGGATCTTCGATAATGACAAGAAGGGAAGTTTTGGATTCCTTCTTCTCGTTCACGTCATCGACTTCTTCTTCCTCCTGCTTTGGATCTTCGATAATGACAAGAAGGGTTGGTTCAAAATCGATCTTCTTTTCAGACATTTTCTCATTCTGGCCCTTGCTTCTTCTGGCTCTTGCCTTGTTTGCCCACTTGGCTCTCTCGGTCTTGGTCTTCTTGTTCAAATTCGCCTTCTCGGCCACGATCTCCTCGGCCTTCTTGACCCAAATAGCGCCAGCTTTGGCAAGATGAGTCGATCGTTCCTTGGCGATGTCATCGTTGAATCCAGCATCCAACGACGAGTCAATGTCGCTCTCGTCGCCGCCTTCTTCTGGATCTTCGATTAGGACAGGCAGCAAAGGAGTGAAGAGTTCGTTGGTTCGTTTGGCCCATGTTGCAGCGCAAGTTGGAACTGTAGATGATGAATTCATTTTGCGACACTTGGTGGGTCTGGATGAAATAAGGCAGGAAGTTGCGGTTCGCTTGAGTGACAATGGTGCTTGTTCTTCCATGCAGGGCTCGTCGTCGTTGTTGTCGTCGTCATCCAAATCCATTGGTACTGGAATATTGGAGAGCATGTCCTGAAGGACCGTTGGAAGCATTTGTCGGTGGTCCTCGAGCGCAATTGCAATGGTTTCAGAGTCGATTTTGCCATCAATAAATCCAGTATCCAAAGACGAGTCAATGTCACTCGAATCTTCTTCTGCTGGATCTTCGATAATGGTGGCAAGCACCGTAGGTTTGAAATCGATCATCAAGCGTCGGGCATTCCGTCTCTTGATCTTGCGGTCAATTTGACGAATTAGCTGCCTTCGGGACTGAAGATCTTGCTCGTCGGGAATGAAGTTTCTCCTTCGAGTCTTAGGGGCGAATTGGACTCGGCTTGAAGAGGTTGGTTTGGGTGATCCCCAATCTTGTCTTGAAGGACGAAGAATGGACACAGGAGTATGCGGAACGAATCTCACTGTGTTCTCTATCTCTGGAATTACTTCGTCGTGAAGTTGAATGCGCCATTGAATCAGACCCCAACATTCCCTGCGAGATTGTAGTTCTTGGTTGTTTTGGGCAAAGGTTCGACGAAAGATTTTGGCGAAACGGACACGGTTGGGTTTTCTGGTGAACACACCCAACCAACTTCGTTTTTTCTTGCGAGACCCGCCTTCTGGACGACGAAGGATGGAAACAGGAGGCTGTCGTCTCTTCCATTGCCTGCAAAGTCTCTGATAGGTTCGGTAAGTGTCGAGTACCATGTACCGAAGTAACACGATTGCGACTGCACAAACCAAACCGGTAATGATGGTTTCTTGAACTTGTTGTTCTTGTTGTTGAGTGATGGCACTCATTCGAGGTAACTTGGGAAAGCTGATGCTTTTGAAGCTTTCTTGATTGACAAAGGTAGTGATGTAGTTGGTCATGATTGTTGTTGTTGTTGTATTAGTTGATTCAAAGAGGTTCATAATGGAAATTGTGAGGTGTTGCGTTGAGGTGTGGAGTGAAAACCGCTACGGGTGGGAGATCGCCAATTTGCCGTGTTTTTAACACGATTGACTCCTTCGAATCCTCGTTTGGTGGTCTCGGTGGATGATGCGGTGTTTTGTAGGATGGATTGTTTTCATGTCATAATAGATTCAGGACGCTGATTGTAGAGTGTTGGAAGGTTAGACCATTGTCGATCAAATTTATGCCAGTGGATAAGAAGGGTCGTTGATGGGTCGGTCGGATCGTTGTCAGACGTACGAGTATTTTCGAATTTGTATCTACGATACAGCAGTCGGACGTGTGCACATGGTATGGTGTGCGCGCTCGAGAATTCAAAATCTGCATATTTCCACGCAGCGTTTGTACACGTACGCGTACCGTTCATAATGGAAATTGTGAGGTGTTGCGTTGAGGTGTGGAGTGAAAACCGCTACGGGTGGGAGATCGCCAATTTGCCGTGTTTTTAACACGATTGACTCCTTCGAATCCTCGTTTGGTGGTCTCGGTGGATGATGCGGTGTTTTGTAGGATGGATTGTTTTCATGTCATAATAGATTCAGGACGCTGATTGTAGAGTGTTGGAAGGTTAGACCATTGTCGATCAAATTTATGCCAGTGGATAAGAAGGGTCGTTGATGGGTCGGTCGGATCGTTGTCAGACGTACGAGTATTTTCGAATTTGTATCTACGATACAGCAGTCGGACGTGTGCACATGGTATGGTGTGCGCGCTCGAGAATTCAAAATCTGCATATTTCCACGCAGCGTTTGTACACGTACGCGTACCGTTCATAATGGAAATTGTGAGGTGTTGCGTTGAGGTGTGGAGTGAAAACCGCTACGGGTGGGAGATCGCCAATTTGCCGTGTTTTTAACACGATTGACTCCTTCGAATCCTCGTTTGGTGGTCTCGGTGGATGATGCGGTGTTTTGTAGGATGGATTGTTTTCATGTCATAATAGATTCAGGACGCTGATTGTAGAGTGTTGGAAGGTTAGACCATTGTCGATCAAATTTATGCCAGTGGATAAGAAGGGTCGTTGATGGGTCGGTCGGATCGTTGTCAGACGTACGAGTATTTTCGAATTTGTATCTACGATACAGCAGTCGGACGTGTGCACATGGTATGGTGTGCGCGCTCGAGAATTCAAAATCTGCATATTTCCACGCAGCGTTTGTACACGTACGCGTACTGTGTACCGGCCAAGCTTGGGAAATCTTGCTTCCAGCCGACGATTGATTTTATCATACTGTATTACTGTAGTGTACGGTATTCAGTATGATGATTGAATTATTGATCCACCTCGATCTTTCGCCATCACACGATCGAATGAGTGACATGTTTCGACAACGATCAACACGACAATCATCATTTCCTACTCTACAAGGATCCTTGGAGGATCCTTGTCAGCTCATAAATCAAACACAGCTACTATGTCACAGCCCTCTTTCATCAATATCCTCTTGATCATCTTGCTTTTGGGACACTCCAGTATCAAGGCCATCTAAATGCTTCCAAGAATTTGGCTCTTATAGTGCCTTTACGGCACGTTATATTTCCCCCACTTTGCAGCCCCACCCCGTGTGTAGTGTACATTACGCGTACATTTTTTTGGATTGTGTTAAAAGTGTCTTGATGTTTTTTATCGTGCGAATTGCGAACACCTCAGCCAAAACTTGGACGCGAACCCCACGATGAAGTACAGTATTTACACATAGGGCAAACAAGACCAATCATGTAATTTCCAACACATTTGGTTCTCCTCATAAAATCCAACAAAACCAGAACCCAGACGATGACACGATTTCCTTCAATACGACGAAATAGCGGAGGCCTCTTTTCGCAGACGGATACGAGAGAACTGGAGCTCTCCGTGTTCGACAAGCCTAGCCCAATGGACGAAGACGACTGCTTGTACCAGCTTCATGACTTTTGTCACGACAATCACATTCATGTTTCGTGGGACATGCAGTTTCGTTTCGCGTGCTTCTATGACTTTGATTATGAGAAAACCAAGGATAGCATCGTGAAGAAGCATCGCTGTCGATACTTGTACCTCCGAATGGAAGCTGCACTCGTCGACCAGTTCATGACCCAGGCCTTGTTTCCTTTGCCCGGACTCAAGACAAAGCACACCAATTCAGAAGTGGTAAGCTCTCCATGGTCCATATATAAGAATGAAATCAATACGACATACGACTAACTGCACTGATGGTACAGATATATTTTTGCCCAGCAAAATACCAACCCAGCCAAAAAGGCGGTGATCTCTTGGTGGACAATTTGTGCTACATCCTGAACCAAGGTTGCCGTACGGAACGAGGATGCCGGAATGGTATGGCATTCTTGGCCAACATGCATGGCTTTTCCGCCCGAAATATACACCATGGTACCATCGTGAAAATGGTCCAGATGCTGCAGGGAGATATGGTCCCCACGAAGATTGAGTTTGTCATCATTGTAGATCCACCAGCCATCTTTACCCGAGCATGGAAAGCAGCCAAAAAGGCTATCAACGGCACACTATTTAAAAAAGTTTACTTCATCCGCCAAGAAAGACTCGGCGAGTTTCTCATGGATGGATACAAGGAATTTTTGCCCGACGAGTTCTCCTCTGGCTGGCGGGATGTCAACGAGATTGTTGAGGACTACGTGGACCTGATGCGATACCAAGATGAGCACAATCGTTGACTGAGTTTACAAGAAGAATGAATAGAAGCATATAATATAAGATGTAGAAACAGTAATTATGCATCACGGGGACGAAATATCCCCTCAATGTTGCTAGCCCGGAACTCAAGGATAACCACTAATCACTTTCAACTCGCTGGAACGGCCGGGAAATAGAAATTTAGCACGCAATTCTTTGGAGTAAATGTTGATTTTCCCGGCCGTCCCCTGGAGACTGTCGTTGAAATTATGGGGCATTTTCTATTTGGGGGTGGCTGGAAGGAAAGGCAAAAATCGTTTCGTGCACCCTGAAAAATACAGTACGCGCGGTATATATACTCCGTATACTGTAAATCGAGTGGTGTTTGACAATCTGACCGCAAACTCCTCTCTCCTCTCGTTTTATTAATGCCAAAGTCGATGGAGCTGGAAAGCAAAGCACTGTCTATTCCAAGAGGTAAGACCGGACCGAGGCGGAGAAGGCAGAGAGACGAGAGACGAAGAGAGCCTGATGATATGTCATCAGTTTCGACTTCATCGTCTGCCAATAATGGTCGACAAAAGCGGCGGTCACGCTCATCTGCTGCTGTGGTGACTCCACAACGGAAAAGGAGACGACGGAACGAGGATGAAGGTACACTTGTAGTTTACAATCTTCATCCAGAATTCAACAATGCACACTTTGTTGCTCATATTGAAAGAAGGATTTCAGAAATGCGAGATGTTGAAGTTGAGGTTGCCAGTTGCAGGGCGTTGCCTGCCGTTGATGGCAAGGTGACTGCCCTTGTTACATTTCAAGACAGCGAGGAAGCTCTTCTAGCGCTTTGCTTGAGTGGCATCAAGTACAAGGGCAGGACACTTTATGCAAGGATTTATGACCCGGATAAGAAAAGGAACGAAACGATGGGGTTGCTGAAGAAAAAGCAAGAGCTATGCATGGCCTTCTTTGTTGGAGCTTGCCCACGTGGACGGTCCTGTATACACGCGCATGGAGTCCTGGATTTGAAGTACTATAACGACACTGTCCTGGATGAGAGTCGCTGTGTCTACATCAACGAAGTCCCGAAGGATATTGGTGTTACAACCCTGCATAAGATTATCCTCGATCAATTTAAGCACGAGCCATTCTTGACACACTTTAAGTATCGCAGAAACTCAGGGGATGCTATGATTGAGTTTGCAAACCCCGTTGTGGCATCAACGGCCTTTACAGTTCTTGATGGATATCAATTCCATTCGTCAACATTGGCTGTTCACCCTTGGAAACCTGAATACCACACTGTTTTTGCAGCGTATTTCAGCAACGACGACACAGAAGATGAGGATATTAAAAACGAAGAGAAATCGCGCAGAAGTGATGCTTCTTCGCGCTTTCAAAGGAGTAATGGCGATGGAAACTCTGCTACAAAATCTCCAAGAAGAGATCGGAAGACTGACCCGGGGAAGGCTGTGAAATGTGATGCTGCACCAAATGGCATTAGTGTAGTCCCCCAAAGCAAAGCGAATCCAAAGCTGACGCAAGAGGAGAAACAAAAGCAAGATCAAATCATTTTCGATCTCAAGGCAACTATGATTAGCTTACGGGAGGAACTTCTTCAGGCAAAGACAGATGCAGTCACTGCCAAAGAAAAGGCCAATGACATGACATGGAAAAACAAGGAACTTACCCAAGATCACACGTACAATCTACAAAAGATCGAGACGCTGGAAAAAGACAACACTGACTTGAACAAGCTGTTGGATGAAGTCAAAGAGGACGTGAGGTATTACCGCGAAAAATTGGAAAGCAAACGATCGGATACCCAAGACCATAGAAGAATGGAAGAAACTATTGATCGATTACGGCGAGAAAATGATGCCTTTCGCCGGCAAAGTTTGGAATCCAAACATGAGCAAGAGCAACCAAGGAGACGGATACAAGAATTGGAGCGTCGACTGGGAGCAGCAACTGATCGCAATGATGTGTACTTGAAGGATCTGAAGAATTTGCGGGAGAAAGTGCAGCAATTGGAGACCACCAATCGTCGATTAGAGCAACAAGACAGCATTGCAGATTCATTGGAGCTGAAACTGGAAGAAGCCGTGTCTAGGAACAAGAAATTGGCAGAAGATTTGACCAAAGCAAACGAGAAGGTTGACCGCCTGGAGTACGAAAACCATCATCTACGGAACGAACAGGCAGCGATGCAAGAAGAGTTGAAGAAAGTGAGAGCCAGTAGTCAAGCTACCGGTAGGGGAACCGGCTCAGCACACGCCAGAAGCAAGATGAAGCAAGAACCGACAAATTGATAGATTGACGGATTCATTCATTCATTGGATTGAAAAGGTGACCAAGCACATACTTTATTCATACGATAATCCTATCACCCAAAATTTAAAAAGTAGACTCAACAAAGACCAACGAAGTCAATCGGGGGGTGCTGGAACAAGTGTCTGCATCCTTTTCATTTTGCATACCACTTTGAATACTTCACCTCATATTGTGAATTCCTCCGTCTGCAAGTCATCGGTTCATAAGGAGTTTCATATTCCCCGTCTGCAAGTCATCGGTTCTCAGATTCAAATTTTTTGGTGGTTATTATTTGGCAGATATATTTGCGATCATTCATATTGTATTCTACTGGTAAATATAATACGAATGCCCGGTTATTTCGTAATACCTACAGTATAGTGTTATAACAATATAATATAAGAAAGCAGCATACGGTGAGGTATACATTCATACCAAACATTCCAAGAAGATGGAGCCGGAAAATAGAGCGTTATCGTCGCCAAGACGCGGTCTACATGAAGCAAAGTTAACAATGCCGGGACTGAAGTCTCCGATCAACGATGTCCACCGACGATTTCAACCAAAGAGAACTCGCAGCATGGAAACGCAAAGCACAGAACTATCTCCTGCATCCCCTTGTGCAGCAAGATCTATCGCGAAGCAGATTTCATTGGGTCTTAACGATGACGAACAACGAGAAACGAGCTCGTCTCAAGAAGCTCTCCCACTCATATCTCTTCAAGGGAAACGTCAGCATCATCATGTAACCGGAGATTTTGAAAGTACAGCACGGAAGAAGACAAAAGCCGACATGGATTCATCAAACGCCGTTGCGTTATCCAACCTACCACTCGACACTGATAGCCAAGAAATCTCCGGATTTGTGACAAGAACACTTGAAAAAATGCACAAAGAGAAAGTGTCAATTTTGAAATGTTTAATCCGCCGTAGGTGCAACAAAAAGGGTGACACGCTCCAAGCGTTTGTCCAATTCGCTACCGAACAACAATTAGATCTTGCCCTGAGTCTCAACGGCATAGAATATTCCCGTCGACCAATCTACGCACATATCCCCAATTCCAAAGCCGCCGCGTCGATTTTCAAGACGAAGCAGGTACTCTGTGTGGGCTTTCTTTGTGGAACCTGCACGCGGACTGATTGCCTGAATGCGCACGGTGTCGAAGATTTGATGCTGTATGATGATACAGTACTCAACAAAAGTCGGACCCTTTACATCAAAAACTTACCACCTGGATTCCCCCACGTATTCAATACGATAAAGAAGAGACTTACAGCGCACTTCCCATCTGTTTTCTTCACCGCGTTCCAGCATCGCAAAAATCATGGAGATGCCATGGTTGAGGTTGCTAATGTTCAACATGCCGTCAAGGCGCGTGAAATTTTGAATGGGATCGAAATAGCCTTCCATCGGATAGAAGTCAAGCCGTGGAATCCAGAGTACCAAGCTTTATTTCTTTACAACAGAGTGGAGAAAAGTTCTGTTCGAGCAACAGATAGACGCCGGGCTGTAACCACTCCGTCACCGAAGAAGGATCGGTATTCTTCCCCCAACAGCAACTTGGACATGGACTATTCTCGAGATATTCGGCGAATGCAAGATAAGATTGATGACCTTCGGCATGAAAACGACGATCTTCGACGAGACTATGATGATCTTCGATGGAAGTACGAAGAACTTCGACAGAAGTACTATGATTCGAAATCTCCCAACCATGACTATCGTCGTGGCGGGAGAGATAATCACTATGAGAGAGACGACAGCAGACCTACTCACAGACAATCTAAGGACAAGACCTTCGATCTACAATGGCAGCTGGATCGAATAAAATACGAGAAGGAAGTCTTAGAAAAGGAGTCAGGGATGCTGAAGCAAAGGCTTGAAAGACTGGAGCACCTCGAAGATTTACAGAAGATGGTTCCAAAAGTGGAAAACATATCTAATGATCTCCAAACTCGACTGGACCAGGCTTTGTTGCAAAATGAGGAACTGACCAGTACACTGGAAAGAACGCAGCGGCAAGTCCAGGACTTGCAATCGGAAAAGTCTTCATTCGATATGACACTATCTAATCTTCAGATGGAAAACGAATCCTTGCAAGAGGAAATGGACCAAATGAAAATGAATCATGCAATGGAACTGGGATTGGCTCAGGCATAAAAGGATAAGGTCTAGTTGCCTTGTACTTCCGGTACATAGCATGTTATTCTTTGCATCTCCACAAAATTTGTTGGAATAGTCGCCACGGAACATATAATCGCTTTCATAGTCCTGTAGACGCGATCTGTTCGACTAGATGTTGATCGAAACTGGTTCGTGTGCGATGACACGCCAAAAAACGGATATGAGAAGCGCAGCGGTACCCAGTCAGATCTCAGATTCCAACAACATGGAGCTGGAGAGCAGATCTTTATCGGCTCCAAGAGATAGTTCCAAATCTCCGAGAAGAGCTTTGGTGCAACCATCATCAGCTCACGTTGATATTGCAAAATCCAATCAAACTGAAGTTTCCTATGATGATTATGGCCGTATTCGTCGAAGAAAGCGATCACCAGATTTGTCATATGAAAGCACTACAAGGAAGAAAACAAATATCGCCTTAGGATCCTCAAACACTATCGTGGTATGTAACCTACCACTCGACACTGATACCCAACAAATCTCCGAATTTGTGACACGAACGCTTGAAGAATTGCATGGCCAGAAATTCTCAGTTTTGAAATGCTCAATCAAGCGTAATGAAAAGTTTGGCAGGCTCCAAGCGTTTGTCCAATTCGCTACCGAACAACAATTTGATCTTGCCCTGAGTCTCAACGGCATAGAATATTCCCGTCGACCACTCTATGCACATGTCTTCAATTCCAAAGCCGCCGTGTCAATTTTCAAGACGAAGCAGGTACTCTGTATGGGCTTTCTTTGTGGAAGTTGCACGCGGACTGATTGCCTGAATGCGCACGGTGTCGAAGATTTGATGCTGTATGATGATACAGTACTCAACAAAAGTCGGAGCGTTTACATCAAAAACTTACCGTCTCAATTCCCCCACGTATTCAATACAATAAAGATGAGACTTACAGAGCACTTCCCATCTGTTTTCTTCACCGCATTTCATGAGCGCAAAAACCGTGGAGATGCCATGTTTGAGGTTGCTAATGTTCAACATGCTATCAAGGCGCGCGAGATATTGAATGGGATCAAAATCGGCACTAATTGGATCGAAGTCCAACCATGGGATCCAGAGTACCAAGCTTTATTCGTGAACAATTTGCACAACCGAGTGGAGAAAAATTATTTTTCTCAAACAGCAGAGAGGGTGTGGGTTCCGATTACCCCGTTAACGAAGAAGGATCGGCATCCTCCGTCCAGCAGTTTCGACACGGAGCAGTCGCATTCACGAGATATTCGACGCATGGAAGATAAGGTTGATGACCTACGGCATGAAAACTCCGATCTTCAACGAGACTACGATGATGTTCGATGGAAGTACGAAGAACTGCGACAGAAGTACTATGATTCGAAATCTTCCAACCATGACTATCGTCGTGGCGGGAGAGATAATCACTATGAGAGAGACGACAGCAGGCCTATTCACGAACAATCTAAGGACAAGACTTTCGATCTACAATGGCAGCTGGATCGAATAAAATACGAGAAGGAAGTCTTAGAAAAGGAGTCAGGGATGCTGAAACAAAGGCTTGAAAGACTGGAGCACCTCGAAGATTTACAGAAGATGGTTCCAAAAGTGGAAAATATAGCCGGTGATCTCCAAAGTCGACTGGACCAGGCTTTGTTGAAAAATGAGGAACTGACCAGTACACTGGAAAGAACGCTGCGGCAAGTCCAGGACTTGGAATCGGAAAAGTCTTCGTTCGACATGACACTATCTAATCTACAGATGGAAAACGAATCCTTGCAAGAGGAAATGGACCAAATGAAACTGAATCATGCAATGGAACTGGGATTGGCTCAGGCATAAAATGATAAGGACTAGTTGCCTTGTAATAGAGCTGTGTCTTGTCATGAAAGAAGAAAGTGACGAGGGCGAAGGATGAGACGACATGTTACAAATACTTGCCCGATAGACGAAAATGAATATTATCATGCGATGCTGGAATTGGGGTTTGCTAAGGCAAATAAAAGGATCGGCCAGATTGTCAAATCATATCGTTTTAGAGTGAGGAAAGATGCTTGAGCTCAACGAATTACCACGAAGCCTCTTCATTCGCATAGTGGTACAAGCCACTCTGGGTTTCAGTTGTTGGAGAATCTGCATTTAGAGACTAATATAGTTGCTTTCGGATTTTCGAATGTACAGCTTCATCTGCAGGCAAAATCATGCAATGCAATGTGGACAATGCGCACTTTTATCACGAATTTCCCAGTTGTAACGATGCAAAGCATCATGACGATCACCTCGGGCTTTGTACAGTATCGCAGTGTCATGGTCGAAGGCCAAACTACAAGTATCTTGCATTCCAACCAGTCGTGGCTTATGGCGCACCGTTTGAAATAGGTAGGGCATGCGCGGAAATATAAAATAATACAGCATGAAAAATGTGATGCGGTCGCGTGCGCACACTCTATAGAATTCGCAATAATGAATCACAAATTGTAGTAACAACAGCAACAACAGCAACAGCGACACTGTCAATACCTTAATTTTGAGTCTATGAGACTGTCAGATATATTAGCAAAGAAAATCGTGAATGATGTGGTGGAGAACATTTCCGCTCCTTCTGATAGCAATGAATTAGAAGGTCAACCCGACGATTCTTCATCTCATTCAGCAACGGATCGTGGTGAAAAGAGAAGTGCGGATCATGCACTGCGGCTGCCAGCTCAATCAAAGAAGAGAAGGCGCTTTGAAAAAAACCGAGTTGTTGTGGTCTACAATATCAAGGCTAGTGTGAATCTGCAAACGTTTTCAGCCTTTGTAGAAAGGACTTTGGAGGAAGTGAGTGGCGAACCAGTTGAAGTTGTGAATTGCAAATGTATGCAGCTCTGCGACAGAAGACAGACTGCCATGGTTACTTTCAAGACTTCAGAGCACGGCGATTTGGCAATCAGTCTGAACGGCGTTAAATTTATGAACCAAACTCTGTATGCGAAAGCCTTCGAACCAAAATGGAAGGAACTTGCAAAAACAAACCAACACCTTTGCACCGCCCATTTGTTCAAAGCATGTAGACACAAAACGAATTGTTGCCATGCACACAACCTCGGACAAATGAAGTTGTACCCGGATACGGTCCTCCATGAGAACCGCACACGCTATATCAAGCTTCGTGAAGGCCTAAACGCCACCAAAGTTGCCAAAAAAGGTCATTTTTTTCGAAACATTCGACAGATTCTAAGACAAGAGGGTCTCAACGATGTTCTCACTGCCGGCTATTATCGAGACGGCAAGTATGATGCAATAATCGAATTTGCAAGCACCAATAGTGCGACAAAAGTAAACGAGGCATTACAATTCGCCGATGTGTACCCGTGGAAACCCGAATATCAATCCATTTTTCTCGATTACTTCGACAATGGAATTGATACCGATATCGAAGTCGAAGGGAGGGAGAAGCATTCTTCCAGTAATCTGTTACCAGTCCATGGGGACCAATCTTTGAACGATGACGCAGTTGATACCACGGTCGAAGATGTGGATCGAAATGGAAAGAGAATTCGTCATTCTGTACTGGTATATAACCTTCCGACCACAATTGAAGTTGATAAGGTTCCTGGTTTTGTGCGTTCAAAACTGCAAGAAATACATGGCAAGGAAGTCGAGATTATAGATTGGAGCATCTGGCCTAATATGGAGAATAGCTCTCTTCCCTCTAATTCCATGGAGCTTGTGTTTCAAAATCGTGAGCACTGCAACTTGGCGATGAGCCTCAACAGGCTCAAAATTATGGGTCAAGCAATCTATGCTCGGCCAGACAAGGAATGGAAGTATAAAGAACAACTCTGCATAGACTCACAGTGCGGAGTTTGCGGTCATGGGTTTGCTTGTCATTATGCTCACAATTTCGAAGAGATGAGACTCTACCATGAAACCGCAATATGCGAGAGCCGTGCTGTTTACATCAGCGGAGTCATAAGGAAAGATTTTGACACAAGGCAAGTGTTTTTTCGGATCATGTCAGCTCTGCGCCAGCAATTCAAGGGGATTATCTACGTTACAAGATTGCACTATCGAAAGGATATGGGAGATGCCTTGGTCGAGTTTTCCAACTCCAAGGTTGCCGCCAGAGCATTGTCGGTACTGAACGGTATCGTCAAACAGCAAATGAGATGGTCTGCCTGGCCATGGCAGCCAGAATACCAGAGTATGTTCGTCGAGTACTTCAAGAACCAAAAACAGGTTGGAACCGAAGCAGGAAAAGAGCTAGAACACCCTTCCAACGGCCCAACTGTAGACAGTGGAAACGAGGACCGAGATAACACGCAAATGGAACAAGTGCAAAAGCATGGTGACAGGACCGTCGAAGAGATCAATCAGAGCAGCGCCATACAAGCCAAAACTGAAGAAGGAGATTGTCGATCCAGCGAAATTAACCAGCCGAGCAGTTCAGGCAAAACAGTGGATGGGGGTCTTCCAGACATAAGGACTGTATCTCCGGGAGACAGTGAGCCCACCATGGCATCAACAGAGATACCAGATCATGAATTCAAAACTGGACTCGCCGAAGCCAATTCGCAGATCGAGCTCTTGGCCAGCTTGTTGGAAAGAACCAAAAACAAGCTTAGTGTTGTAGAAACAGAGAAAGATACTCTGAAAAAACAGGTATCCGATTTGCAAATGGAAAACGAATCATTGCAAGAGGAAATGGAAAAGATGAAAATGAACCATGCAATGGAGCTGGGTCTTGCCATGAGAGAAGAAAGTGACGATGGCGAAGGATGAGGCAACCCAAGCCGTATACAGTCGGCCCTGTACCACAATAGGGTATCATAAAAATTGTAGCATTAAAATATAGGTCCCTTAGCAACATACAGCATCTGTCTTCTTCACCCCTTTCTTTGACTTCTTCTTTTTGCGAAGTTTCTTTTTGAGGTCTGCAATCTTTGTTGCAGTGGACGTCTTCTGATTCTGTAACCGCTTCTCTAGGGCTTCGATCCTTTCTCTTTGCGACTTGAGATCATCGTTCATGGTGTCACGCTTTTCACAAACGGTCAGGTACTTTTTCTTGTACCGATTGGTAATCGTCTTTTGTTTGCCAAGCTTTTCATTCATCTCCTCAAGCTTTATACCTTGGCCTTGTTCGAGTTTTCTGCTATGATCTTGAAGATCTTGGACCAAACATTGAAATCTGGTAAGCCTGTATTCTAGCGTTTGCGACATCTTCACATGGGTTTCTTTCAGGTCCTGGTAATCACGCTTCATGCGTCGATCATTTGCAGCAGCGTCAGATTTGCATTCTTGGATCGACACAATAAGATCCGTATTCTTCTGCTTCAGTTTGGTATTCTCCCTCATCAGATAATCGCAATCCAATTCTTTTAATGCTAAGCATTTCTTTGCTTCATTGAGAGATTCTTTTGTTTTGGCAAGCTCTAGTTGCTCCTTTTTACTCTGTTGAAGCCCTGCATTCGCTTCCCTCTTCATTTCCGCTTCGCGTACAACATACTCCTGCATTCGAGACTCCAGAGCTGCAACTTCTGACTGCTTACGTTGGTGTAGATTCTTATACTCGTTGAGGAAAAGCTCCACTCGTTGTGAGCTCCACGCATTTTCGTCTGGTTTGGTTCCCAATGGTGTTGGATGCTCGGCTGGCTTCTGGCTCGTGTCAATTGATCTTTTCAAGTCACTTGCTAAGCACTTCGCCGTTGACTTTGGCTGCATTTCATGACGACAAGATTCGTCATGAGTAACGCAAGCGAGATCATCGAAACCATACTCATCATCTGATTCATCGGTAGCGAACGACTGGATGGAAATAGAATCCTGCTCTCTGGGCTGGTACCGGGGTGTAGTTGTCACAAGATTTAGGATGTCCTTCCTGACAACACCTTCCTTGCTTCGCTTGTCTTTTAGCTTTTCGGCCAATACTAAACCATTCTCGGCCTCGTTTTCTAGGCCCTCCAGTATATCCTCAATTTCTCCGTGCGAAAGAGAGTACAAGGAATCCACGTCAGCTTCTTCCTCCCTTGGGCAGAAAATTGCTGGCTGTATTGTTGTTGCCTTCTTGACTTTGAAGCGGTATTCATTTGTTGGCTCGGCTTCTTTCCTATCGCCCAAAGATTTCTCTGGATCAGTGCCAAAACTGGCATCACTCTGGAATTTACGAATTGACTGTTTCGGTGAGGCCCGAATTGCCTCTCCATCGACGGAAGATCGTGTCGACCCGTTACTCAATTCATGTTTTGACAAATTTACTTTCTCTGCAATCTCCTCATCGCTCTGAGACGACGACGAAGCAGAATACAAAGACCCAAAAGAGTGCTGCGTGTTATGGGTCACAGGCTCAGGGTGATATTGATCAATACCGATACTGCCCATGAGGGTTGTAGCGTTATTGTCTTCATTCAAGGCAGCATGATCCTCTCCGCCAACGGATTCTGAATACAATGAGTCCATATCGAGTAGGTCGTCATATCTTCCAATCATATGGAATTTCTGTTTCAGCAACAAGGCCCTTCTCCGAATCATTTCTATGTCAGATAGTTGCGGCTGCTCTTGTTGCAGTTGCTCGTTGGACTGAATGCTGAATTGGATGGAACCACCATGATCCTCATGATGGTCAATCTTGGATTCTTCGCCAGTGTAGCCGTATCCTACACCTGATCCGCGATGATCAGAGTGGACACATGAGTTATAAGGTAAATCATACATACTATTTGCCTTGTCCTCCTCCACCTTTCGGTGACGGTTCCTATTTGCAAATTGTGTTTTGGAAGTTGACACACATATCCAAGAATTCCGCGAAAAGTGACGCCAATTTTGTCATGGGTTTTTGTCTTTCGACCAAATTTTTGGGCCACATACGGAGGAATAGCGAATATGGGCATTCTCAAAATACGTGTTACAGTATTACAGTACCAGGTACTCATATGATGTCAAAGTTTGGTGGATTGTGATACAGTATGATAAAATGTAAGCTCATATCTACAATATTCTAATCTAATCGTATTTGGACTACTCTTGCACCACCTCCATTAATATTCTGGCCAATCCTTAACCGTTCCCCAAGATACAAACTATCGAAAATTCCTTCCCCTTTTATCGGAAGCCCCACACAAGCTCCCTCTGTATTGCTTCCAGCATGGACACATAGCTTGCCTCCATTAATATTGGCTTGAAATCGTTTTGGGATTCTAGTGGAGGATGGATCCTCTTCTTGTAGCATCCCTGACACCTTGACGTCAATCCATGGACCCAGCACTTGGCCGATATTCGTCACTTGTTGTGGTTGTTGTTGGCTGCTGGATTCACTAAATACTTGATAATTGTCATTGAAATCAAAGTCAGGAAAAGGAATCCGCCGATCTATTCCAACTCCATTGGGACCAGGCTGTAAATATGCCAAGATCCATCTTCCAGGTAACAAGCCACGCTGGAACTCTGGCTTGTTGGTAATTTCACTTTTCGTTTTGCCTGTATCCACAACCTCTTGAATCAAGCCTTCAATTTCCTTTGTCTCTTGGAATGTGTATTCGTTGGGTCTGCGGCCATTAATGTAATCAAATAGCTGGCTAGCTGCCTTTGGCTCTGCTGGTGAAGGCTTCAGGGAAGATTTTGGTGGTGGTTGGTTGAACAGAAAGGATGACGGTGTAAAGCTTTCCCTCAGAGCCTTTGAAGGTGACTTGCTATCCCAAACTTGATCCTGTCGAGCGATAAGACCAGTTTCATCATCAATAGTATACACAATATCACTTTCGTATGCCGACACGTAGGGTCTCCATGGCAGTTGAATGTATCCACGGGACCGAATCCGGCCGGAAATCGTCTTTGGTTGAGTCTCCGTATGAATCGTCAGTGGTGATAACAATTGAATCTGAGAAGATGCAGGATCGAAAAGAATCCTCAAGGCATTTTGATAGCGACTGAGACTGGCCACATTGTTGGTCGGATCGGCAAAGACGCAATCGTCTTTGAAAATATCGGTGGACAAGTCTCCGGTCAGAAAGTAACCGCCAGATCCGTTGGCACCCACGGTCAAGTCTCGTGTTAATCGAGAGGCAAGTTCTTCCAATGGCAAATTCAAAGACTTATTTTCAAACGTTTGGGGTTTTCCGAGAGGCGCCAATGATATCTTGCGAAGGACATCTGGCAATTCTTGTACTGAATCGGATGCTGTCGCTGACGATGGGGAACTGATGCTTCCAAAGAGACAGATCCCAGCGGCTCCAGTAGTCTGTCTTAGCCAATCTCTCCTACTTGCATGTTCAGTCGATGAAGAAGACAAACCGTGAACAACGAAAACAAATGCTAGCAGGGTTGCTATGACATTATCAACTCGAGCCATTTTCTGTAAGAATATCCAGTACCTGTGACAAATGGGGAAGTGAGATGTAAACTTCCAACCCCAAAGATACTTCATGTATTTAGGGGAGACCCATCTTGCCACGGGGAGTCCATAGCTTAGTGGCACATCTCTACATTTTGTACATGGTAGCTTCAGGTTCGACTCCAGTGTGTCAGGTTGAGAGGGCCCGTCTAGGGGTACCCAATGAGGGCGACACGGTAGTGCTCAATCGCGCACGAGGATCTTCGTGGAACTTTCATTGATGTTTTCATACTACTTAAGCAAATGACTCCCCTATATAGAAGACAAGGAGATTGCGACACTGGGTCTTATGCGTTCAGAAATACGAACTGTCCATCCGCGGTACTCAGCCTTGCTGAATAATAGCTCGAAGCTGGAAAGTCCGACGGGGAGTGTAAGAATATCCAGTACCTGTGACAAATGGGGAAGTGAGATGTAAACTTCCAACCCCAAAGATACTTCATGTATTTAGGGGAGACCCATCTTGCCACGGGGAGTCCATAGCTTAGTGGCACATCTCTACATTTTGTACAATTTTCTCGAATCTTATTGTTTTATTTTATTCGGTTTGGATTTTTGGATTTGTCCTGTGACGTCAGTAATCGTTGACGGACGGACGGTGTCAGAAGCTACACCGAAAAAAAATCAAACAGGAAACATCAACACCATATAAACAACACAGATGACGGACCGCTTGTTATCTTCACCATTCAGTCTCATCCGCTGTTATGCTGGAGTCTTCTTCCTTTTTTCAAGTGTACATGGCTTTTCATCGTTTCATGTTCCGTTGGGTCCAAGATGCCCTTTGGATATGACTTTGTCGGCGGCGGCATTATCCACCAAATCAACATTATCATCATCATCATCGTCGTCCTGCTCATCCAACTGGGACGAGACTGGAAAGTGCAAGTTTGGCAAAAAGGCTTATTGGGATTCCGTTTATAAAGGAGATGGTGATAATGGGGCAGATGATATACCTTCCGAAACTTACAGCTGGTATTGTGGATTTGATGAATTGAAGCCTTTCTGGAACATGTTGATGGAACCACTGCTGCTGTCGTTGACAACCACCAGCAGCAGCAGCAGCAGCACAGATGACGACGACGAGGAGAAGCAAGTACGGCGACGAAAGAAATCAGACACTCAAGTACTGGTAGCAGGAATTGGAAACGACCTAGCCCCTGTGGAATTATATGATGATGGCTGGACCAATATGGTAGCCTTTGATTATTCCCAAGCCGGAGTGGACCGTGCCAAGGAATTGTTTGGAACAAGTCGGTCAAAGGTGGCCTTGCTGCAGGCAGATGCTCGTCAATTGCCCTTGGAAGATGGTGCAGTGGATGTGGTCTTTGACAAGGGGACCTTGGATGCAATCTATATTACTGGGGAACAAGAGTTTCAAGATTCCGTCAAAGAATTGACGCGAGTCACTGGCAAGGATGGCGTCTTTGTGTGCGTCAGTGCCGTGATTCCGCCCGAGACCTTGTTGGAAGCATTTCTTGACAACAATAGGATTAGTAGTAGCAGTGAAGAGGATTCCTGCTGTTGTTGGGACACAATTCTTGATGGCGGCCTGGCATTTGCACCCGATGGGGAAGCCACCATTGATCTCGGGGCTCAGCTGTATGCCTTTCGAAGACGAGAAGCGAGTAGGAGCCACAGCGGATCACAGAGCGTTCAAATCGGTACTACCTAGGGATAGCTGCCTACAACGAGGTTCGTTCATTCAGTGGCTTCGGCACTCAATTTGTCGGCACCAAATGCTGCCAGCCTGCTCTACTTTATCAGTGACAGCAGGACATCTATAGGTATCATAATGAAGTGCCACGTGCGTCATGTTGGCGAGGGCTGAAGGAATTTATTGCACCTACATGCAGCAGTAACTCACTCCTGTCGAAACGAGTAGGAGCAGGCAGGAAGCTCACGACAGGAGCATCATCCTGAGTAGCACCATCATGATGGCATAGTACCAAGACGGCATCTTCATGCTGCTTTAGGATGTATCCAGTAGATATAATAAGGATACTCGAGGGAGAGCATATAATGTAATAAAAGCATATTGTTATGATTGTGGTAGTAACCATAAATGAAACGCAATGATACCTACCTACCAGGTACTGGCTAATGATCAATCGATCATCAATATATCCTTGATACCGAATCAAAGAAAGTGGTCCCGTATCTATACCGTATCTATTACCGTACGTCAGACGACGGCGGGCCGATGACTGACATTTTTGGATCTTGTGAAATTTGAAATGTTACTACGCAGTATAGTAGCGTTGACACAATCTTCGTGTATACGGCTGCACCCTCTACCGGTAGGAGATCGCAGCCAACAACAACAAAGACACAACACAATGACAAGACTATAGTTCGCGACCTTGATTCATTTATAGATAATGACTGGAAACAAGCCTAGTAGCAGGCCTGTGGATCGGTATTATTCCAAAGTGTGCTGCTGTTTGGTTGGAATCCTTCTTATTTCTTCTGCAAATCTTTTCTTTTTCCTGGAACACAACAAACATTTGAATGGTACTACTAGTGAGGGAGGAGCCGTCTCTGAAGGTCCCAGCACTCACATGATAGACCATGGGAAAACAAAACGGTGGAATCGAGCCATGGTCGAAGCCAAGGAAATGCTGGCAGCTCATGGAGAAGAGGCGGAATGTTTGCATCCCAAGGTGCAAGAGAGCAAGAAATTGTTGAAGCAGTTCCAAGGCAATCGACGACCTTCCAAGCCTTATTTGAATATGGGATTCCCCAAATGCGGAAGCTCGACTCTCTTTGATTTCTTTGCATGTCTGGGATATCGAGCGACCCATTTTACCAACAATTCGCTGGCGGGGGATTTTGAAGGCATTTGCATGCGTGACGCCGTGGCCAATGGCTTACGACCACTTGAGACGTGTGCACGAGGGGTGGATGCCATTCTACAAATGGATGTGGAATATCCCTTGGGGATTGACGGATACTTTCACAAGCCATTTCGAGACGAATGTTTCTTTCCCCAATTTTCATTGTTGGAAGAACTCCATCAAGAGGCACCGGCATCCACATTTTTACTGACTTTTCGACCTATTCATGATTGGATCACGTCCATCTCGGGTTGGGGTTCCACAGTCATGTTGAATCGCTTCCAGTTGTGCGACTTTCCAAACTTGCCACGAGGCATCCCAACTGACTTGGGAAACAAGACCCAAGTTGTTGGTCAAATGACGGAATTTTGGTGCAGCCATGTCCAACATGTACGGAATTTTGTCAAGGAATATCCTTCCCATACACTGATTGAAACGAGTTTGTACGATAATTTGCAATCCGCTCAAATCATGTACGGTTTGTTCCCCACCAAAGTTGATGCCAATAATACTTCGGAGCCAATAACTACCGAACTTTCCAATGGCTGTTGGGGACATTCCAATGAGAATCGACCAAAGCAATGGTTAAGGAGAAGAAAGGGAAAACAAGGAAGGAATTGGCTTCAGAAGGAGCAACAAAGACAGCAGGAGTAGAAAATTTCCTACAGAAAGTTGTAGAGACCTTGATGGTGCTGGGGGACGAGGGAGAGGAGTGCCGTCTCAGGTCTATAAAGGAGAGAAGTACGAAATAGGGGTAGGAGCGGCTGGAATCAATCAAAATCCTACAACATCTAGATAAGAATCTTGATCTTGATATCCAAGCGAACTTCTTAGACCCGTCATATAGCTACCGTAGCTCATGTACCACGATACTTGAGGTACTATGATATTTACTGCACTATTCAATGGCTAAGAAATATAATAGCGGTTATAGTAGCAAAAATCCTCCAACATCTGGTTAATCTGGATAAGGATAAACAGGTATCCAAACGACCCTCTTATTCCATGGTGAAGGTACCAGTAGTCAAGTGCCTACTACCTACGATACTGTACTAGCTACCGAACGCGTCTCTTGACAACAAGCTTCTTTCACGAACAACCACAAGCTAAGAACAAGCTTCTTTCACGATTGACTTGAACTTCTCTCGCACCTCACAATGACGATCACGAACGACCTGTTCGAGCCGTCAGCTCCCGTGACTGATAGAGTCGTGGAGGCGAATTGCTACCAATCTACATATGGTTTAGTATGATTACGCCTTGCTAATTCGACATTGTGCCTTCGACTGTTTGTTTTTCCGCCTCCCTAATAGACATCATGTCGCAGTGAGTTTTATCGACGCTCTTTTCCTCTTTCAAGGCATAGATCTAAGTGTAGATACGCTTTCCATACCCTTCCATGGGTTCTATGGCTGTCGAAAAACAAGATTGTAGTTCTTATCTAAGATCAGATTTGTCCGCCCTACATAGTTCTCCCAGTATGTTTTCACTATGTGTGTCAAAGGAACAGATGTACTTTCACATGGCACGGGACCATGATTTCTGTCTAGCACTAAGATTTATACCGTCATCTCAATCGAAGTGTCACAAGACGTGTTCTGTGCAGTCGTCATCGAAATTTGAAGATACGTGTCCGCGATGTGCAAAACATTTCGAGGTCCGCCATCTGCACACACACAGTTTTTTTTATCCACCCGAACTTTTGCTAAAAAGGTTCGATTTGTATCATCACAAAATATTATAAACATATTAATGCCACATCGCAGAATGATTCAACAACGGCAAGTCGAATCTCGGTCCTCCACTTGCACTCTAATGGACATGGATGACATGAAGACAGCCATATCAACGCCAGCGGACGAACCATCCCTCCCGAACCTGATTCCAGACGACCTTTCCTTGTCTTCGGACTACTATGAATCCGAAGACGAAGAAATGGTAGTAACGAGAAAAGTTACCTTCAAGAGCTCCTTGAAAATGCGCAAGATTGCGTCGCACCGCAAATATAGCAAGCAAGAGCGTGCGGCTACCTGGTATTCGGCAGAAGAATACAAAAAGCTGAGGGACTCTGCCTCTCGAACCGCCAAGAGAATGGCACGGGGCTACTCGGTGGACAAGGACGGAAAGGAAAGCAGCCGTGGTCTGGAACACCGCATTGCGGAAAGCCACAAGATCCGTCAAACGAAACGATTAGATATCATCTGGACTGTTCTGGGTGAACAAGAGGAGATGTTTGAGAATGGTGAAGAGGTGGATCATGAACAGATTGCTCAAATATATTCCATGTGTGCCAAGGACTGTGTGGCGGAAGCCCGAAAACGAGGCATCGAAGATGAACTTGCAGTCCGAGTACCAAAGGCTCCAGCATTGCCTTCATCGAATGATCCAGTCTTTACCAATACCAAAAAGGCGGATGACATCATGAGTCTGGTGGCTTCCTTGTCCATGAAAGCTGCAATGACAGTCCAAAGACGCTGAACATACGATACTACTACTACTACTACTTATTGCAACACGCTAGCTCTCTCTGCTATCAACTATCAACAACTAAGATTGAACACTTTCTGTCCACGCGGGACAAATGCACAAAGAGCTACAAATAGATCTTGGATACTAGGAACCAATTTTGTTTTACTGCTACAATACTACTTCTGATGCCACCCACAGTATCCATACCTTTTTCGCCCTCTCTTTTTTCATTTTTCTTCCACACATGACCTCCTGGAAGGTGTCACGTTAGACTCTTGTGATTGGAGGATCCTTTGTGATTGCAGTAACCCGGACGCCACCTCATTTTGAAAAAATCTGGGAGTTTGCGACGTCAGCTTTGTTTCGAGTGACGAGATTTTTGGATGCATGCATGATTCGCATTCGCATCCAAAGTTCGCCGTTCGTCCGATGTTCGCCATCGTTCGTCTGTCACACCAAACAAGAAAAAGAGAAGAAGAATGCTCTGGGTTCGCGTTGAAATTCAGACGACGTCCAACTGTTATGTTTTTGGTGTGCCACTCACACAAAAACTATACATTGACAAACTGAAACTCATTCAACAAGGCAGTTGCAGATGCAATTGCAAAGCCAACAGCATCAATAACAACAAAATCAATCGATAGTGACACAAAATTGTAATACCACACATACATCATCAATCCATACACAATAATGACAAGAACATCAGAGCAATCATCGACGACACCGCCAACCGAGCACTCCTCCATGGTGGTTGGCTCTGACGGCACCGTGCTAAAAAGAGATTGCGATGATGAAGGGGAAGTACTCCATGAAAATGTTTCCAATGTCCAAAAGCTCTTTCGGCGAATGTCATCCTCCAATGTCAGTGGAGATTTGGAACGGGGAGTTCCACGCCAACGAAAATTGCACAAGATGCTGGCTTCCCGAGGACATTCGCAACCACAGACGGTCGAGAGACAAGAATCCATGAAGAAGATTGTTCAACAAGTAACCTTGAATTATTCTCCAACCAAATCTGGCAAAGACACCTTGGAGGCTGTCTACAAGACTGGAGAATACAAAGCTGCTCTACCGCTTAACATATTGGTAGTCCAATCCTTCATGGCGGGGATTTACATTGCCATGGCGGGTCATTTGTATCTGGCCGTGGGTGGAGGTGCTCTGGGTGCTGCCATGTTTCCCACCGGTCTGATTGCCGTCATTTTGACCAGTGCGGAACTCTTCACGGGAGATTCCTTGGTCTTTGTGGCCAGCGTCTTGGGCAAACGCGTCGCCTTTTCCAAGTTGCTCCGAAATTGGACCGTCAGTTGGATCATGAACTTTGCCGGATGTCTCTTTTGGGCCTATCTTCTGGCCTATGCATCTGATTCGCTCGAGAGTCTGGATAAGATTGACTTTGCCATTGCCGTGGCACTCAAAAAGACCAAACCATCCTGGGGCTGCATCTTGTTGAAAGGCATTGCCGCCAACTTTATGGTCTGTGTCGGTGTCTGGCAAGCTGCCTGTGCCGAAGAAGTGGCTGGAAAGATTCTGTGCCTATGGTTCCCCATCACTGCCTTTGTATTGATGGGATTTGATCACTGCATCGCCAATCAATTTTTGATTCCACTTGGTATGATGCTGGGAGCTGATATTTCCATCAAAAAGTTGCTCTTGGAGGCCCTCTTGCCAGCAACCTTGGGCAACATTGTGGGTGGGGGCTTGCTCGTCGGAGGCATCTATTGGTATGTCTTTGATTCCAAGATGAAGAACAAACTGCGACTGCCAGTAGTTCGAAAACAAGAATCATCCCAGAGTAATGGCAAGCCAGCAGCATCAAAAGATACCAATTCTACGGATACGATGGACCGCAATCATAAACCATCAACGCATTTGGAGGAAGAGGAACAAGACATTTGATAGAAATCCTCTATCTGTCGTCTGAGCGTCGTCCGATACGTTGACCAAGATTTCTCCGTCGATCGAAATCTCGATAAAAAAACACCGTAAATAATAACATAATATCTTGGTATTATATATACATTGACAATATCATACTGTATCATCCATGAAGCTCTTGAAAGCTTTGTTTCTTGGATTAGCCTGCCTCACTGGTGCCTCGGCTATCAAGGTTGGTGATAAGGTTCCCAAGAATGTGGACCTTCACTTCGGGTTCCCTCCCGAGAAGATTAACTTTGACGAGCGTGTGGCTGGGAAGAAAGTAATCCTGGTGGGTCTTCCAGGGGCCTTTACCCCTACTTGATCTAGTCGCCAGGTACCTGGTTACCTGGCAAAAGAGGACGCATTGAAAAAGCTTGGAGTTGACGAAATTATTATCTATTGCGTCAACGATGGAGCTGTGATGGATGCTTGGGCTTCAGACCAAGGAGTTGCCAAGACTTCTATCATTAAGCTCATGGGTGATCCATATGGCGAGCTTACCGAAAAGCTTGATATGGAATTGACTCATGCTGGTCCAAAGTCAGTGGGACTTATCAATCGTTGCAAGCGATTCGCCTTGTTCATTGAGGATGGAAAGGTCAAGATTGTCAAGGTTGCCGAAGCTGAAGATGTGAGTCTTATCATATCACTATTTTGGAAACTATGATGAGTCGATCATATTAATACGAGGTCGTGTGTGTGGTTGATTCTGACAATTTTTCTTTTCGTTTACTTTCAGGATCCAGCGGGTGATGAACGCCCTGATGTCACTCTCGCCGAAAGCATGATTGATGCCATCTCCGCGCTTGGAAAGGATGAACTCTAAGAAGAGTTTGATCAATCATCTGAGTGGCCTCCCATGGCTTTCTTGACTCTTGACTTTGACTGATTCCCATGTATAATGTTTCTATTAGCAATGTATCGGGAATGACGCTCTCGCAACCGATTTTGTGTTGGACGAGCTGACAAAAAAGCAGATTTTGAGAATCATTTTTTCTGTGATGACTGGTCGAATCAATTTTGCGTCCTTTTGATTAGTCACCACATTAAAGGTTCATTCTGCTCGTATCCATTGCTCCAGGGCATGTACCCGGGAATCAGTCAAAGCGTGTTGGTTAATGCCGTACTGACGCTGCCGCTATTTTAGTGTCACGACAAATTGTAATTAGTAAATCAAAATTCTTTCTTTGTTTTTTGAAACTATTACGGATTAATTGAGTCGAGTGTGATGTCATGGTTCAATTTATTTGGCTGTTAGGCTAGTCTCATCATGAACCCCATCCAAAACTGAGAACACTGCTAGTCACACTCTCCATTGTGCTGCTACCGCTATCCAAGGCGGTGGTCGCCTTGCTGAGTTCCTCGGGCGTGAGACACAACACAGTTCCAATCACGGGAAGCAAGGCCTTCTTTTCGGCTACTGTTGTTGCATTGACAAAACTCAACGTCACATTCTTCAAGTATTCCATATTTACTTGCTCTTCTTGAGGCGTGAATTTCTCGCGCTGATTTTGTCGCTTCAGCTTGGCGAGGGCCTCGTTCATCCTGGTTTGCATGTCTTTCATGTTCTCCATGGCATGTTGCTTATCAGCTTCCGAGTCACCCAAAAGGTTTGCTAAGCGAGTGATTTCATTTCTTGCTTGAGTCAACTCGGCCTGTTTCTCCATTGCATAGAACAATGGCATACCGCCGCCGCCGCCATCTTCGCTCGACGGAGCATTTGCTGGAGCGCTGCCAGCCGGAGCCCCAGATTTTATGGCCTCGGCTTCTTCCACTGTTGCTCTGAGAGTTTCCTTCAGTTCCTTGATTGCCTTATTTGCATCGTCGAGTTCTTGTCTCAGCATATTGATGGTTGCTTCTGCTTCCGAATTCAAAGCGACTTCTCGTGCTTGCTCCGATCCATCCTTCTTTTCCTCGGCGTCATTTTTCTTATTCTTCATTCGAAGGGCCATGAGATGCAATTCATCCTTCAGGCGATGGATTTCGCGGTTCAATCTTTCAGTCTCCTCAAAGAGTTCACTGCTGCGGTTTTCTGACTCGGCAAGTGCCGCATTGACATCTTCCGTTGTTTTCTGTGCGGCTTCCAGACGGCCAGCAATACTCTGGAGTTCACATGTCTGTTTGGCGTTTGTTTCGCTGAGTTCTTCTGCATCTTTTTTCGCTTGCTCCAATTCTCCAGTGACTTTCTCCAGTGCTTCCTTCACTTGGTTGTATTGTGCAACTTCCTTTTCCATCTTGGAAACAAACATTTTTGCCTTCGCCTCAGCCTCTTTTCCATTTTGCTCGGCCACGAGGGCTCTCTGCATGGAAGTATCGGCTGTTGATCGAGCGGCCCGAGCTTCCATCTCAGCTTCTTCCCTCGCCTGCACCGCGGAAGCCATTCGAGCATTGGCGAGCGACAAGGACTGCTGCGCCTTTTTTTTGTAGGTTGACAAGGCTTCGTCGCCCTTCTCCACTGCTTTGTCGATGGCCTGTTGGGCTTCCTTCAATTCAGCTTCCTTTTCAGCGACTTGACTCCTCAACGTATGGAGTTCTAGCTGCTTCTCTTTCGTATTCTGGTTCATGTCGAGGGATTCACCTTGCATTTGGGTAATCTGATCTTGAAGGCTTGTGTTGTTCGCCTTCAGAACCTCGACTTCTGAACTAAGAGTTCGGCATTCTGCGCGACGCTCTTTCAGTTCACCGGCAATGACTTTCGTTCTCTCCTTCAGTGTGTTATATTCCTCCTTTGAAGCTTCAAGAGCTGCGTTGGCATCTTGGACTTGTTTCTGTGCGAATGTCAAATTGTGAAAAAGGTCTACGTCAGTCCTGCAATGTCCGGGTTAACTGCCCAATACGATCCGAGACTTACCTCCATAGCTCTAACTTTCGCCACGTTTCCTTGTGAGCTATCTTCAGCCTTTACCATTTGCTTTTCCAAATCTCGTAGCTGCTTCAGATGTTGTTGCTGCATGCGCTTGAATTCCTTCTCCTTATCTGACAACAATTCTTGGGTACCACTCAATTCCCTTGTCATCGCATCCACTTTCAGTTTGTGTCCTGATTTTACTCGTTTTTCATCCGCTTGTGCCTGTCGTAGACTTTGCTGGGTTTGGGAAAGCTCCTGCTTGAGTGCTTGCAATTCCTGCTCATGCCGCCGTTGTGAAGCTTGTTTCTCGGCCAAATGATTCTCCTCCAATCGTTTTAGCTGCTCCGAAAATTGATTCAATACATGATCAGGGATGGCAGCCTGCTGTGCTGGTACCGACGAAGGCGCTGGTTCTTGGCGCATAGTTGAAGGTGGCCTGTCCATATTATTACTTGATTCCTCCGCATTCTCCAGTTTGGTATCGTCGTGATCCATTCTGATGGGTTGGGGAAAATCAGTACTCGTTGCTGCCGAAGGTGGGGCCTCCTTCATTACTTCTTCCTGTGTGCCCTCAGGGTCCGTAGCCTCGTCTTCTGTATCATCCGTATCTACATTTCCAATGTCATCCCAACCATCTTCTCCGTCGGAACCACCCTCGTCAGCCTCTTCATCGTCACCATCCATTCCCTCATCAGCAGTCTTTTCATCACTGCTAGCATCCTTCACTGTCCCTTCAAATTGCTTTTGAATTGCATCAGGGGCAGGTGCAGCCTGTGCCATTCCCTTTTCTCGTTTCTTTTGTTCCTGACGTTCTTTCCATGCCCTTTCTAGTGCTTCTTGATCATCCTCTTGGTCTTCACCATCGTCGTCATCTTCTTCATCATTGTCATCGTCGTCATCAGCAGGGGCATTTTCTTCCTCCTCTTCTCCTGCAGATTCTTCCGCGGGCGCTGGTGTTTCTTTTGTTTTCGTTGGTTCCTCCACGATAGTAGTCGGAGCTGCTCGGGATTGTGCAGATGCAGGTGCAGTAGCAGCTTGTGGTGCTTTTGCCTTGACTGCAAACTCTTTGTCACCTTCCTGCTGAAGCGAGTCCATGTTGAAAAAGCCACCTGCCGAGGCGAAGTTGGGGGATGTAAAATTGGAAGACTTTTCGGATTGGACATTTTCCTGATTTTAAAAATAAGCGATTAGGGTGAGATGAATGTGGTTATAGAAGCGCAGAAGCAAAGGAAGACAACGTCAGCATCAAATTCATTGACGCCCTTTGCCTATTTAAAAAATCCTCTTTAATGAACAGCACATGTTCCAAGTATCACAATCATCTCAAAAGAACCGATGATTGTGCAAATTATAAACTTACGACAACTGACGCAGCTTGCTCCTGAAATTGATTAGCTGCCTTGGCCGCTTGTTCCTGCAACTCAGCTGCCTGCTTTGCCAGATCCGCAAACGAACTTCCCCACATTTTCCCAGTAGTGCTGCTCAATTAGGCTAAAACGTTATCTTGCAATCGATGACCTGTGCCTTTATTATATTCCCTCTTCAGGTCATATCGTAAGCGGCCAGTCCGCGTACAGACGTTTTGGAATTTGCAGTCGGCTTGGTCCATCGAAGAAGTCTTTCCAATGACAGAAAAGTCATTTTGCGGTTTTTTGTTTTTATCAACGTGGTTGAAACGTCCGGAAAATAAGCAGAAGGTTTCCGCCGTTGTGAAGTAAATGCTAAATACCGCCGTTACAAACCTATCTTGGTCAGATTTTACTTAAAGGAAACTGGACTTTTCCGGCCTGAGATGCGTTGGGAGTCATTTCGACGTGGTCACGGGAAAACGCAATTCTGTCACTCCTCAATGTCGTTTCTAATCGTGTCCCACTTTCAAACTTGGACCAATCCCAGGTTCCCATCTCCCATAATTTTCTTTTTTGTCAAACGCTCGTACACTGACTCATCACACTCAACTCAGAATGGACTCATCAACATCATCAACAACATCACCTTCACCTTCACCCAGTGCACTTGTACAGACTCTCAACCAAAAGGGAGTTTACTGCATTACCACAGGAAGATGCAACCGTGCCATTTCCTTTTTTGTCAGGGCAATGGAAGTCAGCAAGCAAGATCAACATCGGACTGCGTGCAACTGCGAGCACTGCTCCTTGGAAGCTTGCATCGAATACAGTCACAGCCTTGTTCAAGAGCACAGTGAATCAGCCATGGAGGAAGACGACAGCTGTGATTTTGTCCGACAATTTTGCAACCGAGAGGATTCTTCTTCTCACAATCATGATGATGATGGATACCTTTACCGAATTCCAATCGTCACCAAACCAGATTCCATGGGTCATTCCATGGGAAACATCATGCCCAAGATACTGACGTTCAATCTGGCACTCGCTCACCACTTGAAGGCCCTGGATGAAAAGCAAAACAATTTCAAAATTGCTGTTCGACTGTACCAACTGGTATATCAAACCGAACTCAAAGAAAAGAGCAAGGCTTCCTTTTTCTTCGCACTGGTGGCTGCCAATAATCTGGCGGATGTTCATCGAAGGCTCAGCAACCCTCAGAAACAACAGCAATGTTTACAATTTGTCTTGTCAGCAATCATGCTTATGGGATATGATATCAGCTCACGAAATCGAGAATACTGCAAGGTGGAACTCGATGGTTTCGTACGCAACGCAACCTCGCTGATACTGACGCCGGGTTGTGCCGCAGTCGCTTAGACTTGTAAAAAGTAACAAACCTAGGACTCAATCTGAAACAAGATCTTACTGTAGCTCAAAAAGTAGTTTGACTTATTTTAATATGATTACTTGCATTCCAGCACAAAATTGCCAGAATGCTAGCTATAAATTATGAGAATATAATGTCAATCACTTCAATCACATATACACCATGATACAAAACAATCGATTGAAGTGTGTTTGATCCTTCACATTCTAAGCACCGCCTTCGCAGCCATCTCCAAAAGCAGCTTCGGCATTCGAAAAGGCACCGTCGTCATCCCCAGTGTACCCATAGACCTTTTCCATGCCATATTCAACGTAGATCCAACCATAGTCACCTCCGACTCCTTGGATGGAAGTCAAACCATCGCCACCACTGTCTGTCACGTTGAATTTGCAGCACGAGTTCAATGGCACGCAAGTCTCTTCTTCAAAGATGGAAAAGGGAAGGTTGTCTCCCCATGGTCCTTGGAGAACTACCTCACCGTTACATTGGACTTGGTAGCTTAGTTCTTCTGGGTTAGCATCGAAACCAATCCCAAGGTAGAGTCTAGCGCACTCATCGGTGGTTTCAATGGGGTCCAATTGTTCGTCTTGGATGGGATCTAACTCTTCATGGCAGTTAGGCCCAAAGCAGTACCTCAATTCATCAAACTCACCCTCCGACATGGCATAGGTTGCCACAGTAGCAGCACCATATCGAAGATAAAAGTATCCGTTGCCTTCCATGAGACCATCACCGTAAGAGTCATAGACGATGAACTCGCAGGTCTCAGTATCATCCACACAAGTGGATTGCATGATCTGGTTGTTTCCACTTCGGTTTTCTTTGGTTTCTTCTAGAATTCCAACGGGGACGTTCCATACTTCTCCTTCGCTGCAGTGGAGGGACCATCCAGTTTCATGGTTTGAGTCTTGATCGAGTTGAATGAAAAATTCCACCAACTTTTGTCCACTGTTACAATCTCCCGTTCCAGAGGAAGAGGTGGCCTCGAAAGTTGGTGCCAAAGTGGCTCGGATCGCAATAGGTGACCCTGTCGGCTCTCCAGCAGAGGTTTCAACATTAGTTCCTACGGCTGCTTCCGAACTCGCTGGTTTCAAACTGGGAACTGCCGCATAGGTCACACCGGCAATTCCTGCTGCTACCACCACAAGTCCCAGCACCGAAAATACCCAGAATGCACGGCTTCTTCCCTCTTGAACTTCAGGAGGCGGGAGTTCTTCATCGTTGTAAATTTCTTGTTTGATCGAAGTCATGATGAATTTGTTTTTTGTATCAAGTTTGGAGAAAACATCATGAGATTTCTCGACAAAGATACTACTGTACCCGAGTCTGGTTGATTGCCAATGACGACAAGGGATTGAAAAACGGTCGAGGAAATAGGATTGAAAAAAGGTCGAGGAAAAAAAAAATGAGGTCTCAACGCACGGCCCCATTCTAAGACTCATTCAGTCACGGATTGTGTTCGCCATGTGCATGGCACACATCTCTTTCTCCGTGTCAATAAGTAGTCCAAATTTAGGTGTCAACCTTCTGTTTTCACAGAATGCCACGTTGCTTTGTCTGGCCTCGCATTTTACAAACCTGTTTTTCCGATTAGATCTCATTGGCCTACGTCATTGATCTTTATTTCTGACAAGCTCGCAACTTGAGCATGGCAAGGCTATTTCCACCGGTATAGTAATGTGGCCTCCAATAATATAATTCGGTCCAGGTGAATTCAAAGCATCATTCTTCCTTTGTCAAAGCTAACCCTTTGCGATGCCAATACGACAAATAACCTTCCTATCTATCCTACACCTATGGATACACTTGGTTACGGGCCGGCGGGAGCTTCAGCAATGCTCCTCATGTCAAGCTCCGGTTACGTTTGATCCAGCTAGACACAAGACAGTGTACACGGTTGGTGTCCTTGCCAGGAGAGGAGTCGAAACTGTGTTTGCCTCTTTCCAGAAAACCTTCGCAGAATATCTCTCATTAACAGCCGGAAAAAGATTCGACCCTCCCATCACTTTTGAGGTGCTTGACCTGGAAATTGAATCCGTGACAGATGATAACATCCCAGTGGACTTTGCATTTCTGAGTCCAACTCCATTTGCTTGTGCCAGTGCTCGGTTTGGCCTACAATCTCTGGCAACAATCACAGTCCTTACAGAAGTTGACTCGGAAGAATACAATTTGGCGGAATTTGGTGGTCTCATCATCACACAAGCCAACAATGCTGACATAAATGAAATCTTTGACCTGAAGGACAAGGTCATTGCTGCCAGTTCAATTACGGGATTTGGATCTGGATTGATGCAATTTTATGAGATGCAAAGGGCGGGATTGTTCTACATTAACGATCCACTTCAATACGTCTTTACCGGTGATGAAGGCGCAGTTGTTCGGGGCGTTCTGGATGGAAGGTTTGATGCAGGATTCATCCGTACAGGGCTAATTGGAAGCGTAACGGATGTGAATGGAAACATTATCGAACTCGACAACTTCAAAATTATCAACTCCCGACAAGACGTCACCGAAAGTGGTGGAAGGTTTCCATATGAACATTCCACGCCTCTCTATCCCGAGTGGAATTTTGCAGCGCTAGGGAGAACCTCCAGTGATGTCAGCCGAGCGACGCAGACCGCATTGCTCGATTTGACAGACCATGCCAAAGCTGCCAACGCATGGCAGTCTTGTTTGGATATTAATCCAGGGGACACGGCTCTATGCAACGATCTTCAAGCCATTGATCCGACTGCCCGATGTGATACTACTATTGAAATAGCGAATGTGTCTGCCATGGCTCTTTCTGATGGAGGGTACTCTGGTTGGAGAACATCCTTGTCGTATATCAAAGTACAAGAGCTTCTACGAAACACTGGTATCATTCGAGACGATCCGACAACGCAAACATTGCAATGTTCATTTTCGAGTGACGTGTATGACCACATATTGTGCCCAGATGGTTTCTTCAAGTTGCCATTTGATTCCTTCTACACAAGTTGCGACAGTGCTGGAGTCAGCTGTGCAGACGGATATACATGTATTTGCAGTCCTTGTTACGAAGCCTTTCCAATAGAGGTTGCTCCAAAAGTCAATTACACTCGGGGAAATTCATGCGAAAAGATGTCGGTTTGTTCTGTCATTTCGCAAAATGAGGAAATACCATTCAAAATTGTTGACAACTTGAAACTCGAATCTGGCTTGGATTTGAGAGTGAATGTACTGGAAGGCAGCAACGAAAGGCTGCTAGCGATAGAAGCGGACCGTACCAACAATTCGTATTCCTTCAACTTGACTTCAACAACTGTGGGAATAATGGTGCTCGAGATTTTCAATGGGGAAACACAAATTGATGTCTCGCCTCTACGTGTAAAGGTGGAGTACCGAAGCTGTCCCGGCAGCCAAATTGCAAATGACAGGGGGTTGTGCGTTTGTAACAACACGAGCTATCCAGTCTTTGGATCATGCGTCAGTCGATGGAAATTCCTAGTCGGCGTGATATTACCACTGCTCCTTATCGGGTCCACTGCGCTGTACTTTTTCGTCAAACGGAAGCAACGCGAGGCAAATAGTCTATGGCTAGTGGACTCACAAGAGCTTGAATTTCAAGATCCGCCCATCATCATTGGCAGAGGATCGTTTGGCTTTGTCTTGATGGCAGAATACCGAGGGTCAAAAGTCGCAGTGAAGAGAGTCATTCCTCCAAAAAAGAGCAGGCGAGGCTCGCAAAGTGCTCTTTTTGGGTATGAAGAAAGGAAAGTTCATAAACCGGCAGTATCACCAAAAAGTAGCGTATCGTCGACAGAGGAGGTGGATTTGGAACAGGGGAAAAAGGCCATTCGAACGAAACATAAAGTTACCAATGAGGATAACCAACCAAGCCAAGTTGACGAGATTCAATCTCGGGATACAACAAGCCAAATGTCTGAAAACCTGTATGATTTCGCTGATGATGAAAGCATTAGTATCGACTTAAGATCCAACCCAGATTTGAAGTTACGAGAAAAGACTGATGATTCAAGTGTCAGCTCCATTGGGAGTAGTCAGCATATGAGCATGAGCTTCCATGATTCTGTTATTAGCGAAGGCATTCTCAATTTGCATGCATCAACTGAGAGCCGCATCATTGATCTTAACGAGGACGGCCTGATCAAGCCGAAATCGTCGAGAAAGACCCCCGTCGAGGAAAAGAGTTTATCACAGCTAAGGCTTGAGTTTATAGAAGAGATGCGATTGTTGTCAAAACTGCGGCACCCAAACATTACGACTGTTATGGGTATGTATTTTGTGCGTCTGATTCATTATATTCGGCGTCTGGCTTGGACGCTCACAAACTGGTTCTTTCATTGTAGGCGGGGTAATTGAAAAAGGTGTGGATCCGGTAAGTGTCGTATCCTACAGTTCTAGCACTACGTTCAAGATTCTGGTCTCACTGATTGATTGCTTCTTGTAGATGATGATCATGGAATACATGGAGCACGGGTCGCTCCAAGAAGTTCTTCTAAACCCAACAATGGTTCTGGAAGCGGACTTGATTTTGAATATACTGAAGGATATGGCTTCTGGGATTCGCTTTCTTCATTCATCACAGCCTCCAGTTATTCACGGCGACTTGAAGTCGCAGAATATTTTGATCGATTCGAAGTTCCGCGCCAAGCTTTCTGATTTTGGATTCTCGAATCGTAAACCTGACAAAGCAACTGGAACGCCATTGTGGATGGCTCCAGAACTTCTGTCTGGGCAGTCCCTCAATACTCCAAAATCTGATATGTACGCTGTGGGTATTATCATGTACGAAATAGTCGCTCGGAAAGAGCCTTACTATGATGCCACCGAGTCAAATCAAGATTTACTGAAGGGAATAGTGGACCGGAAGAAGAATAAACGACCTCGAATACCATCATATTGTCCGATTAAGGTGAAAAAACTCATCAAATTCCTGTGGCATGGCGACCCAAGCCTCCGTCCAACAGCAAGTGAGCTTGACAATAGGTTGCAAGAAATGGATTTTAAAGCGTTTGAAGCTTGTGCCCATGCTTCGGGTTCTCACAGTATGCAGGAGCACCCAAAGTCTCAAGGTGATAACGATGAACACTTTTTGTATCAAGCATTTCCAAGACATGTCGCCGAGGTATTGAAGTCGGGAGCGAAAGTTGAGCCCGAATCCCATGACATTGTTACTATATTCTTCTCGGATATTGTCGGGTTCACCACAATTGCTGGCCAGTTCGAACCATTGAAAGTTTCGCAGCTACTAGATCGTTTGTACCTGAAGTTTGATGACTTGTCGAGAAAGCACGAGCTTTTCAAGATCGAGACCATTGGTGATGCGTACATGTGTGCTGGCAATCTAGCCACAGATCAGTATCTTGATCATGTGAAACGTGTCGCGTTGTTTGCCATGGATGCCATCGAAGCTGCATCAACAACGCTGGTTGATGAAGATGATCCTTCTCATGGCTTCATAAACATCCGAGTGGGATTCCACTCTGGTCCCGTTGTGAGCAATGTAGTTGGTAATCTGAATCCTCGCTACGGAGTCTTTGGAGATACCGTGAATGTGGCTTCACGGATGGAGAGCAACTCTGAGGAAGGTCGCATCCATTGCTCGAAAGCTAGTGCAAAACTTCTAATGACTCAAGCGCCGGAGATCAAAGTACGCCTGAGGGGAGAAACAGAGATCAAGGGAAAAGGAAAGATGACTACATACTGGGTTGGTTAAAAAGGTATAGAAGATGAAGTCTCTCTGAGTGTACTGCTTCGTTTTCCAGGGGCTCTCAAGAGATGATCGTAGTTATGTTTCTTCAGAAACAATGTGGACGAGTGAGTGAGTCAGTCGAATAGTGCCCTCCTTCACCTGAAAAGCTTTTTCGCTGACGGAAGGGAAATGTATATTACTACTGTTCCTCGAAACAAAACAAACTTTTAAGGGAAATTGAGGATTGCATCATGCTTGAAAAGCAATATACAGTGTGAACTGACATAATATTCGAAGTTTCATCTAATGTAGATGCAGGAAATTCCTTGTGTTCGTCGGATTTTGCGCGCGTTGCCTTCACATTTGAATAGTGTCAAGAAGGTCACCCAAAACGCCCAGAAAGAGCTCCCATCGCCTCTACCGGAATCTGTGAGAAAGAATGAAGCCATCAAGGCAGAGTCTGAAACGCCGATCGACGAAGACGATGGGATTCCACTCTGGCCCCGTTGTGAGCAAGGTGGTTGGTAATGTGAACCCTCGGTACGGGGTCTTTATAGACACTGCGAATGTAGCGTCACGGTTGGAGAGTAGCTCGCAGTAGACGAAGATTCGCTGCTCTGTAGCAAGCACCTGAAACACCCACTACCCTACGTGGCTGGACATTCAAGACTGAGGGGAAGGGGAAGATGACAACGGAGTATTATTGCGTGTGCTGAGAATGAATTTCAATCTCCCTTTTGCTGAAGTTTGGTAGACTAGTTTTTAAATGGAAAACGGTCGATTTGTAATCTAGTATGGTGTACTGATACCGATAGTTGTATATTGTATTCTAGCTTTCTTAGACAGGGACATGTATATAATTTACAAATAATACTCGCATCCGGGCTTTGCCGCAATAGTTCTAGGATGGGCACTCAAGTGATCGCGGAGTGAGTCGGATGTTGGCACAGAAACATTTTCCGGAAATGAGGCAAAAACTCTTTTTGTTGTGACGTTAACGAGTTTTTCTGCCAGTCCGAAGCAGTCATTTCTGCTGGTAATAAATACACGTGCGCAGAGCGGTTCATAGTTTTAAAAGACATTTTCACTGTGAAAATTATTCCGGACTAAAAAACAGCTGACAAACTGCCGATGAGACCTGTGGACAGAAAGCCCGCAACTTTTCGCCAGTGGAAATTAGAAATCGATCGACTGTTTTTCTTTTAAGGCCGCGTTGACGAATCTATCGAGAATACCATGTACAGTTGAGAGGAGAAGCCTTTACTAAATGGAAAAAAAGGGAACAGAACCTGAATGACGCGAGTGACAAGATTTTCTGCCCCAAGTGGCGAAGCGGTTGTAAGAGGTATGATACATTTTCGGTGTGAAAATTAAGCCGGGCTATTTTATATCATGACTGCGCTGGCGAACTCCCGGTGGGACCGATGCAGAAAACGCCCCCAATAAACCGTCACATTTCTTGCTACCATATCGAAACCAACAAAAACATCAAGCAAAACTAAAGCTGTGAAATTGATTGGTTCAAGAAGAATGAAGGTCCTTATCTTGCAATGGATGATGCTATTGCATCTTACCATGGCTCAAGATCTTCAGCAATATCAGTCCTCGTGCTTTACGGGAATACCAATTGACTCATCGAGACACAAACCAAAGTACAAGATTGGAGTTTTGGCAAATCGAGGCGTCGAAACTGCTTATACATCGTACAATGCCACCTTTGCGGAATACCTATCGGCAACGGCTGGGAAACGCTTTGACCCGCCAATTGATTTCGAAATGGTGGACGTCAGTTTTGTTTCCATGTTCGAACAGATTGAAGCAGGAGATCTAGACTTCCTATTTTCGAGCCCAAGCGTTTCCTCTTGCATTGCGACACAGTTTGCCACCCAATCACTCGCTTCACTCATTGTGTCGACCGAAGTTGGCGTGCAGACCGTCAGCATGTCTGAGTTTGGTGGTCTGATTATCACACAAGCAGGCAATGATAATATCAACACCATCACAGACTTGAGGAACAAGACGATTGCCGCCATCTCCATTGCTGGGTTTGGTTCTGGCCTGATGCAGTTCTATGAGATGCAAAAGAATGGTATGTCATTTGTTACCGACCCTGCTCAGCTTGTCTTCACCGGAAACCAGGATGATATCGTTCGAGGAGTGCTGGATGGTACCTTTGACGTTGGCTTCGTACGTACAGGATTGATTGAACGGACCAGAGACGAAGAAGGCAACCTAGTCGACTTTACCAAGATCAAGATTATTGACAGCCGACAAGACATGACAGCTTCGGGAACTGTCTTTCCATACAAGCATTCGACGCCACTCTATCCCGAATGGAACTTTGTTGCTACGAAAAAGACTCCGTTCGAGATCAGCCAAGAAGTACAAGCAGCTCTTCTTTCAGTCAAGAGGCAAGGAGACACAGGGCTAATGGTGGAATCATGCCTTGAAGGCAACATCAACCCTGCAGATCATTGTAATGATCTTGCTGTGGTGGATCCCCAAGCTTCTTGTGACACTACAATGGATACGGCGCTTGCGGCAGCCAAGGCTCTTTCTGATGGGAGATACGCTGGTTGGAGAACAACATTATCCTACGACGATGTAAACGAGCTCCATTTCGATACGAATATCCTCAAGAGAGATCCAGTCACTCGAGATTGGAGGTGCTCTTCTTCTCCTGACTTGTATGACAAAGTTGAATGTCCAGTTGGATTCTTCAAGTTGCCGAGAGACGAGTTTGATTCATCCTGTGAAGATGCTGGACTTATCTGCCCAGAAGGGTCCGAATGCTTATGCAAACCGTGCTTCGAGGCTTTCCCTGTCGAAGTTGCACCACAAGCCACATATAAGCCAGGAAATGGATGCAAGAAAATGAGCATATGCGGAACCCTTGTCCAAAATGATGTTCTCAACTTCACAATTGCAGACAATCTTGAGCTTAGAGAACGCTTGAATCTGCGGGTCGTTGCTCTCGAGGGGAATAATGAGCGTGAGATTGATGTGGTGCCGGGACAAAAGCCCAATCAATATGTGCTACCTTTGACTTCCACTCGTGTCGGACTAATGGTCCTTGAGATCTTCAATGGTGAAGAGCAAATAGATGAATCTCCGCTCCGTGTGCAAGTGGTGTATCATACATGCCCAACCAAGCAAACTCCCAACGAAGATGGAACTTGCCGCTGTGAAGATAGGACATTTTCGATGTTTGGGAGATGTGTCGAAGGCCAACATGTCATGTGGGGTGAGTACTTGAATGTCATTTCTCGAATCTGCTTCTTGGACTGCCCTATCACTCAAACTGCGTTCTCCATGTATCTCATGATCCGCGTTGAATGTAGGTACTTTCATTCCGATCATGACAATCCTGGCCGTCTGCGTATCGTGCTATGTGAGAAAAAAGAGCAGGGAAGCCGACAGTTTGTGGTTGGTGAAGAGTTCTGAGCTGGAGCTTAGTGATCCACCGAAAGTCATTGGTGAAGGAAGATTTGGATTTGTCCTCCTTGCAAACTACAGAGGCTCAAAGGTTGCGGTTAAAAAGGTTCTTCCGACAAAGAGAAGGACTGGTTCGAGTGGTAGTACGTTTTGGGGCGGCTGGTCGAACAGTAGCGGTAGCAAGTCAATTTCCAACTCGAAACGAGATGAAAGTGGTGCTTTGGACACATATTTGGATTTGGAAGAAGGATCCGATAGAAAGGTCAAACGTTCGAGCACCAGCTTAACCTCGGGCTCTGCAGAATCAAAGTTAGTCGACTTCACGGACAGACCAGACACAGGAAAAAAAACTAGCGTTACATTTTCAATGGAAGTTCAAGAAGTATCGATTGATTCAGATGAGGAGAACATCCTCACTGCAAGCTCAATGGAGTCAAAGAGTCGCTTTAGAAGAAAGAGTGAATTCGTTAAAGAAATGAGGCTGTTGTCAAAGCTTCGTCATCCCAACATCACCACTGTTATGGGTAAGTGCAGGCTCATGATAATATCACTCGTGTCAACAAACATAAAGCTCACATTGTTACCTCATTGTTTTGACAGGCGCGGTCATTGAAAAAGGAGTCGAACAGGTGAGTGCCGAAATCCAGATTTCCATCGGTATTGACCGAGTACGATATGCCTAATGTTTTGCTCCACTCGTTTTAGATGATGATCATGGAATACATGGAACACGGGTCGCTCCAGGAGGTACTTCTGAATCCGTCAATCATGTTGGAAGCCGACCTAATCCATAGCATACTGCAGGACATTGCCCAAGGTGTTCGTTTCCTCCACGCTTCAAAGCCGCCAATAGTCCACGGCGATTTGAAAACTGGAAACATTCTCATCGACTCCAAATTCCGGGCGAAGCTCTCCGACTTTGGATTGTCTCACCGAAATACTAAAAGTGCGACCGGTACACCGTTGTGGATGGCCCCTGAACTTTTGACCGGTCGTTCATTGAACACTCGCAAATCTGACATGTATTCGGTTGGAATAATGATGAATGAGGTATTCTCTCGACAGGAACCGTACAGCGAAGCAACAGAATCAAACGAGGATCTAATCAACGCAATTACGGATAGCCGACAGAGCCGGCGCCCACTAATTCCGACAAAATGCCCAGTCAAGGCCAAGAAACTTGTTCAATTTCTTTGGCACTCCGATCCAGAGCTTCGACCCAGTGCGGAAGAGCTTGACAATCGTCTGCAGGAGCTGGACGCTAGTGTCTTTGAAGCTGTTGCGTCCCGATCGAATCGTCGTTTGCTGGGTAGCCAGAATCAAGCAGAGTCCAAGCACTTTCTGTATCAGGCGTTTCCTCGACATGTCGCCGAAGTCATAGCCAAGGGAGGAAAAGTCGAGCCGGAATCTCATGACAGCGTTACTATATTCTTCTCCGACATTGTTGGCTTCACCAAGATTGCATCCCAGTTTGAACCATTGAAGGTTTCTCAGCTGCTTGATCGATTGTACCACAAGTTCGATGATCTATCAAGAAAACATGAGCTCTTCAAGATTGAAACCATCGGCGATGCCTACATGTGCGCTGGCAATCTAGCCACCGACCAGTCTGGCGATCATGCGAAGCGCATCGCTCTGTTTGCAAAAGAAGCCATCACGGCAGCATCTGAAACGCCGATCGACGAAGAAGATCCTTCACTTGGCTTTATCAAGATTCGAGTGGGATTCCACTCTGGTCCCGTAGTGAGCAATGTGGTTGGTAATTTGAATCCTCGGTACGGAGTCTTTGGAGACACTGTGAATGTAGCATCACGAATGGAGAGTAGCTCTGAGGTGGAAAGGATTCACTGCTCCAAAGCAAGCGCCAGGTTGCTGGTGAGACAAGCACCTGAAATTCCCACAACCCTTCGAGGATACACTGCACTTAAGGGGAAAGGAAAAATGTCAACGTATTGGGTGTTCTGAGCATTTTGCATCTCTCTTCCCTTTTGCTGAAGCATTGTATGCTTACATTGCATTGTAACGATTCAGAGAGGAAAATCTAAAACGGCTGATTTGAAATCTAGTTTTCTATGTATGCATTCTAGAAAGGATACTTCAAGATCTTTCGTGCAATATTGTTCAAGCATATGTCATCAAGTGTGATGAGAATAGAAACAGGAGAGACATCGTAGACCAGCACAGGCCGAACATGCTCGAATCCGAACTTTCCGTAGAGGAAGCACCCCCGTTTGCCGACAATGGTTCCAACTTGACGGTAGCATGGGCACCCAAGTGATCGCTGAGTCGGAATGCTGGATTTGCCGTTTGCACAAACCCGTCCACTCCAGCACTTACGACTGTGTACTCTCCGGACAGGCCAAATACAAAGTCAATTCGACTCGAGCTGGTAGTCAATCCCACCTCGACATCGGGCGGATAAAGAGAACGGAAGATGTCTTTCGTAGTGGGACCCAAGACACCAAGAAGTTGTTGGTAACCCTCTTGAACTTCGGTCAATTCGTCATTCCACTCGTCAGTGTTGAAATCTCCGAGTCCAAAGACAGGTACCTTGTCAATATCCAAGCCTTCGGTTTCTTCTAAGTTCTTCAAAAAACGGTCAATGGAATTTCGCATTTCTCGTGCTTGGTTCAACCGGATTTCCAATGGCCCACCAGCATTCAAGTGAGTGTTGGACACGATCAAATCTCGAGTCGAGCCGTCGTCATCGGGAACCTTGATGTGTGCTGTCATAGCTCCCTTACCACTGAAGGCATCAATGCCTGAGCTGTTGCCATACTGGTGAAAGGCAAAGGACTCGATAGGATACTTGGACAAAATCATTAGGCCACTATCCAACCCCAAATTCAATCCCGTAAGTGGTCGTGGTTCTGTCGACACATTGTAAGGATAAACTTCCTTCAGTCCTTCAAATAATAAATCTGGATATGTTGTCTGTGTGCCCGACCAAACTTCTTGTAAGCATAAAATATCGTAGGTACCACTTCTAAACTCTGCAATGTAGTCTGGAATCCGATCCATGGCTGGAACGGAAGCAGTTAAGATGAACCATACATTCTGAGATATTAAGGAAACTTCCACTGCCGAGGCAACTGATGTCAGAAAGAGGCTGCACAATAGTAGTCTAGAGCTGTGGAGCAATATTTAAAGGAGATGGAATAAAAGTAGGTTAGTCTCTGTGAGTATCATGGTTGGAACACATCAAAGTGTCATCTTCGGCTGACGTACATCATCCTGAAATTATGTTCGTGTGTATTGAAAAAATGCGGTCGGTCAGTGATGACGAGTGATGACTGAATGAATCGATCTTGTGAAATTTGAAAATCTGATCTGAACTTCCCGAGTGTTCCAAGAGGAGAAGTGACGGAATGAATCAATCTACAGTATTTAGCGTTGGGGGATATTTTAATATTGAGCTCGCGTCGAGTGTCCCCGAAAGACAAAATTCTGTCACAAGCATCCCGAGGTCCGCTCTTCCATCCGTATCGTGCACCTTCTGTCGCAGGCCAAGCCTACCGCGCAGCCTTTTTGTCACTTGTATGTCACAGGCGCGTGGTGTGACTTGAAAACTGACCAAATTCAGAAAATTGAGATTGACATCACATATTTTTTTCCCATCACACAAGTCTTCTCCATTTGTTGGTTGGAACACAAGGACCTTTCTCGTTGCCACCACCACCATGTCGTCGATGATCTTCGAGGCAATGCTTGCAACCGAAAGACTCTACGACAATTCAGTCGGGGTCTTTAATGATTGCTTGACCAGTCCAAAAGAGGAAGCTGTGATTGCCAACGAGGATTTTGTGCGCCACATGCTGGATCAGACTACCAACAAGTCAACCAATATCTACTCCTACGATAGCGATGAAGAAAAGGTCGAAAATGATGACCTCGATGACCTAGTCATGATGATTCAGAAACGCCAGAGAAAAGACAATGGTGGTCAAGAAGAAGAAAAAGACGAAGAAACTCCGTCTTTGGATGGCACCAACACCACTGCAAGCAGTGAAAATGGAAGACTAGCATCTCGAATGTCATGCAACATGGAACAGCTGTGTGCGCATGAGCAGTATGGTCTCGACATCTGTCTGTTCCTCTTTTCGCCCAACTCGCCACTACACTCCCCAGATCGTCAGCTTTGTGATCATGAAGATGATCATGATCCAAACCCCGCCCAAGACGACTCGGTTGTACAAGAAAACGATACCAATGACAATGACGAGAGCTGGTTCGGTATTGAGTGTGGAAAAATGTGTGGAGGAATCAACCGTGCCATTGAGGCAGACGAAAAGACTGCACAAACGGCTGCGAATTCAGAGTCTAGCAGAGAAGATGGTTCCACGACAATAGATGATTCCTTGGGAGAATTCACCTATGAGTCGGTCGAAGAAGACGATGATGAACAACAGGAAAGAGGCATTGTTCCACCAAATGCCTTGGCCACATATCTGATGGGTCTGATTGCCGAGAACACGGACGAGGCGAGTGGTGGTGGTGGTGGTCAAGAACATCATTCCAAGAATCTGGGCTTGTTGGAGTGCAATGATCGATCCATCCTTTCGGGAGAGATCAAAGTGCCCTTCAAAGAGCTCCCAGAGCCAGCTGGTCGATGTATGACAGAGCCAAGTGATGATGATTACTTGATGCTCCTCCAAACTGACCCCAAGGGTACCTCCTTTTGCACCGATGACGAAATGTCCGACGTTGACGATGCTGGTGATGACGAGTCTGAAGACTCCGAAGAAACGGACGAGCTTTGCCCAAGATATCCAACCCAAGCAACAAGACAAGCACTACGATCCTCCCTTCCCCCCTATGTCCCTCAAGGAGAGTTTTCTCCTCGTCGCCAGTACGACTATTCCGAGCACCACTTGGAACCAGATGGTGCTACCATTCTCTCTGGTGATGAGGTTTCTTCTGCTGTAGAAAGCGAATTTTCAAAAGGAAATGCTCAGCAGGAGAGTAGTAATAGCCATACTCATCGTGAGGCCGACAGCAATAGCAACTTGGAAAATGGCGGAAAGACAATTTACGTGGAAATTTTGACGAGCGCCGACCTGGTCCATGATGCTGGCAGTGTCTCGTCTTCCTTGTGGTCGCATCGAGCCTTGTTGGACGATGACGATAGTATTCTCAATGAGGATTCTTCCTGGGAAGACTACCGAGAACCAGATGGCACCAAGTTTGCCGACATTGTGAAATACCAACAGCAAGATAATGATCATCATGCGACATCATCATCGTCATCCTTCCCAGCAGCAGCACCAACCGTAAACGAAATTCTCAATGACATCATGTCAGACGACGACGACGGCGACGAACAAGAGCAAGAGCAAGATACTACTAGTACGATCGTCTTTTCGGAGCCCTTTGATGAAACCCAAGATAACTTTCGTTCCTCGCCTCGCCAACAAATGCGAAGCGGGATGATGAACGATGGTGCCCATGCTACCTTTGAACTCCCACACATCCACAACCAAGCATACAAGCCTACTCAAAAGCCCAAGACCAGCCTGGAAAAACGTTTGAATTTGTTGGAACGGCTCAAAGGGCTCCGCGATTCCGACACGCACATGCTGTGCGCCTGCGTCCAAGGATGTGGAGACTTTGCCGATGCCACCTTTTTTGAAGGTGCCGGGGACGAGGCCAGTCAAGAAGAAGAGGGGGGAAGCACCATGGAGCAACTCTCCTTGGATTAAAATACTGATGAAATATGATGAGACAGACAATAAGAATAACGACGACTGACTGATTGGATGATGGAAAGAAAAAAGGTTTCTTGGAATAGTGTCCAAGGAACGATACACTAACAAAGTAGTAGCAGTCTTGTCTCGTCAGAGAACAACAACAACAACAACAAACAAACTAGAGAATAGAGAGTGGAGGATGTATGTATGCATGTATGTATGTAGAAGAGGAATAAAAATAGTGTCGCCACTAGCAGAAATGATACATTCTTTGTTGGGTACTATTCCCAGCATTTTTTAAAATTTTCATTCCTTGTATCTCTTCAAGGAGATTATGGAAGTCACCTACAAGCAAAACAATAGGACGACGACCAAGGTTGGTCCCGTGGTTGGGGTCCCGCGTCTGAGAGTGTTTATACCGAAGTAGGAGGCCAACATTCATTCATTCATTCATATCGTGTACTGAAAAGCAATTATTATACAGGAGTTGTCGTCGTGTTTGAATGCACCATAGTACACAGTGCGCCACCATGATATGAGGAGACGTTTTAGGACCATTGAAACATTGCCAAGGTGCAAGTTACGGATCCGAATGAATGAATGTATGTATGTATGATGACATCCGACTTCAATAAGGTTCTTCGAACGCCGACAATAAGAAAGCAAAGCTGCCTACAACAATCCAAAGCTGGTACTGCCGCTTTTCTGCCTATAAAGCCTTGGGTCTTCTTCTGCTTGTCATCCTACATCACGATGATACAATACATGCATTGCAGACGATGGGTAAAGGCTCGATCATCGGGGGGACTTTTATGATATTGAAGAAAACTATTTCCATTGTTTACGGGGAAAGCATCCACAGCGTTCCCCTTTTATATTGGCGCCGCGATTGGAAAATTTCACATCGGAGTAATCACCTAAGTAAGATGCCGATGGATGTCGTGGTGACAGGGATAGGATATCGGTTTGAACCCCATACTTATGGCATTTGAATGAGAAACAGTCCGCAACGGCTAGGAATGGCGGGAGACATAGAGTGGCGCCCCAAAACACACATGGTTGTCTACGGGAATGAAAAAATTGTTAGAGGCTCCACGTGCAAAGTCATTTTAGAGAATATTCACTGCCGTACCAGTGATCGAGCTCTTTGATCGAGGCACCACCAAACAAACTCGTAAAACTTCACAAAATCTGTTTCGCAAACAAAACAATAGAATGCCAGAATCCAAGCAGAAGTATAGTAATAGCACTAGAATGACGGAACTAGAGATTCCCTTTGACGAGCAGATTGCTAATGAACACCACTCATTAGTAAAGTCAGCCTTGAGCAAGAATTCTTCCATGGATGACACTACCTCAACCGTCTGCTGTGACTCCTCTTCTGATGATGATGGTGATTCTTCATCATCATCATCTCATTCTTTTTCTGCCAATCATCACTCAGTCGCTTGTGCAGTGGATCGTTGTTATCAACAATACAAAGAGAGTGATTCGTACGAAGTGGAATACAGTCTAGCCGAATACGAATCCAAAGTCTATTTGGAAGATTTGAAGGATCGCCTCGTCGATGAAACACCAATCATTGAAGAATTGGTGGACGAGGACATTGGAGATGAGTTTGACTATGATGAGGACGATTATGATTATGAAGATGATGAGGATTCGTTTCTTTCATTGAATTCTTTGGAAAAGGAAGACTTTGAGGTTTTCATTGAAGAAAACTCCAAGCTGGGACCCAAAATGGGAGGATGCTTGGGATTGGTGCGCATGGGAATCTTTGAACGCGATAATGAAGAAGACAATGATGACGACCTTTTGTATGCCTACGGTGACCTTCACTTGATGCAAAGTATGACGGACCAATCTAGCATCTACGATGTTCCGGACGAACAGCAATCATCGAAAGCAGCAGAACCTTCTGGGGAACGATTTGTGGTCCGTGAGATCAATTACACAAAGGATGGGTCATCACTTAAGAATGCCAATGTTGTCACTGGAATCAACTTGACAGAAGGAGCACCCGTTCTCGAGACAGCCAGTGTCAGTTCTGACGAAGACTGGGGTGATGACGATGATGATGATGATCACACTCATAACGCTTCATCCATTTATTTGGGAGGAGCCTCCATTCAGTTTGCTGATGATGAACGCAGCAATGCCTCGTTGATTCTTACTTGCGAGTTGAACTTTGAAGATGACGACGATGAGTTTGATGATGATGACGATGACGAGGATGATACTGATGAAGAAGATAGTATCATCAATTACGCCATGCCCACCAACTTGGAACCAGATGGCATCAAGATGCGCTCCAAAGTGGACGGACTCATTGCCGAGATTCGAGGCTTTACATTGGATCCCAATGGGTTTCCAATTGCCCAAGACTTGGAAGTCCTTCACCTAGAAGAAGAACCTCAATGTGAGATTCTGGAGGTTTGAATGCCACATTCAGGAAAAACAACAGAATCCCTCCATCAATCCCTCAATCCCATCACATAGACAGACAGCAATATATGTCCCCGTAACAATGTTGTAAGAACCGAGGCCAAGGTAACTGGGGTGTTGAAAACGAACCCGAGCTCCATGGAACAAGATTGCAAGCAGTCCAAGTTGCATTCCAATTCATTCATTCAGCAAGACTGAGTCCCTCAAAAGTCTTTCCATCAAACAATAGAAGTGCATCATCATGGACAAAAAGCGCGCTGGAAAAGAACTACCTACGGTACCGTACATCACGTATTCGTGCAACAGGAGAGCATTTTCGACTAACTGACTAAGAATTGTAATAGCAGATACGCCCCACACATTTAAAAGAATAAAGTCTTGTCTAGTTTTGTTTAGTTTCTTTTTTTAGTTCTATTGGTGGACGATTGAGTGGCAACCATTGTTGCCTTGACCTATTTCGGTACCATGAGAAAAGTAGTTGGGCTCACGACTGCCCGACACTATTATGGACTTGCTGAATCAATCAATCAATGAATCATTCGAGCTGTCCCTCAATAATACCGCAAGTAGTAGGTAGGTTTTATATATGCAAAGAGAATGATTCCAAATCATTCTGTTCTCTTGCGCGGTATAATACCTGCTTGCCTGCCTAGCACGCAAAGGTTGGCGGTTGATTGGGCGGATAATTCACAACCACATCCGGTAACCGTTCGAACAATTGGCTCTCTCCCTCTTCCAAAATGGTGGACAAGTTTGCATTATTGTTGTCCATAGCAGTAGTAGTGGTAGTGGTGATAATAGTGGTTGGGCGCTCGAGTTCCAAATACTGTTGTTTTGGTTGTGGATCTCGTAGTTGAGCAACGTCTTCTTTTTTTGGTACTACTACCAAGTCCTCATTGTCGTACAATCCAGTAAAGACACTGCTTCCGTGATCACTTTCGTCATACGAAACACTGGAGGGGACTTGTTGCTGCCTGGACGAGGGTGCTTCTTCTTCCTTTTTTTCGTCTTCTCCGTTCATGCGACTACGAAAGTGACGACGCCGATCGTGTTGTTGCTTCCGATGTTGACGTTTTCGATATTCCTCATCCGTCACAAAGGGTTGTGGATGTTGTTGACAATTCGCCGACTTTGGTGGTTGATTTTGTGATTGTGGCGTTTGGGCCTGCTTGACGCATCCAAATGCCTTGAAATAATCCATCACATAAGATGGAACGGCATTGCAAAACATGTTGAGCCAAATCTCTTCTTGTAACATGTAGTCATCGTTTAAAGGCTTTGTTCGAGCCTTGCGGTTTTCCTTCACCACATCATGGCCATCCTGTTCATTCTTGTTGGTACGATGCGAACTGGTGGTGTTGTAGTGCAAGGTCTTTTGAATGTCGTTTTGGCGATGACGGGCCGAATAGTCACGAGGACGACGTCTTGTTCGAGAAGGTGGTCGGCGACGAGACTGTTCCAGTTCTTGATCATCATCTTCTTCGGAAGAATCCGTTGCTTGTTCTCGTGACAATTCCAATTCTTTGCGCCGATTCAGTTTTCGCCGACGGTCTTCTCGCTTGTGTTCTTTCTTCTTTTGCTGTTGTTGCATAAAGAGGTTGACAATCCCATCAGTCACCGACTCTTGGGCTTCAAAGGAATCTTCAAGAGTTACGGGAAAGGGAGAGTACTCCTCCTCCTCCTCTTCGGAGGTGGAGGAAAAGTTGGAAGAGGACGAAGCATCGTCCGTATAGGAAGAGGCTTCGCTATCGGAAGGTGCCGACGTGTCAGGAGTAACATTGCCCTTCTTCATCACTTCCATTTCCAATAGATTTGGTTTGGGAATAGGAGAAGATGATATTTCCATGGCAGCCATGTCCACATCCACTTGATCATGTTGATTCGAGGGTGTGGTGGGCGGAATGGCGGATGGTGACGGCGAGCATTCCTCCACGCTAGCATCGCCTTGGTCCTTGCTAGTAGAAGCAACACTGGAATCCATAATGTCGACACCAGCAAGAGAACCACCAGTCTGTTGGCTGTTAAGGTCATCATCATTTTCCGTTTCTTGTTCCTCCTCGATTGGAAAGGCGTATGAGACATCCGTAGTGGCAGCAGCAACAACCTCAGGGTTACTAGTCACATTGTTGGTAGTAGGAGTCGTCGCCGCCGTCATTGGGGAACGCTGAAGATCTGATGCTTCTTCGTCACTAGGAAGACCTTCATTGTTATTGTTGACATGAAGTTGAACTGTCTCTTCTTGTTCTTCTGGCGACGATGACGATTCTGATGAAGATGACGAAGGAAAGGCTTCCGCAACATCACTGCATGTCACTTCCTGGGATGATTCAGTAGCAGCAATCTTGACGCTAACATTGTTGGTGACTGGAGTGGCAGCAGAGGTCATGCCTTCTGAATCTTCATCGTCAGCGCTTTTTGTTCTGGCAGTGCCATCATTGGATAGTGATGCCACCATCTTTAGTTTTTCTTCCGTGCTCGGACTACAACTAGACATCATGATGATGATGATGATGTTGCCTTGATGCCTTGATCAATGACGTTGATGAAGATGTCAGGGCGGTGTTGTGATAAGGTTCCGATATGGAAAGATTTAATATACTCGCTCAATACTGTACCGGTACTGTACCAGAGAGGTTAAAACTGTTGGCGGTTCTTTTGGAGGGAGATCACATTCGAATTGAATGATGATAGAGCTTATTGTACTATACCTACGGTATCTATACTGAACGTTCCAAAATCAAATCAAGCTTCCGTATCTTTTGCCGCCCAATTCAAATTTGAGTTGTGGGATCGGCAGGCCGGCGTCATTTTCAAAATTGAAGATATTGTCGAAGGAGTCATATAGTAATTTTTGTCACGTAAAATTTGGGAACGAGAATTTTCAGATTTTTGACGGTCCATCAAAAAGTCCCGTGTCCGAAGCAGGATTGCTCGAAAAACGGAGTTGAGTCGCACGGAGATAACATTTATCTGATTATCTTATATCCATCGATCTTGCCAAGAACAAAAAGGTCCCAGCACGGCACACACACCAGCAAACCTTCAGCCGCGTCAATACAAATTTGGCAACCCTACAGTACTGTTTCATATACCAATTGCATTGCATTCTAGTAAATAGCAATACAGCAAGAGATCCATTGATTCTAATTCATTGATTCATTCATTCCATCAAACAAGAAGATACGATTATCATATTTTTTCTAATACACGCGTTGTTTCCCACAAAAACCTGAAACCTTACATCGATTTTCACCAACAAGCACGATGGCCCCCGGAGTAGAAGAAGAAAGACAAGAAATTGATCAATCATACGCAGATCATAGCATTGTATATGAAAATAACGATCTTACTAGTAGCAAGAAGAAAAAGAAGAAGAAGACTCCTCGATCAGCTTCATCCAAGAAGAAGACGAAGAGTATAGCTACGTCATCATCCAGCATGTCCCTGCACGATTGGAATGTGGTAGAGAAACCAACCAACGACTCGAGCAGCGAGTTTTCAGATGACGAGTACCAAACGGATCTGTTGGAAGAAGCACAAGAACAAATCAAACGCATTGACCACATTATTGCCAGCAGCGTTTGCAAAAAGAGCATCTGCAGCAGCAGGGATAGCCTTGATTCCTGCAGCGACTTTGACAATGATGATGATGATAATGATGTCGTGGAAGTAGCTGAAGTATCGGTGGTGATTGAGAATCCTCCGAGCAGTGGTGACACTAGCGACTTTGAAGACGACGATGATGATGATGATTTGGAAGAATTAGAAGCTTCGTGCATTGAGGATGGCGTTGTAGTAGAGGAGGAGGATGGTGTTGTCGTCGTTCACGAAGACGACCTTCCAAACCTGCTCGACAAATTCGCAATCGGAGACAAGCCAAACAACAATGCGGAGATTGCTATTGGCAAAGAACCTCCATATCTAGGACTAACAATGCGGCAAAGAACGCATCTCAAGAGAAATAATAGCTTGATTCCATCCGGCATCGAAGGCCGAACAAAATAGAGAAATGCTGATGCATTGGCATCACAGCACCGTCGACATTTCCATTGGAACGACTTGAGGCAAGAACACTATACATCACAAGGTATTCACTCATTTAGATTATAATTTTATAAAACCATTTGTCATATTGAAGACTACATGGATCACTGGAGCTTGTGGAATACGAGAGTCAGTTACGGACAACGAACTAGATGCCATGAAAGATGGGTCATAGTTTCGTATTGCCAAAAGCTCTTATAGAATCCGACCAATCATTAATATATTATGTTTCGACGATCAGAGGAATCCATCCGTTCGCAGCAGTTCGGATCCCGCAGTGAGTCAGCAAGTCCAACGAATATACAATAATAGCGCACTTCTGCTTCGGCAAGGAAAACCATTCTGTGGGAAATGCCGCCGCCGGCTAGCTCCGACTCTCCAAGAGACGCTGCAGCAAAGATCTGTGGAGACCTCCATTTGCCCCTTCGTGTCAGTATGTGATCGTCCCCAACGGGTTCTTCGAAGAATTTTGAGGGCTTCTGCACTCGCAGCAATGCCTTCTTCTATCAGGCCTTGTTCAACTTTGACAGCCGAAATATTCCCATGTAGTGTTGCGGCCATTTTGGACTTATACTACACTTCTGCCACTTTAGCCAATTTGCGAGAAGCGATACGATAGCGATTATTTCCGTGTAAACATCCATCGCCTCATGGAAGAGTTGTATCGCTCGCCATATCCGAATCGCCTTGCGCACTCATTGCCAATCCTTGTTCGTTCAGTGCTTTCGCAGTTTTCTCGCGTTTGAAACCTTTCAGGGTAGTCATCATCAGATTCTTGGTGAGTGGATGTATATAATCATTGCCAAGCATCGATTTGCGAATGTTGATGGCTTTCCCGCAAGCCTCGATGGCCAATTCTGGCATGCCTTGCAGGGAATAGGCTGCTGCAAGTTCTTCATAGGTATCTGCTGTATCGGTGTCCAAATCACCTTGCGCTTCCTTCTGTATCGTTAGCAAGTTAGCGAACACCTCCGCGTACTCCCTTGGAGATTCCCTAGGCATTTTGCTTTTGTTTCGAGCGAATTTATCAACACATGTTGTATTCGAGAGCACTTTCGATGCCTCTATCAATCATCTGAAGCGCATCTTCATGCCTATCTTGGTCTGTCAACAACCCTGCAATTGCTTGATACGATATTACAACGTGTGTGCCCAGTAGTCTCTCAAGTACGAGCCTCTGTATGTGAATTGCTTCTGAAAACTTGCATTGCACTCTCAAAGATTGCGCTATTTGTTGGTATAGTTCCGTCACTTCAGGATGGGTGCTCGGAAGAATCTCGAGGTTGATACATCCAGAGCTTTTCGGAACATTTCTCCGGCTTTTTCGTTGTTACCTTGACTCAGACAGAGATCGATTTTGAGGATGGTGACCACGTTTGGATCATCTATCTTCCCCCGGTCTGCTGCGTTCGTTTGTTGTTCCAAATGTCTCCGTTGCTTTTTTCTTCGCTGCATTCCTTCAAAAGGCACTGCTCCAAGGGATCGAGCGCCGGTTCTTGTGCGTCGGCCTTCATTGCTTTCGATTCTATATTTTCGAGATGTTCAGATTGCACATGTGATGATGAGATGCGTGCGGTGCGCAATTTCACACCTTTTTGCGGTGTACTCGTAGTTGGCTTATCGGTGGTGTATATATTATACATCGTCCTGGCGTTATTCCGCTTATGATGACCATCTTTTATTACAGTATTGTACCTAATAGAAAACGAGTTGTCTCATTCATTTCATTTACAGTAATATAGGATTAGGACTACTACCTTTAGTTTCTGTACACGGAAAAGACGGCCAAAAAGTTATGCGTTGTGAATCGTCCAGCATTGGAATCGGCCTTGACCTTGATACTCATGGGTCCGACAAGTCTTTCTTCCGTAAACTTCTTGCATGTGGGCAAATCCGAAAGAGACTCTCCTCCGGTATGTTTGACCTCAACATTTGGAAGAATTTCCTTCTTGGTCTTGCCATCCACAACGCAAAAGTTGGCTCCAAGCTTGGATCGAGTGTAAATGGTAATATCCACTTGTTCCCCCGCAGCAATTTCAAAACTTGAAGCTCCCGAGCCACTGTAAAGAGAAAATGATAAGATGATGATGATGAGAATCAAATACAAAAAAGCAACAAGCTTTGCATCGTCACATTTGTCTCTTTCCATTCCAATTCAATATCCATTCCAACTTCAATATGAATAACAATTATTTTTTGTGTACTCACCGCACGTAAATGACTTCGGTATGGACCTTTTTCAAGTCACCAATATAGTTCGCCTTTTCAATTTCCGTTTTGGAGTCGGTAGCCTTGCCACCATAATCGGAAGGAAGTTGTTCGACATCAATGATTTGGCGCAACTTTTCTTCCCACTTGTCACGACTGGACACGACTTCGACCTTGGATGCGGTACGAGGGTCTATCCAACCCTTGATCATCTTCCAGGTAGCACTAAAGAATCTTGGTCCATTGACAATGTACATCTTGTTCATGGTCTCCGGGAAACAGAGAGAATCAATCGCCGATTGATCCTTGACAATGGCCAAGGTTCGTTGGGACAATTGCGACATGGTCAGGCCTTCGAGATCCAAAATGCAAATGCATTCAAATCGCTTGAATTCGGGATTCTTTTCCTTGTACGAACGGAGTCGGTTGCCAAAGTCGTGCATTTGTGCAAACCAATGGAACTTGACGACATTTTCTATGGTGGTGACGCACTCGACCGCGTCCGTGTTGAGGACACCTGGTTTGGAGATGAATACGGGAGCCCCGTTCATGCCGTATCCAGTGTAGCATTGTGGATATTGAGAAATGTAATGACTGACTTCGCACCCAATGGCTTTGGATGGATCGGGCCAAAAGTCGGCACGCTTGGCTTCGGCACGGCATTCGGTAGCTCCTTCCACCATCGCGATGGTATCCGCCAAATTGTACTTGCGAGCACGAAGCCATCTGCAGTAAGCGTAAACTTCACCTTCGACAGTACCGAACGAGTAGATTGTATCCTTGAAGTCCTTGTCACGTTTTTCGACTTCCGCCTTGAATTTCATCTGTAATGAAAAATAATCAAAGTCGTTGAAAACAAAGTGAGACGACTCTTGAATCTAATATAGTAGATAAAACAGCATGGCATACCATCCATAGATTCATAAATGCTACAACTGAAACTGGAACTGAAACGGAAACGGAAAACTTACATAAGTGTCGGCTTCTTCCTCACTCAAATGACCAGGTTGTCCCCACAGCATTAGCTGATCCAAATCCTTTGTCTTCTTGCTCTTTCCAGCAGCAGCTTCCGCATCTTCGGCAACCTTTGCCATGAGCTGTTCCTTGTCCCAGACTTCGATAATTTCACCAGAAGAATCCATTTTGAATATTGTTGTTTCTTGTTTGGTAGTAGTGGCTGTACTGTTGTTGTTTGTGTTTGTGTTTGTGTAGATAGCAGTAGCAGCTGAAGTATCGGTGCTAACTGAAGTGCTTGTATTAATACGGTCTGTGGTTGCTTTCAAATGATGGGTCGAATAGCTTCGTCGTAGTTGTTGTTCACTATTATCAACTTTTTTGAAATGAATCAAGAAATGACAAACGGTGCTATAAACAATAGTAGACGGAGAAGAGAAATAGACAAGGAGGAAAGTCTATTGTACTTGATTTGCAACAGATGCGATATACCGTAGCTATGGTAGGGTGAATGAATCAATGAAGGAATGAATCAATGAAGGAATGAATGAATGAATGTAATCTATCCAATACACGTCGTCTTTTCCCCAAAGCCATCGATCGGATGACCCAATTTTCCAAAACTCGTTTCCGTGTGAGGTGCCACGATGATGCTGAATATGAAAAAAGGCTTGTTGAACCAGCGTGTTTAGTCGCATAACGCTGTTGAGATCAAATACGAGAGACAAAAATACGCACTAAACCATAGCAATTGTGGAGAATCCCGTTTTCCTGCCCGTGCAGGCTAGCTGCGCTAGTAGTTTTGCTCCGGCTGGCGGAATGAATGCAACCGTTGGAATAAAATAAAAGCGCTGCCTTGCTTTCGCCCGTACTTCGCTCGTCCATCTTCGTCCGTCAAGTCGAAGTATTCCATTCGATCGTTTGTGGATGACTCGCGATCCTTGAGCTTCAAGGAAGGATGTGGATCGAATCGAACGACCATGAGCCTCAAAATTCCGTTGGTTTCGAAGGTGTGTGTGTTGTTTGTGGCTTTCTGTTTTGTTGTGATGTGGATGCTAGTAGCAACGGCGTTGGGATCGGAGTGATTCAACAATATGAATGGGCATTGTGCTGAAAGTCCAAGAAGAAGTTGAATGTCGATCCTGATCTTTCCCGTAGAGCTCTACCAGTACTTACGGAAAGTGACACCCGATGATGTTCTGGCATTCATTTGATTCCAGCCTTGGCATACAACCCGCCTTTCATTCCATTTTATTCCATTCCATTCCATTCCATTCGAATATAATCTTTGGTGCTTTTGCAATTGTTTCGGATAACCAATCTCTCACTCTTCTACATTGGTTCTTTCATTCAATCTTTCACAGATTATCATAAATATCCAAAATGGCCAAGCTTAGTTTCGTTGTTCTTTCCACGGTTGTCGCTGCCTGCGCTGCCTTCACCACCCCAGTTGCCCAGACTCGCTCTACTGTCATGCCCACCAAGGAAGCTTCTTTCGCCTTGAACATGGCCGAAGACACCTACTGGGAGGGTGAATACCCACCCTCCAAGGTATTGGGACCCCTCATGTCCAAGATGCCTTCTGGTATGCTTGGTATTATCTCCCTTGTCTTGCTTGGAATCACCATTTCTTCCTGCGCATCCTCTGGTGCTCTTATGCAAGAGCCAGGTGCCATGGCCAACGGATCCTGGGTCAAGCCAGAATACGTTCTTGGTTCCTTCATGGGTCCTTTGGCCTGGGGAACACATGTTGCTGCCTGGATCCAACGCAAGAATGGAATGTAAAAAAAAAGTTTTGTTACAGAATGACAAAATGGTACATCCTCTACTACTACGTTTGCAACTTGTGCAACACACACAAAATGGATTCAAGGATGATTCTTCATCCTCCCTCCATGATGATATTGCGCTTGACACAGAAACACACAAAACACGAACACAATAATACAACAATACTAAACTTGCTTTTTATCTCGGCTTTTATGTCTTCTATCTTAGCACAATGCAGGTAGCATTATAATAGCATTTGCCGGTAGATGAAGGATCACCATGCCATATTTCATGCCTCCGGCGGCAGCTGCCCAGCACCATGATGGGTCGTGTCCTCCTGCTCAGAGCTACATCATAGTAATTGGACTGCTGTTCGTTCCAAAGTCGGCAAGAATATTATATATTATATATGTTGGGGGTCATATCTTTCAATATAAGCAGCCAGAGCGGGCGGGAAACAAAACCAAAGAGTTGGAGCGTATGCTGGAGATTCATTCAATGCTTTTTGTGACTACTACCGGTAGGGGGCGGCCCGAGGAAAGAGAGAGTGTCAAGAACTAAAACAGTACCATCTGAACACAGATTGATTGATTGATTGATTGATTGATTGATTGATTCATTCGTTTTATATATTTGCATCATCGTCGCGGTATCATCGTCATTATCTATATATATGAATGCAGAATCGAAAAACAATCGAGGGCAACGAGCAAGATTCGGCTACAAATCTCTTCGATCAGTGCCAAGCCTATTTGAAGCAAGGAAACGACGAAAAGGCAAAGGAGATATTGGAAAGAGTGTTGACGATTCAAACGAAAGACTTAGGAGGCGATAATCTAGATTTGGCCGAGACACTCAAAGCGATGGGAGATTTGCTGCTGAGGGAAGGACAATTAGATGGAGCATCGGATAAACTCAATAGAGCTCTTGAGATACAGCTGAAGGAATTGGGTGAAAACCATGTTTGTACATCAAATACCTACGAAGGCATTGGCCACGTGTTTTTTGCACAACATAACGATCAAAAGGCCGAAGAAATGTTCCGACAAGCTCTGGATATCAGGCTCGCAACTCAGGGAGAAAAACATGGTGACACAGCATCAACCTATAAAAACATTGGCGATGTCTCTCTGAGTCAAGGAAACTTCGAAAAAGCCGAAGAAATGTTCCGAAAAGCTCTGGATATCAACCTCGAGATTCTTCCAAAAACCCATCCTGATGTGACGAATTTGTACCATGATATAGCAAAGTCGCTGAGATTTCAAAGGAAGTTTTCAGAAGCAACCAACATAGCAAGGCTCGTACTTGAGACAGTACTAGTCGTGCACGGAGAAGACCACCTTGACGTTGTAAAAGCATATCTTGGAATTTCAGGGCTTTTGGGAGACCAAAATAGGAATCACGATGGTCTTCAAATGCTGGATAAAAGTATCGAAATTTGTTCTCGACTGCAAGGGCAAGGACAAGGAGACTTTGATATACATGTCTTGATAAATGCGCTTGCAATGAAAGCAATTTGTCTTCAAAAACTAGGGAATATCCAAGGTAGCACAGAGGTGTTGACCAACATACTAACGATAACGAAGGAAACGCAAGGTGAAATGCACAGCTCCACAGGTGATACCTATGAAGAACTTGCAGCAGCATATCGCCGACAAGAAATGCCAGAATTGGCCCTTGAGGCTTGTGGGAAAGCCATCAATATTCGCAAAGCAACGCTGGGCAATGACCATTTCCTCACAAAGAATCTTAGGGCATCTCTAAAATTGATAAGACGCGAGAAACAGGCGAAAGAACTAAACGAACAGGGACTAGCAATGAAGGCGCAAGGCGATTCGGAAAAGGCGATGCAACTCTTCCATGAGGCTCTGGATATTTACACGGAAATAGTCGCTACTAGTAGTACCGGTCATCACAAGTTGGTCAAACTGGCAGAAGTACATGGGTCCAAGATGGCAGCAATACACGAGAATATTTCGGCTATCAAAGTTCAGCAAGGCTTGCTGGAAGATGGCATTGCTGCCAGTGCAGAAGCCCTCAAGATTCGTCGAAGGGTTCATGGAGACGACCATGCTGACACGAAGGCGCGTATGGAAGCGCATCGATCTTTGCTGAAACGTCTCTTGGAAAACCAAAGCCAATGATGATTTCTTCTTTGGTAATGCAATATTCAGCGAAATAACTATGACGAGCATATTCTCCCCACGTGGTGGATCTTCGGGATGGCAAGCTATTCAGGGAACTGCTACGAGAACGAGGGCCATCGCACGGAAAAATCACAGGATCAACCAAACAGACACAAGACGAGGACGTTCTAGTATCTTCCATTGCTGGTTTGCAACGTGGTCAGAGACTTGAGTTGAAATGTATATCTTTCAAGATGTAGAATGGTGGGGCATACGGAAAGATTCAATCGTTCAGCAGCCAATTGCTGGTGACTGGCATCACGTCAAACCTCATGTTGGCTGCTTCGTGAAGAGTATCATCATGTGGTGGCCCTAAAGTATTGTTCAGAGATCCTTCCACAGGGTCCATTTTCAGCCGGCTTTGCTATTTCCTATTATTGACGAATATACTTCGGTACTGTCTGTGACTTTCACCTTTGACAAGAAACACTTTTGATAGTGGGAGTGGCTTTATTTGACACGATCTTGAATCTTATTGAGTCCCTTGAAGTACGCCAAAGATGTGATGGGTTTTACTTGTAAAGCGGGAAACGTTTGAATTTGGGTCGTGACAAACCTGCATGGCTTGCAAAGTCCTTAAGTAAGCGAGGAGGCAGACATATCACATATATGGCATTCTATAATTAGCCAAATTCGCATATCTTCCCTCACACATCGAAAGAATGAAGCACAACGGCGGTATCCTTCTTGTTGTCACGCTCCACAACGCAAGTTTGAGAATCCAAAATCAAAGGAAAGAAGCAATAGCATGACTATCTCGACGAAGAGAGCCTCACCAGTGTTGCCTCTGTCATCAGCACTGCCGTCTGAGTCCTTACCAGCAACGCCCCTGGGGGAACAACATTTGAAGAAAGGAAATCTGGACGAAAAATCATCAGATAACACACAAAGCCCAAAGATACGGCATTTCAAAGAGAATACTCTCGACGTTATACTTCAACAAGAAGCTAAAACGTATCGCTCACAGTCTCTTCAGGGGCTTGACGCTTTTCCCAGCAACGACCAATCGTGCGTCCTGGATTGGTTTCGAACAATGACACAATTTTGCTACACCGTTGTGGATTGTTGTGAATTACCACAGCAGAGTGTGGAAGTGGCTATCAATATTCTGGATCGATTCTTGTTTGGTGATATTGAAGCAAGGATACCACTGATACTTTTATCCTCAGATTCTTCATCACAATCGCTGATGTCAATGAGGCTCGAAATCCTAAGTTCCTCTTCCAACTTTCAACTGGCCACAATGACATGTCTATACATTGCCTGCAAGCTTTTCTCTACCAAATGTCTATTTCTTGTTCAGCTGGAGCGTCTATCTGGAAACACAGCTACTGCACGCGATATTGAATCCATGGAGCGGCAAATCTTGAGTCATTTACAGTTCCAAATCAATGCTCCCACCATTGTCTCCTTTGCACAAGAATACGTCCAAGAGGAACTCCAAATATGGAGTTTTCCCGTTACGGAGCATAGTGATTGCGACGGAGAAAGCCATAGCGAAGACCAGCGATTGCTTTTCTTGCACTTGGTAGAACAACAATCGCGGCTGGCCACATGCAAACTCTATACATTTCATGTTCCCATCTCTTCCATCGCGTTGGCATGTGTCAAGAATGCTTTGGAGGTCATGGAAAACGTAAACCCCACTATGAAATTGCCAATCTTTCAAACTTTGTGGTCGGACTTGGAGAACAAGGTGCGATCCTACTACTACGACGACCAGCGTGATATTGCACTCGTCCAAGAACAACTGCAATCCAGTTTGCGGATCATTACTCTGGAAGCGATGCAACAATGGGCCAATTTGGATCAAACAAATGATGTACCTATGCGTGAGGACAATTCCCAGCATTCTTCGTCAAAGTTATTCTCCTTGTCCCCACGCACTCCAAATGCATCATCACCAACAGCAGTGATTCACTCGTGACATATCACACGGAGATGACACCAATGCTAGAATATAATGACTTAGTGGGGTGATGGTGAAATAATATGGTGACACTTGAAATTTCTGCCATGAAGTACAGTACGGTATAGTATCCGCATTAACTTGCACAATACTGTACTAAACGCGGTAATTTTATTTAGGATCGCTTACACCGGTATTTTCTGATTACATCACAGAACCCGGATCTTGAACTTTTTACTGCCACCCGCCGATCGAACAAAAGCGTTTTTCAACCGGGGTGCGACATGTACAATGTACGTACATGCATGCAATACGTGTACCGGCGAGGTATCACATGTTTCACGGCGGGATGTGTTTTTTAAACGTGGATTTGAACCTATCAAAGTACTTCCATGTTAAACACACCGTTGGGTGAACGCAGTGCAGACAGCGATCGTCAAACACCGCAAACCTCACCACCATGACAACAATTTTTTAAAACTCTACACTGGCTTAGAATTAGATTGAATTTTGTGGTCGAATGTTAATATATTGTATTTTACCTAGTTGCGGGAAGGAGAAACAGTGCACAATCATTCATTCAGCCATGATATGTAGATTTTCGTCATCTTAGTCTCACCTCTGTCACTCTGCCCACTTGACGACAGCGCCCAGCCATGCTGATTTGCAAGCCAACTAGAAGATTGTATATCCGGGGTCCTTTGGGGCATCTGATCATGGGCTTCGCTCCGCCAAATACGAGTACTGTAGTTTTACGTTCACCGAATTTTTGCCAACATCAAGGATAATAATCGTGTTCCCGTTCCACTACAAAGCTGGGCGTCATGCGATCCTGGCGTCTTGATGAAATCTCCTTTTCTCCTATTTCCTGATTCCGAGCGTGCCATCCTTCATCGCCAAACGACTATATTTTTTTTTAAAAATAGAAAAATAACGTTTGGAAAAAAGGCATGTTTGACAATAAAGCAAAGAAACAACAGTCTCCCTTTACTCACCCACCCACGGAATGGGATTCCTTCAGAAGGCCTTTTGCGCTGGGCCACAACGACAGCTGACCCATGCGAACTCGCAACGACCGAATGAATATGGCTTTTCAACGGGAGGGGAAGCATCCAATGAGTGTGACTATGACAATAATCCAACACAACTTTACCAACTTTTGGAGATGAAATCGTGGTCTCAGGCAATGGACTTTCTAGTCGAAGGGAAATATGACTCGAGTACTATTGATAATAATGTCTGTCGAATTCCGTACAATAAGCAAGTTTCCGTATGGGTCACGAGGTATGATCGAAATGGAATAAAAATAAGATGGTCACACATTCCACTTCACGCGGCAGTCATCTTTGGAGCACCATTCACTGTGATCAAGAAGCTAGTGGAACTTTATCCTGATGGCGTTAGATGTGCCGATGACCAGGCGATGCTGCCACTACACCTTGCGTTCAAGCATCTGACGAATGTGAATAGCCTGCGTCTCGTGATGAACGAGTTTCCTGATGCCATATTCACCAAGGACAACCGAGGTCGTCTTCCATCAGATATCCGGGACGACGAGATATCAATCATAATACAACGCGTCATTTCTTGTGCCACGTCTCGTATTAAGCAACAGACGGAAGATCGAGACACCAAAGAGATTACAGAATTGAGGAAAGCACTTTTGGAGCAGAAACGGGAAGCTCAGGTCGACGACGGCGTAGCGCGGCGACACCAGAACGACCTGCAAGCCCGCGATGCAACGATAGAAGTCTTACGGAGTCAGCTCGAAGTCTTGCGTTTCGAACTACAGAGTATGGAAAAGAAATCAACATACTCATTTCCGTTCATGCAATCCGCGGGCCATGATTCTAACGGTGAACAGGGATATCAACTGAGACGCGGCATCGAACTCGAAGCCGAGAACGAGGAGTTGAAGGCAAAAGTAAATGCTTTGCAGAAAGAGCTGACAGCAATGAATACAGCACTGCAGAATCAAGAGAATCGAAAAAATATGATTCGAATTGATGACAACGATGTTCATCGCTTCACAGAACTGAGCGAAGCGATGGTGTCTGAACGAAATAAATACGAACAAGAGAAACGAAAGAACAATGTATTGGCAGCAGAAAATGAAAGGATGAAGGAAGAAATTGCTCGAGTACGTGCGAGTGTGAGCGAAAGTTACCGATTGTCCGATTACGTTGAATCTGGAGGAAATTCAGGTGCAGAGAACAGAGCCCCCACGAAGGAGCGTTTTGTGCCCCAGGAGCGTATCACGAGTTTAAAGATGGCGCCCGTCGGTGTTGGATCGAAGGATCTAGAGTCCTTCTTGGAAACTAGGCTGTTGAAGGAGTTGGACATCGAGAACAGACGACTCGAGAAACAGCTAGCCGCGAACAACAATGTGGACGTGAGCGCATTGCTCAACAAACAATCAAGATTACAAGAAATGGAAAGAGAGGTGAAACACTTTCAAGGCAACTCGCAACGAATTTTTGGGGGTGGGGTCCTCACAACAGCACCCCAGCAGTCAACAATAAAAAGATACGACGAGGATGATCATAGTAGACGAAGAAGCAATGATGACGCCTTCGTAGATGAATACAACCGAGTCCGCAAACAAGCAAGTGGTGCCTATAGAAGATGATGAATAATTCCACTGAATGATTGTAGCTTGCTTCAAAAAATACCTATCAGATTCAAAATTGAGTAGGATCATCGCATACGCATTCGCATTTTCATAAAAGTCATATTTTTACTTATGATTCATATTACTGTATCTACACGCGATCTCGAAGTGGTGAAGAAACGCGTCTTGCGCAACACTGCGCGTCCAGATAAGAACCGCTCCTTCTTGCCGTAAAAACACGTCGGATAAACATAGTACGCGACTGGGTTTTCAAACAGGCATCATTAATATCAATGAGGCAAGAGCATCTATGTTGTCACAATCACAATCTACCAGTACTGTCACATTCTTGAAGCTGATACCAACATCATGAGCCGACAACGACAGCAGCAGCAAGGGCAGCAGGAGCAACAAGAGCAGCAAGAAGAACAAGACGAACAACAAGAGCAGATGCCTGCTCGTCCTGAACAACGGAATCAAGTTCATGACCAAGCGCGACAGGATGTACAACAGGATGGGCTCCAGGTCCAAAACTTTCTAGAGTTTACGCCCCGGCAACAGCACGCTTGGCTCCGAGCACGATGTGACTGGTGCTTCGCAGTCGCAGACCACTTTCAACCAATGACATACACAACAGTTGAAATTGCGATCAATATGCTCTGCGACTATATGATGCACAGCGGTCGACTACATGAGTTGCCAATGGGCCATGTGTTGAGATGTTCTACGGCTGCTTCTTTGAGGATAGCAATGCTTCTGAACGAAGGCAACTACATGACTCTTCAGCAGCTCATACAGATCGGCCAGCATCGTTTCATAGAAGACGAAATCTTCGAAAGCGTCTTTCACATCTATCAATGCCTAGGACAAGACATATTATCGCCTGAGACAATCGAATCTCATGCTTATAATTACTTGGTATTTCTGGAATCGGACGGGAATGGATCCATAGCCGATCTTTGGCAACCACTTCGACGATTGGTCCGCTTAGCCAGTCGCGATTTACTCTTTTTGCAGTACCCAGCTCAGAAAGTAGGGCTTGCCGCTGTCGTCGTAGCCCTTCGAATCAACAACGCAAATGGATGGGAAACGAGGACAATGGCCCTTTTACGGGCATTGAACATTGAAGAGTACTCAACTGAAGCTGCAATTGTTTCAGAGATTGGTAGTCGACTGTTGGCTCTGCATCACCGGTATACAAATGCAGATGAGATGTGAATCTTCATTTTCACATTCATTTGTTTAAAATTCATAGCCTAGTAGAACCCTTGGTATAGGCTCATAAAGCTAAATACCTGAATCATCAATCAGTCATTGGCCACTTTAGTATGAATTTTTATGCTTACAGGTTTTTAGAGGCTTTTGGACACCCTTAGTCCCAATATTGTATGAAAGATTACTTCAGTTTTTCACATACCGGTATATTTACTCCCCGCGGTACCGCTATAATCTACCGCTATAATCTCAAACATGGCATGCAGTTTGCGACTATAAAGGCGAATCTTGTTGAGACGGAATTGAGAATGGATCAATTTTATGTTCTACATCCGCGTTTTCCGTTTTATTCCGTGTGGTTCTCCAGTATTTATTATACCCGACCGCCGATTTTACAAGAAGAAAAAAAGGTTGCGAAGAATGGCGTGATGGCAAGAGAAGTGGTTTACAGACGCATTTTTCAAATCAATGATAATAGGGCTCGTAGTCACTCATCAACAAGCACTCCGGTAGTGTCTCGTCCCATTGCTCCCCATTGCTCGCCATGTCTCTTCAAGGAGGGGGCACAGCAGCAACACCTTTGACTATTGATTTTAAGTGGATCCGCGCAAAATGCAGGTGGTGTATCGGAGTTGTTGACCACTTTCAAATGAGATTCACAACAGCTGAGTTGGCTACTCAAATTCTCTACCGGTATGTGCAATGTGGCCGCCTTACGGAGCTTCCAATGGACCATGTGACGAGGTGCTCCACGGCAGCTGCGTTTAGGATCGCGTTGGTTCTAAATGAACAGACACACATTCCGCTCAGTGAGCTTGTCCGCATGGGACAGAACAACAAGGGACAGAATAGATTCACAAAAGAAGAAATATGTTTGAGCGAGTGGCACATATTCCACTGTATGGACGACAGCATGCTTTCACCGCCGACAATTGAGGGTTGTGTTAAGGGCTATGTGGAAGGTTTCCAGGAGGCTGCTATCGTACTTCCCGTCGACTTTCGACAGGTATTGGAAGAATTGATTTGTTTGGCTATTCACGGCATCTTGTTTTTGGAGTACCCAGTGCAATGGGTGGGGCTCGGGATCGTTGTGCTGGCCCTTCGATTGTGCCAAGGGCAACATATTTGGGAAGCACAGGTTGCAGTCTTGTATGGGGAGGTAGGAATCGAAGAAGGCTCACCCGTGGCTGATGGTATCTCTGAAATCTGCGCTCGGCTCCTCATATTGAATGCGCATTTTCCTATCAGCTCGTGAAATCAATAACAAGGGATGGATGCTCCATTCTACTATGTGGGTTCTATGTGGGTTTGGATACAGAAGCTATCCACGAAACGAAGTGATTTCTATTGATGGGAATAACTAAGTATGTACCTATGTTATGCAGCTCGGAGGCATGCATAGCGAGAGGTAGTAGTATTGTGACGATGTTGCCTGCCCCAAATCTACTATGGTATAATGATGCTGCTAGTCGCATTGGCCAACTATTGGCCAACTTCAGTTGGCAAACACTGGAAGCCATCTGATGCATGAATTTGCGATAAATCGAGGGCGAAAGTGGAAATGTTGTGGTAGTTTCTGGTTCGTATCACCCGAGATGTACTCATCAGTCTTTGGTTGGTGCTTGTACCCACCTCTGCCATTAGATGTTTGACAACATGCATTTCTTGTTCTGCTGCTTTCTCATAACAAGAGTACTAAACCTATAGCATCTCCTAACCTACCTACTACTAGAGAGCCAAACTCGGGTACAGCTGTCCATTCCTTTGCGGGATTCCCCTGGGGGCTTACACTGAAGTGAAAGTGCATACGGTATCGGTTGCGATCATTCTCTGTTTTCTTAAAAAAAGAAGTGGTTGGAATTCCATTGAAGGTTGCCAAGGGCCAAGGAAGGCTGCAGACGCTACAGTACCTGGTACTGGTACACTGTAGCTGGCACAGTTCTCCTACTGTGACTTGGCAAGTCTCCAAGACGAGCTTTTCATGAAACTGCATGATGGCGGCGATCATTCTTTGTTTTCAAAATGGCGTATTGGAATACGATAGAACAATTTCTCATTCGATTGCGTTTTTGAAATAATTCGGTTGAAAAGATAGAGGAAAAATAAGCACTTAACGAAATACAAAACAAAGCAGATGCTCGCGAGTTCTTGAGAACAAGGAACAAAATCGAAAGGCGGTGCATGCCTTGCTCGTTCCATCTCTCTTGCCAACGTCTCGCTTCATCATTCTACCGTATGCGAATGTGCATACGTGTACCGGTAGGCTGTATACATTTTCTCATTTTCAAAATGCCATACTGGCGGTACCGCGAAACGTCACAATGTGGGAACCTACAGGCCCATCACGTAAAAATGTCAGTACGCGCCAGCCGAATACTTCTTCGATCGCCAGCCAGTATGTGTCACGGAGGCAACCAGATCATGAAACCGAACCGCCCGCGCGAAGCGGGCGTTACGGATGAAGAAATTCTTTCAACTATAATTCGCGGTTAATTAACCGCGAGTTGAAAAATTCGCGGTAAATTTAACAGCGAATTCAAAAATCGCGGTAAATTTAACAGCGAATTTTTCAATTCGCGGTTATTTAGTAGCGAATTCTAAATTCGCGGTTAATTCAACCGCGAATTGCGTGATGTAGAATCACTCTCATTTCTTCTTCAATACAACGATACCATGCAATAGAATGGTTTGTTCCTCAATCACTGGGTTTCTCCCTATGTTTGGATTGGGAAAGCTGTCCTCTTGAGAGCCTCTAGAGAGAGGAAAAGCAGCTGTTCCAATAGTGAAAATGCAAGTGTAGTAAATAATCTTCTATAGCATCATTACTACGTTATAGATCTATGATTCTTCCCCTTGACTTTGAGAGCGTGCAAGTACTTTCCTGTTCTAATCTCCTGGTAGTTGCATTCCCTGAAAACATTCAAAGAAAACTCCTTGCAATACTGTTTTCGTTAAGAACGGCATAGATCTTCTTATCTTACAGGAGGCTTATCTTTTCCATTCTCGTCCATGGCTTGACGCAGAAGCTTCGGGGCATCCGATCGTTGTCAATGGATATTTTTTTGTAGTAGCTTTGAAAGGATGTTATTGGATGGTTGTCGACGAACTGTTTGACATGAGCCTAGTGGTCCTCGACGACTCTGCTGATCTTCTGGTTTTCTTGCTTCTGCAGCGCTCTCAGTCTATCAGCAAAATATATGGAACCACATTGTTCGACTTCCTATTTTTTTCGCCGCTCATGTCACACACCTTCTTTTGTTCCCCCATCGAGTGGAATGGGCGACTCCAGGAGCGGTGCGCAAGAGATCCCATAGAATTTTGCCCTGCTGATTTTTCGTCCCATCTTATGCTCCAAGATATTGTTCGCCTTTTGTAACTTCTGAGCCTGGGATATTCCGCATTTTGGTGTGAATCTGAACTGGAATCGGGGCCTGACCGGCTTGCTCACTCCTTCTGCACGGGGATCTGTGATCCGACATCATCACTGCTCGTGGAATTCATTCTTGGTCGGTGATCGTCGCGTTTTGGTCGTAGTTCGTTAAATTTTCTGTGAATTTTTCACAGATGTTCCGAAATCTCTGTGAATGACCAACAGATGTTCCGAAATCTCTGTGAATTTTTCACAGGTTTTTTAAGGGTCTTCACAGATGTTCCGAAATTGCCGTGAAGTTTCAACAGAGGTTCAGCTGACATGCGTGCACGCATGCCCTTTCGTAAAAGCACCATACAACTTCCGTAGAGGAAAAAACGGTTAATGTTGTGCGCAAGCAATGCTTGGTCGTCTGGGTCCAAAATTCTGTGAATTTTTCACAGATGTTCCGAAATCTCTGTGAATTTTTCACAGATGTTCCGAAACTTCTGTGAATTTTTCACAGGTTTTTTTAGGGTCTTCACAGATGTTCCGAAATGTCGAAATTGTGGCGAATGGTGGGTTCAGCTAGGAATATGACATTTATGGCTGCACTATGTAAAACTAGTCGTAGACTTTTTTCCACGGTCGTCTGAGTCAAAAAGTCTGTAAATTTTCTATCGTCTGAGTCAAAAATTCTGTGAATTTTTCACAGATGTTCCGAAATCTCTGTGAATTTTTCACAGATGTTCCGAAACAAACAATTTGATGCGTCATCGATTTGCACAACAATGACTGCGGAAAGAGATTGCTGTTAGAAAAACGTTATTGCTGTAGAAAAACCAGAGTCACACATTGTAGGCAAAGTCACACAGCGCAGGTACGTAAAAAGGTATGGATCTAGTTTATTCATGATAAATTTTCTTCCTGGACCATAGTTCTTTTGTTTGTACTCTTTCTCCGACCAGCTGATCACCTTTGCTTCCAGTGCCCAAAGAACTTTCACCCAGTGCCATAGGTTGTCGTCTTGGTCCCGTTGTGTGCTTATCCCAGAAGCTGAGGCAAGGGAGTTGATTGCAACTAGCAATCGCTTAAGCCCCTCCTTGCTCCTGTCAGATGGGCGGAGCCCCAAGTCTTTGTTCGTACAATTCAAAATGTCTTGCCAGAGAATGAATAGAGTGCTGGGGCGTTGGCCAAAATGAGCCTTGAAAACTCCAATATTATGCTCCTTGAAGTTGTCATCAGTAATTGTGGTAGGTGAACCCCCAATCATTTCAAATCCGTAGATCAGCACCTGTTCTGGTGTCACTTCGATTCCAAGCATCATCCTGAAAGATTCTGAAACTCTCTTCGCGTTTTCTCTTCAAAATCTCAAGCAAGCGTGACCAAATTTGAAAAAAACGGTTAAGTTGGCACCGTCTTCTGAGTTGAATTTTCTATCGCCTGAGTCAAAAATTCTGTGAATTTTCTATCGTCTGAGTCAAAAATTCTGTGAATTTTTCACAGATGTTCCGAAATCTCTGTGAATTTTTCACAGATGTTGATCAGGCAAGACGGTAGACGGACTGGCAAGAGAAGATATCTGTCTTCACGCCAACAGTCATGTTGTCAGTCGCTTAAGCGAAGTAACGGTAATTATTGGACGAAATTTCGGGGACGATCGGCATGGCAAACGAAGGCGTGGCAGAAACATTCTTTTTGCCAAGTGCAAGATGAGACGATGAAGAGCTAAGGAACCATGATCTTCTGAAGCAATTCAGAATGATTATATCTTTTTTAAATCCGGTCCCTAATTCTAGTTACCAAGCTTACGATGCCAAACCCACACCTCTTACTTACGTACCGTATGGAGGACTGGCATAATCCCGTTTGGTACAATTCGTAGTATGCAATCATCCTAGGCCAATCATGCTAAACATCGAGTCATGAAGTGGAGGCGGCGCCTGGTAATCCGTAGGATTATGATCAGGCAAGACGGTAGACGGACTGGCAAGAGAAGATATCTGTCTTCACGCCAACAGTCATGTTGTCAGTCGCTTAAGCGAAGTAACGGTAATTATTGGACGAAATTTCGGGGACGATCGGCATGGCAAACGAAGGCGTGGCAGAAACATTCTTTTTGCCAAGTGCAAGATGAGACGATGAAGAGCTAAGGAACCATGATCTTCTGAAGCAATTCAGAATGATTATATCTTTTTTAAATCCGGTCCCTAATTCTAGTTACCAAGCTTACGATGCCAAACCCACACCTCTTACTTACGTACCGTATGGAGGACTGGCATAATCCCGTTTGGTACAATTCGTAGTATGCAATCATCCTAGGCCAATCATGCTAAACATCGAGTCATGAAGTGGAGGCGGCGCCTGGTAATCCGTAGGATTATGATCAGGCAAGACGGTAGACGGACTGGCAAGAGAAGATATCTGTCTTCACGCCAACAGTCATGTTGTCAGTCGCTTAAGCGAAGTAACGGTAATTATTGGACGAAATTTCGGGGACGATCGGCATGGCAAACGAAGGCGTGGCAGAAACATTCTTTTTGCCAAGTGCAAGATGAGACGATGAAGAGCTAAGGAACCATGATCTTCTGAAGCAATTCAGAATGATTATATCTTTTTTAAATCCGGTCCCTAATTCTAGTTACCAAGCTTACGATGCCAAACCCACACCTCTTACTTACGTACCGTATGGAGGACTGGCATAATCCCGTTTGGTACAATTCGTAGTATGCAATCATCCTAGGCCAATCATGCTAAACATCGAGTCATGAAGTGGAGGCGGCGCCTGGTAATCCGTAGGATTAT